ATGGGTGGCGCTCTGTCCAGTGCACGTATCTTGCGAGAAGGCCGTCCAGGTCAACCAACCAGACGAGGAGACGGCGTTACGAAGGTGTCTTCAATGGTGCTTGGATGCAGGCAAGTACGCCACCAAACAAGAGCACATACTTAGACGGAACATGCCGGCGGCATCGGCTACCCTGAGATCGAAAGATGAGCTGATGCGAATGGCGCCAGTTGAGCGCGTAGAACTACCTGGAGTGCTGGACCAGCACCTATGATTATGTTTTTTGTGGCACCGCCCTCATAGTTGCACCGGTGCACCCATGCAAAATTTGCATGGCATGTGGCATACTGATGATAGCACGACAGAGGTGGCTAGCAGGAAACAGCATTAGCTGAGCTGGGTGTCGTTTGGACGTGGACATCACATGCCCCCCCCAGAGCTGAATTCACTTTTGAAGTGTGGCAGGATTTGGGTTTTCGTTGCAAGTAGACTTTGTGCAGTGCATTGCCAATCAGATGACAAACGACAGGCATGATACTCCACAAATGCAATGAGGTATTCCTTTGGCTTCCCTCCACCAAACAAGATAGAAGCTCCCTGAAAAAAGATACAATGATACAACCATAGAGGCTTTACTGCTCTACGGGGCCCAAAACCAACCATTCCAAAAGGGGTTTCCAATTTGGACAACCCCCCATGTCACTGGGCATTTTCTCAACCCCCTCCAAAAATGCGATGAACTTGCTCTCAGACGTGAGGTTGAGACTTGGAGAGACTTGGCGGGATTTCATTGGTTTCAACATGTTTCAGTTTCATCCTAAATAATTCTCTCCACCAGATGCCAGATACCACCAGATAGTCACACTGGGAATGTATCCAGCCTGACCAGATAACTATCCAATCACAATGTACAATGCCCCAACATAGATAATTAAAAAATAAACATGTCTCCAACCAGATTGAAGATGGGATGGGAGATTGGAGAATTATCCAATCAGATTGGAGATTGGACATATATCCAACCAGATTGAAGATGGGATGAGAGATTGGAGAATTCTCCAAGCAGAATTGATAGTTCTCCAATCTGATTGGAGAATTATCCAATCTGATTGGAGAATTTTCCAATCAGATTGGAGAATTCGCCAATCAGATTGGAGATTGGACATATCTCCCGAAAGACTGAAGATGGGATGGGAGATAGGAGAATTCTCCAATCAGATTGGAGATTTCTCCAATCAGATTGGAGAATTCTCCAATCAGATTGGAGAATTCGTCAATCAGATTGGAGATTGGACATATCTCCAACCAGGTTGGAGATGGGATGGGGGATTGGAGAATTCTCCAATCAGATTGGAGAATTCTCCAATCAGATTAGAGAATTCGCCAATCAGATTGGAGATTGGACATATCTCCAACCAGATTGGAGATGGGATGGGAGATTGGAGATTTCTGCAATCAGATTGGAGAATTCTCCAATCATATTGGAGAATTCGCCAATCAGATTGGAGATTGGACACATCTCCAACCAGATTGGAGATGGGATGGGAGATTGGAGAATTCTCCAATCAGATTGGAGAATTCTCCAATCAGATTGGATAATTCTCCAATCAGATTGGAGATTGGAGAATTCTCCAATTCTGATTGGAGAATTCTCCATTCTCCAAACTGATTGGAGAATTCTCCAATCTGATTGGAGAATTCTCCAATCTGATTGCAGAAATCTCCAATCTCCGATCTGATTGGAGAATTCTCCGATCTGATTGGAGAATTCTCCAATCTCCAATCTGATTGGAGAATTCTCCAATCTGATTGGAGAATTCTCCAATCATATTGGGGTGTTGGAGACTTGCCAAAATCTTCAGGATATGAGAAGCGTTCTTGAGTAGTTTTTTGGAGAATTTAAGCGTTTTGATGGAGAAATTTGGCGGAAAATATGTGATTGGAGAATTCTCCAATCTGATTGGAGAATTCTCCAATCAGATTGGAGATTGGAGAATTCTCCAATCAGATTGGAGAATTCTCCAATCAGATTGGAGATTGGAGAATTCTCCAATCAGACTGGAGAATTCTCCAATCAGATTGGAGAATTCTCCAATCAGATTGGAGAATTCTCCAATCAGATTTCAGATTGGAGAATTCTCCAATCAGATTGGAGATTGGAGAATTCTCCAATCAGATTGGAGATTGGGGAATTCTCCAATCAGATTGGAGAATTCTCCAATCAGATTGGAGAATTCTCCTATCAGATTGGAGAATTCTCCAATCAGATTGGAGAATTCTCCAATCAGATTGGAGATTGGAGAATTCTCCAATCAGATTGGAGAATTCTCCAATCAGATTGGAGAATTCTCCAATCAGATTGGAGAATTCCCCAATCAGATTGGAGATTTGGAGGATTCTCGAATCAAATTGGGGATCTGGAGAATTGTCCAATCAGATTGGAGAATTCTCCAATCAGATTGGAGAATTCCCCAATCAGATTGGAGATTTGGAGGATTCTCTAATCAAATTGGGGATCTGGAGAATTGTCCAATCAGATTGGAGAATTCACCAATCAGATTGGAGATTGGAAAGTTCTCCAATCAGAGTGGAGAATTCACCAATCAGATTGGCGAATTCTCCAATTAGATTGGAGAATTCTCCAATCAGATTGGAGATTGGCGATTTCTCCAACTAGATTGGAGATGGGATGGGAGATTAGATAATTCCCCAATCAGATTGGAGATAGGAGAATTCCCTAATCAAATTGGATAATTCTCAAATTGGATCGGATAGTTTTCTAATCAGATTGGAGATTGGCGAATTTTCAAAGCATGTCAACTAATTTTCTATTCATATTGGAGAATGTAACATCGTCTTGTGTGATTGGTGAATCCTACAATCACTTTGGCAGATTGTTCATTGTCAAGTCAGACCAATTCATGCTCCAATGTGAGTGGACATTCGACGATCCCAACACATGCTGTGTAAACAAAGGCCGTCACTGCATGCATTCAGTCAGACAGGAACATTTGTGTGGCTTGCAAATGAACACCGTACCGTGCTCAAGGTTCGAAGCCGGGATCTGGTGGTGCTATATTGCCACATCATGCGCATGCTGGTTGCACACACAGCCACGCAAATGACATGATAAATGCTTGGCACGTGTTGATTGCATAGATACTGGCCTTGCTCCAAGCGATTGCAATGGCGCGCGGTCGTACTGGCCCGAGTGCAGTGAAGGCGATGAAAGCTATGAAGGCCATGAAGGCCAAGAGAGAAATGAAGGTCACTACTGTGATGAAAGCCATGAAGACGGTGAAGACGGACAAGAAGCCTTTGCCTGCTATGAAGGGTGGCAACCCAAAGCCTGCGAGAACCAAGGCCAAGGCATCACCAAAGGCCAAAGCAGCGGGGGTCGCGCCGAAACCCACGGCCAAGTCTGCGGCACACCGCCCCAAGGCGAAGGCCAAGTCCAAGTCAAAGGCACCCAGCAGCGCTGCCAACATGGAGGTGGATCCCGGGTCTGACAGCGGCAGCGATTGCAAATCGTCCAGTTCCAGCACGTCCAGCAACGACACCGTGACGAGCGTGCATGATTCTTATCTAACTTCTGGCACATGTCTTTATCTGCGTGGTTTTGCATCAGATTTGAGCTTTTCTCAATGTGAAGGGACAAGGATTTTCTCTCTGTTTTGATATGCAACATCACAGCTGCATGTGTGTAAGTATATAATCATTTACATGGGATTGATTGTAATGTCACGTGTTGGAAAGCCAGGATGCGTCGAGCAAAGAGCCGCAGCCGATCACAATGCGTGACTACGTGGAAGAGGAGCATTGTTTGTTGTTCTGCATTGATGCACTAATTGTTCTCAGGTCAGATGTTGAACAGGGTGGCATTTATAGATGGTCTGTGATAATATGGTTGTGTGTGAAAATATGTCCACCTGTTTGACCAGGAGCTTGCCCCTTCTCAACCTGAAGCTGGTGATAATGATGCACCTCGTTCGGCGACGGAGCTCTTCCAGCATCACCTGAGTGCCTTGCGGAGGATCCACAAGCACTTCGGGATCGATGCGTTGGTGCGCCACAGAGACAACATCAGCCGCACCGCGCTCATCAGTCTCTTTTCGGGCTTGGGTGGGGCGGAGCTCGCGATGCAGCAGAACTACCTGGCCTGCTACCAGATTTGCACCGATGTCAACATTGCGCCCCCAACCCCACCACGCTTCTTTGCCCTGTTCCAATATTTTTGAGATATGATGGTGTGTTGTGTCACGCTTTGACTTTGTTAACGTGGTTGTTTTTTCTTTTGCAGGTGTTGTGATGTTTCCTCATCAGGTATGTTGTTGGCGTGCGAGCTGGATCATGAGTGCAGGGCTGTGCTGCGGCAACACTCCCATCCTCCGCAGTTCATGGTGGAGAACCTGCTCGACTTCCTGACTCCCACATGTGTGGGGCGATGTCGAAACATCATTTCGAGCTTCAGCAAGACCAGAAACACCAGGTTGGACCAGATCGTCAAACTGAAGCGGACGATGCGGGACATTCCGAAGAACAACAAGGCGCAGCTGGCATCCTTCAAGAAGAAGCTGAACGCCCACAAGGATGCCATCAAGGTTTGCGGCGAGGCCTTGCTCGTGTCGCTCTTCAACGAGATGCTGCGTGACGGAGGCTTCAGGGCCAATGTTGACGTCATTGATGGCAAGCAGGCAGACGGGTGTCATTTCACATCTGGGTCGGGTCGGAATACGCCAGGTGGATATTTTCGTTTTGCGAGATCGTTAATTAAACGATAGAACGCCTGGCAGGTGGCCCTGGATGAGCTCATGAGCGACGCGCATGAGAACAAGCTTTTGGTCATTATGGCCGGATCTGTTTGCAAGGATTCGGGAGATTCGAGTGTGAAGATGGGTTGGGTTTTATGTTTGTGGGGCGATGTGACTGTGTGGTGGAGTGTGTACCCTGATGCACAGGACTGGTCCAGCATGGGGCGCCAAGAGGGGTTTTGCGGCAACTACGGAATCCTTGCGGCGGTCATGCTGGCGTTGACCTCACGATTGAAAGCATCTCTCCTCATCCACGAGTGTACCCGGCTTTTCCCGTATAGCGTCTTCGAGAAGATCCTCAGCGGATACCGGGACTATCACCAGATTTTGGAATGTGCCCAGTTTGGCGCTCCGGTCAAGAGAAGCAGATCGTACGATGTGGTGGTGCGGTCTGACCTCATTCTGCCGAACGGGATGGACAGATTCGCAGCCCTCAAGACGTCATGCGTGCTGGATGCATCGGTGTGGCTTCAGGCCCCGCAGGAGAAGGACCGATGTGACAAAGTGATGTGACAAGATGTATGGAATTTGTTCAGGATTATGATTGAGAGTTCGGGGAGCTATAATTGTAAGAGTCATAAACTTTAACAATTGAGTTGAGTGCTATGAAAGTCATCATGGGTTAATGCTTGTTGGCACACTGGCACACTGCACACATTCCCACACGTGACTTGCCAGGTCGCGCACTTCAAGCGGTACATGGCAGCTCTGGCAATGCGCGGGTCGGTCGAGGAGTGGGAATACCTGTTGCCGCCTGCAGCGCTTGCCAACCTTCGGACCGTGCAGGAAATTGTGCGAAAGGAGAACTTCACACGAGAAGTTGCAGCAAACTTGGATCAGAATCCGCACTTCCAACCCCACTATGGGGATCACATGCCGGTCATTTTGGCGTCGATTTCTCACATGCGCCTTGGCATTGTGATCAAGTCTCTGAGTTTGAGTATGCGTTGGTTCTCATCTTTTTATCGGTGCTGGTCTTCCCAAGTCAATCAGTTTTATGGTAGTGCCCTAGTGGCCATGATCATACGCGCACTGATTTGGTCTTAGCGAGGTGGGCGATCAAGGCCAACCGGCTGTACGTTCCTGAGGACGGATGGGGCGCGTCCGCAGTCCAAAGTGGGGATATGGCCTTTGCTTCATGTCTTTGAACTGTTTGTAAGTTTGCATTTGTGTGTATTTCATGTTTTCGATTGATGATTCTCAGAACCGGCCGCAGGAGCTGTTGGTGGGGCAGGTCATCCCTGTCTACGATCACCTGTGGCAGGCGGCGGGGTTCACTGCGTGCCCGATCAACTTTGAGAGGGCCCAGGTCAGCGTATCGGCCATTCGAAGGATGGCAGGGAACAGCTTCAACCAGTGCTGCGCGTGCGCCTTCACCTCGTTCATCATGGCCAACTTGGAGCCTTCAGCATTTCAGCGGATTTGAGCGGGGAGTGGAGCCGGCGCTTTGAGGCGCTTGCTGTAATTAGGAGTTCACATGGCATGGCACCGGCAGAGTCACACAGCACATGTTGGCCCAGATACAGGCCCAGACGTTCTAATTGGGTGCACATCTTCTTTTAATGTCAGGTTGCTTTGGTGCCGGCGTGTGCGTCCCATGATTTGTCATCACTGGCAGCGAGAGTGAAAGCGACTTCATACATCTTCAAATGTTGAAGTTAGTTTTTGCCAGTTCGCGTTTGGTGCCACCTCGCAATATGCACTCAATTTTGTGCATTCCCTGCCAGTGGTGCTAGCTGTTTAGATGGAACTGGCTGGTGTCACGCGGACCGAGGTTTGCATCAAGTTACAGATGGGCTAGCAAACCTGTTAGGTGGTCCGATGCTGGTATCAGTCTTGTCGCATGAGCCGGACCAAGTTGAGCGATTGAAAACACCAGCCCTCAGTCTCGGTCATGTGCCAGCTTCACCTTGCACCACGCCACCAAATCACAAGTGGGTCATCAGTCAAAGCCAGGGCAAGTGTGCTGTCATGTCACAGTCACAGCCTTGGCAGTGCGTGCAGACAGTAACAATCGTTTTCCATCGTGGCTGTTTAGCTGGGCTCGCACTTGATCGGGTGCACGACTTATGTGACAGGCGCTTGCAGGCGTTCAGCAGTTCGCAACTCACGAGTTGAGCAACATATGATTTGAGCGACATGCCTCAACTGTGACTGCGACCAACCGACTGGGTCACAACTGCGCTGAAGTAGCTCTCGCGATGTTGGCCGCTGCACATGATGCTCATGGGCGAGATGGTGGCGATGAGAAGGGCGCGAAGCTGGGTGGTGGATCAGGCGCCAGCGGTTGCTTGACCTTGAACATATCAGATGACACATGTACCCAAGGTCAATTAGGCCACTCGTACTGGTACTGATACTATACTATTTCACAAATGTATTTTTGGTTTGAGGCAGCTGCTTTTTTGAATTTGAGCTTTCGGATCCGCATGCTTCAGGCTCTCCGCCGGAGGGCTGCTGCATGAACTGCAGCGTCGTCGTCGACCCCCTGGAGCTGACGAACTCTCACATCCTCAAGCGCCGCTGCTTGGGGTGCTCGCGGCGCCACCGCAGCATCATCGCCTCCACGGGGGACACCAACATGGTGCGCTGGTTCAACCAGCTTCTCAGTTGTTGAGGAGGCCGACATTTTTCAAATTTTTCCTTTTCCTCTCTGGTCCATTTTTACGGATGGCGCGGCCCGAAGGACACAAAGGGTTTTAACTCTGGGTCTTTGGGCAAGTGAGGCTGCCCTGGACTGCGCTGAGCGAATATCAGGCGATCATGCGAGACCACAGCGAGAAGGGGTGCGGCAGGAGGGGCACCCACGCCAAGTTTGACCTCCTGGTGCAACTTGGTTTGAGAGTAGTTGTCAGAGTTGTACTTTACTTTCATTGCCTCTTGATGTTGGGAGATAAGACAAGTAGTGTGATTCGCTTTGAGCTGGCGTGAGCACACCCCAAGGTACAAGGAGGAGACCTCATCGGCCAAGGTCCAGCAGACTGGCGGCGTTTGGGAAGCCCTCGACTGGGTTGCCTACAAGGCCCACTTCATGGATCCGAAGCGCGGCGAGGACCGCCCAACTTGGTCATGGTCGGTAAGTATTCGTGTTGTTTTTCAACGCATGTCAAAACTGTAACTGGTGCCGCCCACGAGCCACTTGTTTTTGCATTTCAAGTGCACCCACCCACCCCGTCACGCCATGCAATAGTTGAGGACCAACTGTCGGAAGCAGATGCTCTGCGGGCCTGGCTGCGAGATCTGCAGGGATGCAACGGGGTGGAAAGCTTCAAGGCGGAGGCGGGGCACACTGTGGCTGATGATGATGCTGATGCTGATGCTGATGCTGATGCTGATGATGATGATGGTGATGATGATGATGATGATGATGATGATGATGCTGATGCTGCTGATGATGATGATGATGATGCTGATGACTGCTGATGCTGCTGTTGATGCTGGTGCTGATGCTGGTGCTGATGCTGCTGCTGCTTTTGATTATGATTATTATTTTCTGGAAACTGGATACTGGATGGACTGGATGTTAGCAATTCTGGAAGTTTGTTTTTAATGTTTGTTTGTTGTACTTTGCTTGTTTTTTTTGACTGACTGACTGACTGGCTGGCTGGTTGCATCGATCCCTGAGGTCTACAATCGCCGTTCCGGTGAGATGGAGAAGCGCGACCACGTGTGGGTGATGGTGGCGCGCCAGCGCAAGAAGTTCGAGATGGACATGCAGTCCCGCACGGTGAGCAAGCAGAAGAGCTCCAAGGACCCGACCGAGGGCCAGATTCAAGAAGCATCGCTGCGGGTGGCTTCATTTGTGCCTTGAGCCCAAGCCTTGTTCTTTTAACTTTTCAACAAACCGTGTGCAGTTGCTTCGTATTTCCGACCAGTGCAGTGCGCCGAACGGGTTCACGTCACATCATCTCATCAGGTATGCCACGATGTGGATTCGGAGTTTCTGGCGACGGTGAAGCTCTTCAATTTCCACGCCGAGACCACCGTGTATGCCGAGTTTGGGGTTGGGAAAACAGCCATCGAGAAGGGGAGCAAGACACATGGTTCGATTTAAACTATCATGTTAGTTAACTTTGTATTTTTCTTGTTGTCGCCTGTCGCGGTGGCCTTGATATTTTGTCGGGGGTGGTCTAAGTTGAGGAAGAAGGCCGGCAACGGCAACGGCGGTGGAAAGGCCAAGCTGGTCGACCTCACACAGGTTCGCAACCGGTTTGTGGGGAAGATGGCCAACCAGCTCACATTTACCAGAGCCGCTTTGAGCGAAGCGGTGACCCAGCACTATGGCAACTGGCGCGCAGAAGAAGAAGACCTCGTGGGCAGGTTTGAAAGTTCCCCGTCAGCAATTTGTGATGGCCTTCACTTCTGCACTTCATGTTTGTTGGCTTAGAAACTAAAACTAAGCAAGTCGTGCATTTTCTTTTCTGTGGTGTGAAACAGGAGTAGTGCAAGCGCAAGCCACATATATTGTATACACCTTCTGCTACTTCCGACTTCCAAGAATTATTGTCCATTGTAGTTTACCACTCTGAAGGCTACACGGCGAAAGGCGCGGACAAGGTCACCATCATGGCGATGGACGAGGACTATGCTGACGAAGCCGGCATGATGAAATGCATGTTCAACGTGCACTCGCGGGTGGTGGCATGCGAGCTGCTCAACGCCGCTGACCGCAAGGAGTTCATCGACATCATCGTCAGCAACAGCACCTACTGCGCGGCAGATTTGAGTCGTGATGGAGATGAAGAAAAGGCCACTCGCGTCGTGTCGGGTTTCGGGACAAAACTGAAACATGCGGGATTGTGATTGTGATTGAGTTTTGTTTTTGTTTGCATGCTGCCATATGCTTACTGGTAGTTACTTTTAACATTGAACATATTACATCGTTGTGGTTTCTGTCAGGTGCAGGAGGCTTTGCAACACATCCTGTGCCTCGATGAGTACATCGCCGAGAACCTCGCATGCGACATATCCATCGACCGAGTGCCGCACATGGTCGATCCCGTGGCCTTGTTTGACACATGTGGCAACAAGGACCGTGCACCTTTCTCGTGGCCGAAACTAATTTTGTTTGCAAGGTATTAAGCTTGCTTTATCTTCTGTGAATGTATGATGAATAAACTTGCTTTAGCTTGCTTTATCTTCTGTGATTGGTGTCATCTTTGCAGGAGCAGGCCCAGTCCTTGGCGGATGGAACCACAAGGGGAATCAAGGCTGTGCAGAAGGTTGCGGCTGCGCTGAGGAGAGCTGTGGTCGACATGCGCCGCATGCGAAAGTCGGTGGACAAGCTTCGAAAACAAAAGAAGGCAAAGGCGGAGAACAGCACCGGCGAGCCAAGCAATCGCATCAAGAACGTGTTGAAAGGCAGGACGGCCCTGTCAAAGGCGGTGGACGACACGGACCCAAAGATCTTGCATAAGTTCAAGGAGGTGTTGAACGCCCGCCCCATGAGGGTGATCAAGGACCCTGGCTCGGATCTGTGCAACGGCGTGGCAGACATTTCCCGCTGCTATGTCATCAAGAAAGGCCGGAACATCATGAAGGTGCTGCTCAAGGACGAGGAGCAACGGGCCATCTTCGAGAGCACGGTGAACCAGTTCCGGACCAAGTTCACCAGCAGCGCCTCCAACAAGGCTGTGCCACTTGGCGCAGTTGGCCAACTCTTAGTGCCGAACAGTTACATCTTTCATTTAGGGGGTTGCGTATTGCATATGGTTCTGAATGTGGAGGTAGGTGTTTTATGTTCGATGAGGATCATCATGGAGCAGACGGATGTGACGTCTTCTGTGCAGGAATCCATGCGATGGCTCCTGCCGGACGATGCGCAGGAGATCATGCTCGACTCGCCAGAGGTGGATGCCATTGTTGGCAATGATGGCGAGTTCAAGACCGCGAGGGAGCAGCTGAAGAGCACTTGGATCGTGGCCAACCGTCAGAACACGACCTACTGTGGCCTGGAGAGCCAGGGTCTTGGCACCATCCGGGTCCAGCTGTCGGGAGGGCGGCTGATCTTGCTGGCGCTGGTGGAGGAGGTCCTGGCCTTCTACGGAGAATCGAGCATCAAAGCGGCGGTGGACCAATTGGCGAGCACTGACCTCAAAGAGCTCCCCGACCAGTGGGCAGTACCCTCCTTATGTGCTGAGTATCTGAAGACGGGCGACTTCATGTACTGTCCGCCCGGACACATCTGTGTGGAGAAAGCACTCAGCGACGTCTCTATCTCGATCAGGCGCGAATGGAAACACATCTGTGGTTGCGAGTGTTTGTGTTCTTGCGCATTCGTGGTTTTATGCGCAACCCCAACTGACCCCAACGAATGACTATCAAGTCTATCGAGCGCAAATTGATCATTTCACGACACCCCCCCCGCCCAGGATCAATGTGAACCTCTTCACGGCGACCACATCCTCGTCGTTTCTTGTCGCCATGCAGCAGGACGGGGCTTTGATGTTCTTTGTTTTGAGGAACCATTTTTGGATACAGGGCGCCGCTTCAAACGACTGTTAGTTTCTAGCATGTCTGATGCAAAATGCAACATACCGTTTTTGTTTTTTAGGTCCTTTCAGTTTTGGGTCTCACGCATGTTCCTGGACATCTTAGTGCTGAGAAGTTGGCCCCACCTGGACGCTCATTTGGCCCGCGCAAGGTGGCCCCAAAGCCTGAGACAGTGCTGGTGTGCAAGATGGTGGAGGTCCTCAGCCCGGATGCGCTGGATGATCGCATCAAGCAGTCGCCTGGCGTGAGTGAGGACGGCCAGATTCACGCGGAGAGCCTCACAGAAGAGAATCTTGTGCGCGAGTTGGAGGCTGGCGCCGGGAGGGATTAAGACATGTTTCTCAGTTGCTACCCCCCACTGGCCCCCACACACTCCCAGCATGCGTACCCTACCCAAATCGATCGATTTCGCTTGTGTCGAGGTTGCTTTCGACGCAGTGGGCCGCACTGCCGAGGGCAACGCTGCGATGGGCAGTGGTGACAAGGATGGATCGACAAACAACAGCTGTCAAACAAACAAACCACATATTTTTTGTTTTGCAGCCACGTTCCACACACCTTCAAATGGTGCTTATGCTGAATGTTAAGCACAGACTTAACTCAACCAGATGTAAGTTCGTGTTCCACAGGAGCCTGGTGCTGAAGCAGAGATGCAGAGCGAGTCAGAGAAGAAGGTGGCGCCTTTGGAGAAGGAGCCGGAGACGCGGGAGAAGCCAGAGGAGCAGGTGGCGCCTTTGCAGAAGCCGGAGACGCAGAAGGAGCCGGAGGAGCAGGTGGCGCCTTTGCAGAAGGAGCCGGAGACGCAGAAGCAGCCGGAGGAGCAGGTGGCGCCTTTGCAAAAGGAGCCGGAGACGCAGAAGGAGCCGGAGAAGCATGTGGCGCCTTTGCAGAAGGAGCCGCAGACGCGGGAGAAGCCGGAGGAGCAGGTGGCGCCTTTGCAGAAGGAGCCGGAGACGCAGAAGGAGCCGGAGGAGCAGGTGGCGCCTTTGCAGATGGAGCCGGAGACGCGGGAGAAGCCGGAGGAGCAGGTGGCGCCTTTGCAGAAGGAGCCGGAGACGCAGAAGGAGCCTGAAGAGCAGGTGGCGCCTTTGCAGAAGGAGCCGGAGACGCAGCCGGAGGAGCAGGTGGCGCCTTTGCAGAAGGAGCCGGAGACGCACAAGGAGCCGGAGGAGCCGGAGGAGCAGGTGGCGCCTTTGCAGAAGGAGCCAGAGACGCAGAAGGAACATCAGGTGGCGTCTTCGCAAAAAGAGCCGGAGACGCGGGAGAAGGAGGTGGTCCCTTCCCAGAAGGAGCCGGAGACGCAGATGGAGCCGGAGGAGCAGGTGGCGCCGGAGAAGCAGGTGGTCCCTTCGCAGAAGGAGCCAGAGACGCACAAGGAGCCGGAGATGCAGACTGAGGCAGAGATGGAGGTGGTGCCTTTGCAGAATGATGTGCCCGTGGAGCTGGCTGAGACGCATGTGGATGTTTTGGAGGCTGGGTGGTCTGAGAGTCTGAGTTGCGTTGCTTGTTTTTGCAAGCATTTGTACGGGTGGTGGCAAAGGTCATTTTGAACCTAGCAGCATAATAGCAAATATTGTTTTTAAATAGGGTGCGCCTCGTTTCCACTGCAATCGTGTAAGCCTTGCGAAAGGAAAGTGCAGCCCGCACTGCTGACGACATCGAGCCGAATGCCAAGAAGCTGAGACGCCACACCAGCAACACCAGTGCCAGCGTTCAGAACCAGCTGAGCGATTCCGATGACGATGTCCCGCTAGCTGTTGCTGCTGCGTCAACGGAGCGGGCCGAATCCAAGACAAAGGGAAAAAAGGAGAAGAAGGTGAAGGAAAAGAAGGAAAAGAAGGAGAAGAAAGATAAGGACAAGGCCAAGGACAAGGCCAAGGACAAGGCCAAGAACAAGGACAATAATCGCAAGGCAGAGGCAGGGTGACCGTTGCGTGACCAAAAGCTTTTTTGTTTTTGCATTGCGTTTGGCATGACCCGCAGGCGCCAGCCGCGAAGCGGAAGACGTTTGTGCCTCCTGTGGCTGTCGCTGACGCATCCACCAAAAAAGAGCGGGCTGCGCTGGCAAAGGCGGCCAAGTCGAGTCAGAAGATCCTGAGCTTTGTGGCCGGCCCCCTGAAGAAGAACCGCATGGGCTGAACTTCTAGATCAAATGTGGGCCTTTTTTGGTTTGGCATGTGGCGGTTCGGATGCCATGGCCCATGACACGTGTGAGATTCCACTTTATGTACTGTAAGTTTGATGAGATGAATGAGATGTTGCGTGTTTTTGGCCATGCGCCTCCGACCTTCAAGCCATCATGCGTAGACAGATTAGGGGTAGTACGCCGCACTCCCAATACGTGTGGCATGGTAACCACAGCTGATGGCGGCTCCAGTCAGCCAGTTTGACAATCGCATTGGAGCAACATTACATAGCTCCATCAGCTGTGATGACGGGTCCTGCTGAGAAGGCAGGTTTCAGTCTCAGTACGGGGTAGTGGATCGCTGGATCAATGCGAGTGAGCTGAAAACTGCTGTCTCATTCCTTGTTGACGAGGCGAGTGAAGGTTGAGTCAGTCAGCATGTCTCATGCACTTCTTGGTATTGCATTGCCCAACCAACAGCATTGCCCAACAAGGCCTCAGATCACAGACCCGCTGACTCTGACTCGTTGAACACTTGTCAAAATATTGATGGATGATGATGTTGATGATGACCATGATTGTTGCAGTTTTGGCCCTCAGCATTTAGCCATTCAGCCAACTAATTAGTGCGAACTAGTGCCCTCTTAATGACGCCCCTGTGGCAAGCCATCATCGCCCTTCTGGATTACCCGGACTCTGCGTGCCTGTCGTGCTACCTGAATCGCATTTTGCCATTTCTGAGCGCTCAGGAGCAGGCTTCCCTGCTCTGCATTTGCAACGACTGTAGGTGTGATTACATAGCTGTCAGACAGGGCACAGAGCTGTCACAGCCCAAATGTGGCACTGCTGACGGTGGCTTTGAAGAGGCACACTGAGCTGAAAGGCGTGCTGAGCAATGAGCACCGGGTGCTCGGGGGAAAACAGTGAGTGAGCGGGTTTCTGGGGGCCTCAGTGAGATTGCATATTATTGTGACTTTGCCAATTGCCAATCAAATGTGAACCCCTGCAGGGGCCCCTGCAAAGGGAATATCCATTTTTCATGTCAGAAACACTGCTGAGATGGTGTCTGCCAAATCTAGGTTAGAAACATGATGAAACGCTTCCCAAAATGGCCCCCCACCCACTGGTGCAAGTTAACAGCCCTCAGATCCCCCGCTAAAAGTTTAACTTTTAGTGGGTTGAATGGACACTGCCACTAAACACTAAAAAGCTAACAGGCTAAGGGGTTGGCTGGGAGCCAACAAGTTAAGCTAAGCTCCCTGTCTTCTTTCTCGCCAAGGTGGCTGGGCCAGTCCTTTCTTTTTTGCAAAAAACAAGAAATTGCCGAAGCCTGATCAGGTTTCCTTTCGCTTCACAGCACCCCGACTTCGGGAACGAGCCGAACCGCAACAAAAGGAACTCAGGGGATTGGTTTCGAGTCCCTTGCTGTGATTCCATGGGCCATTCCCATGACTTCTAGCTTTGAAGGGGATTCAAATGCCCGCCCTATGTTCCACAACTGAGCGCAGTATTCGAAACCCAGTTGCGGCCGAAGAGAAACATCAAATCCCTCTCGTGTCACTTTCGCAAATTAAGAAATGGGTTCCAAGTTTGTTTTCGCTTTTGCAAACAAAGGAAACCCTACAACTTCGTACGCAAACAGGCCCTTTGCGAACCTTTCGCAAGTACGCGAAATGACCAAACTCCTTTTCGCGGACCATTTCGCGGTCGAGGCCAAAGCAACGTGTTCAAAGCGATATTTCCTCACGAAAATGTGCATGGGTGTTATTTCGCCGCTGGGCCTGGAGAAATGAACTATTGCCCGTCCACTTTTGGTTTCCGATTGGGCCCATCAAAAGTTGTTTGTCTAGTTAGAACCCAAACAACCATGCTGCCCAGACAAGCTCTTCTTCCAGTGCTGTCCGCTCGCTTTTGCTGGCATGTTACACGCCAAACCCAGTCAAATCGATATCCGCGAGTCGCTTGAAACCGCCTCGCGCCAAGCCTCATTGGGTGAACATCCAAATGTGGGAATCAGCCGTGCCTTGTTCGCTGTTCCGTGGGCTGCCCACTTTGCCCTTTCTCTTTTAGGATGGCTGAAAACCGACAACACCGCGGGACATGTTCGGTTTTAAGATCTTTGAAGGTTCATGGATGCCAAGTTGTTTGAGGCTCAGTTCAGCTGCCGCCCCATTTCCTCCAGCGTGATCTCACAGACCTTGCCATTCATCCTGGGCCCCGGCGGTAGGCACCGCCGTCAACTCATTGGTTCAAGAGCTGGTCTTCGACGGAAGTTGGTTCTTCCAGGCTCTTGGTTGACGGTGGAAGGGGAGCAACAAAATAAATTCTAGCAGTCAAGTGGGGATTTCCCACTAGACCGCAACAAGCAAACAAGTTGTAAGATGTTTCCCAACAACGACCATGCAATGACCCGTTTGGGGTAGTTTCACTCGAGCAGGATCTCCCCTCCCCACTGAAAAACAGGCCCAGGAGTTGGATCTTTTTGGGGCCTGAGAGCCTAAGAGGTTGGGCTCTCCATTGGGCGGGTGCATAGGTGACAAAAGCCAAGACACATGGCCCGTGCTCCAAAAAAGGCCAAGCTGGGGCCGAAAAGAAGCACGAGGCACTTGGAGCACTTGCACGTGACCCCCGTTTTTGTTGGGGAAAAAACCACTGGACGCTTGTTGAGGGTTCCTTGAACCCTGCAGCAACCAAGAGGGCCGGGCTGCTCAACATGGATCTTGACAGAGACAAAAGGCCAGCTGCAGATCATCTCAAAAGGTTCTGCTTACACACCCCACATGAGCGTGCCTAAGAAGGCTCCGATACATGTGCGCAAATTGTGAGCACTGATTTTGGAGGTCCGGTTGGAGCAAAGTAGGGAAGACTGAAGGAGGCCAAATGTTGCTCACTGGACATGTGAAACACCGGCATGCAAAAGCTGGCAAACCACGTTCCGTTCAACTATCCAGGATGACAGTACCGTAAACCTTCTGCAATAAACATGAAGAAATCACCGGTGACCAGTGGATGATCAGCATGATCCACATATCTCAAACGCGTCAAGGAAGCAAGAATAGTCAGACAAATGAGAGTCTTCTAACGACATGCAAAAGGTGCACACCCACTCCGAGCCCCGCTACTATAGGTTATGGGTAGTTGTGGGAGCAACTGGAAAATGTTACTACACGGTATAGGGAGCACAGGAATTTAGCCCCGCAAAACCTAATATAGGAACCGGATGAGGTGGCTGATTGTGCCTCATTTGGTGGTTGATTGCACTTTGATCTGAAAGTGTGGTTTGGCTGTGCTTCCTTTGGCTCCTCCCAACGTGCTGTGCTTCATTTGCCAAACAAAAAGGTTAGCTTCTTGCTTTCCGCTTCGGTTTGGACACGTCGAGCGATGAGTGAGAGACGCGAAAAGCCGGCCCCAAGTGCTATTCACGGTTAAAACAGTCAGGTGGGTAAAGCTTGGCATAGTCCTTCGTAGCCTTGAACACGTTTCCTTCATTTCCATTTCGCGGCGCCGAGACATGCCGCCGGGGCACTTGTTGCTCTTCACCTTGAACTCGGTGCCGGGGCTCAGAAGGCTCTCCTTCTCGTTGGAGTAGAAGGTCACCTACGGAGCGGAGCAGAAAAAGCCAAGGGCACTCGTTATGGGAGGTAAATCATGGAGTGTTTTTTTTGGAAGGCGACAACCATGTCAACCCCGGACCGGATTTTTCACGCCCTGGTGGATTCTGCGGTTTTCCAACCCAAGTGAGGCTTCCCTGCGCACTGGGGCACGCCCCATTCAATCAGGGGGTTGAACGGTTGTGAATCCATGGCTCCCCTTACCGAGCCTTCGAAATTTGCTGTGCTGTCACCCTACAGTACTTGGAACAACTAGAGAGAGCCCGGGAAGTTTGCGAAATTCCCGGAAGCACGTCCCGAACCCCAAATGGACAACAGACTACTGGATGTTTTGACAGAATCTCCGGAGGGCTCCCCAAAACGCACGCAACTACGGGTCTGGACATTTAGAATAGGATTGGGGGGGGTGCTTGAAACCACATTAAAGTCACGATCAGAGAATCATGTGCAACATGTAAAGTATGATGCCCCGTTGAATGGGTTCGATCTCTAGTGGGTGTTGAAATGGGACGCGACATGATAATGACGTTTGGTGCAAACAATTCGAGCCCGTGAATTAGAACCTGTTTCGCGTCACCTGAATGTGCCAGCAAAAGTGGAGAGGCCCTGCATGCAAAGGTCTTTAGCCCCTGAGACAGGTTCCCCCCCCCCAAAAAAAAAGAAGAGAAGTAGGTCTCGTCTTGCGAACCGCCATTTCCCCCCTTATTTCGGATCGAGAAGGGCGTCCATTTGAAGGACGTGAGGAAGAAGGTAAACCTCAATGCGCCTGGCTAGTTGGGCACCGAGCCAGTTTGATCCATTTTCTGTGCTTTAAGGCCATCCGTCCCACCCCGGCCAGCTACCAAGTCGGTTCACGTCACGTCGGCTCCGCTGGGTACACATAAACCCATCACTGATGGGCGGTTGAAACATTTTCGCAGTTACCCATTGCCCCGAAGAAGCCTAGGTATTCACTACTGGGGCTGTCTCGCAAACTTGCGTTCCTTCTGCTTACTCCCCCAGACTCACAGAGTCCCAGTTGCCAAAAGAAGCTCTAACAACCTTCCAAGGTCCCTTCTCTAGCTAGGTCCCCCAGTAGAGGTTAGAATAAGGGTACCAACTTTTTTCTGTCGTCTATTTTAGTAGGGGAACCCTCCCAACCACAAAAGTTGGCGAGAAGAACGCCAATTGCTGGATAGGGCATCACCGGTGGAAACGGACTGACTCCGACTCCGACCAAAGGGGTCTTTTGGCCACCTGTGAAAAACCCATCGTAGCAAGGGATTCCTTTTTGAGGGGGTCGTCCATTTTCTCAGAAAAGGTGGCAAAAAGCACAACAAGCACAAGCAAAAATGCAAAAACAAATGTTTCCCCACAACCGCCATGGAAACGGACCGAATCCGACTCTATGGCTCCGACTCCACGGCTCCGACGACTCCGCCGATCGATCCGCCTGGGAGATATCCGCCGCCGTCTTGGACTCCACCGTGATCAGCGTGCACTCACCGCCTCTTTTTCTGCGAGCTCGCCACGAGCGAGCGGCCCAGAAGTTGTTTTTTGGTTGTTGTTTTTCCGCCCGGCGGTCGCTGGTTTCTGGAAAACAAACACACTGTTTTGCGGAAATGGAACTTTCGGGAATGAAACTTCTGGAAAAACCATGTTTTTAGAACTTTTTGGGGGGGGGGGGGCACGGTAAACCAGGCCCAACATTCGTCCGTTTTTAGACTACATTAGAAACACCTATGGCCGCCCCAAGTACTTGCAGATTACTTCTGGAAAAACTTGCGGACATGGGGAAACGAGGCAAACGAAACAGCTCAGGAAACAGCTGTGGTGTTTCTGGGAAAAACAACTTTTTCGGACATGGGGGAAACGAGGCAAGCACCAAAAGACACCCTTTGGAGACTCGGTTTCCTTTGAGGGTTCTCTCTGAGTTGTTCCAAAATGGGGGATCCCTAATCCGAACGCTCAACCCCAAGCGGCCGGATTTGCGAATTGGAACCGAAAAATGGACACATTGAAGCGGCTAGGCTTTGGAGGTTGCTTTGATGCGCCCTTCCAAAAAAAACACACAAACAACGCGCACACACAAACAAACAAATGAGTACCCTCACTAAAACGGACGCCTCCCCCCATCCCCCCCACCCATTTTGGGTGTCCTCCCGACCCCACTCTGACCCAAGGCACAAATGAAACGATCGATCCAAGGCGCCGCAGCCCTGTGCGAAGCCCTTGGCCACACCTTGGTCCTCGGTCGCGAGAGCGGATGCGTCCGCGTCATTCCGCGTCTGTCGAGCTGGAAAGAACCTTCTAATGTTGACCCCGGATGAATGAAGCCCTGTTTATTCATATGCGGGTGTCCGTGGTGTTTTAGTGTTTTAGTGTTTTGCCCTGGATTTAATAATCAATTGCTGCAATATGACGACAGACGCTAATACGGTATTGAAGAATCGAACCATCAGTGTAAGACAAATACAGATGGTCAATTGCTCGGGAGGACGCGGGCCCACCCAAACGCGGATCCCACGTAAGGCAGGTGGTTGCTGGATGTATCCTATAATGTTGACCCAGGATTAATAAACTCGTCCCAGTACTAGGGGGGGTGTGCCCTCCAAAAGTGGTCTGACTCCCCACTAAAAGAGTACACCCCCCTATTAATCAACCAGCGGGTTATTAATCCAGGATGTGTCCGCGTCTGTCGAGCTGGAAAGAACTTTCTATGAACCCCCCCCCGATATTAATAAGCAGGGGTTCATTAATCCCGGGTCAACATTAGGTCGCAGTTCTATAAAGCACTTTCTATGATTTAGGTTGCAACTCGATGCAAAACTTTCTATGATTTCGGTTCCAAATCTATGCAGAACTTTCCATGATTTAGGTGGATGGAGTTCCATGGAGGTCGAAACGAAGGTCTAGGGGTACATTCCTCATGCTTTTCGGGGATCTTTCTTTCCAGAACCTTTCGGAAGTTGAGGAAAACATGGATCCTGTTCATTGAAAAGAAGGGTGGTTGGAAAGAATGGATGGACTCAACCCCTAGAGAAGTGGCACTTAGATTGTCTGGTTGATCGAATCTCCCTGTGAATTGGCCAGGAAAAGTAAGCACACTGTTTGTTGGTCCCCGAAAGCTTCAAATCCAGGCACTCAGGAAGTGAGATGAAGAGGGAATCCCCTGCAAAGCAAAGCTAAACAGGGTTGTGGGATCACTCGGGGTTTCTCCAACCACTTCTGTGAAAGGGAATCCCCCTTATGAAGGAAATACTTAGTCTTTGGGAAGCCCTTTCTGTTGTATCACAGTGGTCATTCCCCACAGCCCTGAAGCTAAAACAGGGATCCTTGTTATACACCTGAACCTTGCCTTGTAAATGGCGGCTTCCCTTTGTTTTGGTGTTGAAAAAGCCAGCCATGTTTCAAATGGAATGGCAAAATGTATCTTTTAAGGAGCCCTGCTAAACCGCCGAGAAACCTGCTTTTATTGGGCACTGAAAGTGCTTCCCATGGGAAGCAATCCCCACCCAAGCCTCATTTGGCTGTGGCTCAAAAAAACGGTGCCAAAATGGAACCCTGGTAAGTGGAAACATGGACCAAAACCTGCGTAACCCCTCCTGTTTAATTTTGAGCCACACCCAAATTTCGGTTCCAGGATGCTTCAGGTCTGAGCCAGGTTCCGACCTCTGGGCAGCCCGGCAGAGGTGCAACTGGAGATGCCCCACCACACCACGGTGCTTCCCACCTTGTACCTGACAGGTGTCCCCACAAAAGCCCCTCCACTCGATCTCAATCAAGAGATCACCCTGTGGAACTATTCAGAAAAAACAAAAAAACAGAGCACAATCCGCCGGATCCCCCGCTGAGAAGGTTTAGCTTTTGGTTGAGTAAATGTAAACTACCACTAAACGCTAAGAAGCTAAAAAACTAAGGGGATGGCTGGGAGCCGCCAAGAATTCACGGATCTCACTTCCAGAACTCGCATGAAGTACGTCCTCTCCGTGTAAGCGCGGGACACATACGGCACAGTAAGTGGACCACTTGGGTGCTCCCGAGTCAAAAGGGGGGCCATGGTTGTACTACCCCAAGCACAAGACAAGTTCAAATGTAAAGCGTTCGCGCAACATCTCTGAAGGCTGGCGTGAACTGTTGCGTCAACACCACCCAAAAAGGGACAGAACGGATCCCTGCGATCCACAACCAATGCTACAACCGAGTCAGGATTCGTACAAACACAAGAGAAAAATAGGCCCAACAAAGCAAAGTCACACAGCCCGAGCTCGTTTGCCCGCTGTAAATATTGTGCAAATCCGGTGATCCCAAGTGTGGCTTGGCTCCTTTTTATTTGCGGACCCTCGGGTGGACATCAGGAAACCATGGGGACGTGTCTGCAAACCCAATCTCACCTTACCCTTTGGTCTGGATCCGTGGTTTGGTGGTTGCTTGGCCCACATCCAACATACTCCAAAGCTATGGTGTCTGATTCTATTTCATACTTAGCCAAATAATATGACATAGTTTCACACCAACCAACTCCACCAAAGTCATTGTGCTTCTTGAGCTCCAAACATCCAGTGGCCATCAGGAAAAGTCGGGGCCTTTTCTTGGATTTTTTTTACTGTTGAAGGGATCTGCCTCAAATCATCGAGAGCCAAAACAAGGTCATCGAGAGCTTACCGCTATGGTCTGCTTTGAAGGTATCAGGTCCCAGCAACTCAGGCAGCCAGAATGCGTTTGTCACAACCGGCAAAGAGGTTTTGGACATTCTGGGTACCTGGAGTCTCCAGCCGGACTCCATGACCCCTAAAAAAACGGTTTGTCATTACCCAAAATCAAGGGGTCATTGACTCATCTTTAAAGGGTCAGAAGGAGACTCCAGGTATCATTCCCTCTTTCTCCTTTCTACATCCTATCCCTTCCCCACCTATCCACTGCTGATGATTGGCTTGGAAGTGGATAGATGAGGGTTAGGTATGTGTCAAACATCCGGGTGCCCCCTTCAACGGCAGGGACGTCGTCTGAGGCTTCAGCTGGGGGCTCTTGTGGAGGTCCACCTGCAGACCGCGCCAGAGCTTTCGCTTCTGCTTGGGCAGCGCGTCCATGGACTCGAAGAAGAGCCGGAGGTACTTGAAGTACCTTGGTTGACGTTGGAAGGGGAACAAACATGGAAAACACTCATCACAACACCACCAACATACCTGTCTGAGTGCCTATGTAACTACAGTGGACTGACTGGCGCTACGATCTGCGCAATCTGCGTGTCAATGGTGGAAGGCCCCCTATTTGACAGTTCAGTGGATTTGGATTTCAACCACTAAACAAAAAACCAGAAACAAATGCAACATGTTTCCCAACACCAACCATGGTACCTCTGGCGGCCAGATCTCAGATGCCCAGTCGATTTCCCTCTGGAAGAAAAAGAAGAAGCGGCATCATGTTTTGTTCCGGAAGGGTTGAGTTTCAAGGGGAACCCTTTCAGAAAAAAAAGATGAAACAAGGGCGGAATCCACTGAATCCACTGGGCAACTGGGACATCGAGCGCATTAAAGAAAAACATATCCCGTTCAGGGGGTTTGACCAGGGCTTAAAGGGAATCCATCGGACAGGGAAACAAGTGACAGAACTTGGACCTGAAACATCCAAGCAGGGCAAGTCAAGCCACCTGGCAAGTGGTTTAGGTCAGCAACCACTGGGCCGAAAATGGAGGGGATCCTCACTTCATTGCCATCGACTCAATGGCAAGGCGCAACACACCCACCAACACCATTCCGGTCCCCGAAGCCTTCTTTGACAGGCTCCCCCACAGACATCGTGTTGATTTTAAACATCGCCTACTCTGCCTCCTGCCCTCTTATTGTAAGTTCATTTTTAAGACTTGAGCAAAAACACGGAGCCTAAAGCGTAAAACGATCTCCACAAAGCTTGGGCAAATTCCCGGAAACCCTGCTACGTTCAGCGTATGGGGGGTTCCATATCAAATGCTTCTCTTAAGAGGTGTGATGATTGGGCTGCATTTGCCCCAACTTCGGATGGCCGCCCGGTCTCGCGGGCATCGCTGGAAAGTCCTTCACTGAGGGCCCACACTGCTGATTATGGTGGGGGTATGCTTGAATCCCGGTGCACCCCTGCATTTTAGATCACCAAACAACTAAAACACCTTGCTAGGGTACAATCATCACCGCACGACAAAACTCAAACACCTTGCAATTTGACAGTAGGCCTCTTCAACTACATCTGGGATTTGTCGCCCAACCAAATCTGTATGTATACGGGCTGCCGTTTTTGAGGGTGTCCTTTGGGGTTGGGTCGGAGCGAAACCAACCGGAATGCCACCTTCGTGTTGGAGGGGGTCCTTTTCACCAGTCTTTTTGGAAGAGGATCATTTAAAATTTGGGGGTTGATCAATATTCCTGGCCCCAAAATGATCCTGGGTAACTTTTCCCATTTGGCGAAAGTCGCCTTTGTTTCGTGGCTTCCCTGATCCCACGCAAAGGAGCTTTTGATCAACCCCCATTTCAAGACACACCCATTAAAGCTTCAGGGTGCTTCTTCAGCTTGCCGCGGTTGTTGTCCCGCAAGGTCTGGTTCAAATCCTTGTAGATCGCGTTGGAGGTGTAGAGCAGAATCGCCCCGTACTCCTGCGCTGAGTCTGATGTTTCAAGCAACCTGTGCCCCAAATGGCAGAAGAGAATCTTTTGGATGCTCATGTTTACAGCTCAGGGGCTTTCCAACCCAAACAAAAAAAAGGGGAAGCACTGAAGCACTGCAGCTTGCCAGCTTGGAAGAAACCAAACGCGAATCGGAAAGGATTCGACCAGGTCATCCTGGGTTGAAATCACACAAGACCTCCAGGTCCACAGTGGATTTCCATGGGAAGAAAAGAACAGACACTCACTCAACTGTTTTGCTCAGGGGGGTCTGTTTGCCACCTGTTGTGAGAACATTGGCGAGCCCCTCAACAAGGAATGCTTCACTAAAAGGGGTCGATCCTTTTTCCACCAAAGGTGGCAAAACGACCCCCCCTGTCTTTTGCTTGCTAGCTGGTTGTAAAGCTGGAAAACCCACTGCCGGTCTCGGCTGTGACTTTTGCCGCCAGACCCATTTGCTACAAATTTGCTCGTGATTTCGTGACTCCCCCAAGCCAGCCAGCCCGGGAATTCGGGAGGGCTACGGCAAACCGAAGTCGGACCTCGGTCCTTGTCCGTCATCTTCCGCTTTGGCTTGCCAGCCTTGCGTGTCGAGAACCGGCAAGAACTTAGAGAACTGCTCTGGATTTCTAGGGCTCCTATCGCCCCCCAAGACAATCTCCAATTTGCAAAGCATAAGGCGTTGGTTTCCGCGAGTCCAATGGTTCCCACATGGTTTCCTCGACTTGGGCTCAATTCCCTGTTCACACAGACTGCTAGCCACTTGCTGGTCAACGGATAATCCACGGATCCCCTCTCCCAATCCCCCAACTCCAGTTTTAAGGGGGGCGGCACAATTGGCACGTGATTGTTCATGGGAAACAAGGCTATCCCTTCCTTGACAGACGATTTTAAAGGGGCCCGCCCTCTTTACTGCTTTGCTTCAAACCAGAAGCCGGCTCAAGAACAAGAACATCCAAACAGCCCGACTCGACAAAGCCCGATCATTCGAGCAAGGGATTCCAATACGGGTCGGTCTCGACCTTGAAAAGAATATGCTCGAACTCACCAGGTGGTGTTTTCCTTTGAGTGTTGCTTCGTTTTTTGGAGCCATTCTCCGCGTTTCAAAGCCCAGAAAGGAACCCTTCGCCGGGCGAAGGGGCGAGGGATTTCTTGCCCGTTAGCTGGGCAGAAGAAACGAACGCGTCAGACGAAAGCCGTGAAGAAAAAAAAGGCGGCGGAAAAGCTGGCCAGAGGCTCTGAGCAAAAGGTTTGACCTTTTTTTTGGCTCAATGGAATCCAATTGTTTCTGAATTTCTTACAGGTCCCTAGGTAGTCACAGCAAAAACCAACCAAAGGCAACACCTGGGTGCCCGCCCCCGCGGATTGCCACGCCTGCTTCTTGGCAAGCTTCGCGCCAAAGGTTGCACTCTCCTGCGAGCAATCCATTTCCGAATGGGAGCCCGAAGGAACCCATGCGGATGCCGCTGGAATGAGTTTCCTTCCTCCAAAAATGAGGACGCCCTAAGGGAGCACAGTGAGGTTCCAGCGTGCTTTTGGTCGTTTCAGCCTCAAACATATTGTTCTGGAACGCAACAAAAGGCTTGACTCGAAATAGAACATGGAACCCCGAAATGAACTGGGGTGGGCCTTTGTTCGTAGCAATCTCGTTCTTCCAACCACACCAGAGACTAAGATGGCTTCATCCGCGAGCTTCCACGTATTCTCCAAGTCTTCTCTTCCCCTACGGCCAGGGGCAAACAAATGGCATTGGAGGTTTACGTTTCAGTTTTCGTACCCAACAAAACGGTGTATCACACGGTGTCCTTCTTTTGGGAAGGTACCTATTGCATCCTCTTTGTCCCCTGTTTACCCTCCTTGCGGACGCCATCGATATCTGGGTTTCTGTCAAAACACGGAGCACCCCAAACTAGTGGCTTTCTGTATTGATTTCCAACCCACAAATGGGAAACCTCAAAAACAAACCACCCCTGCATATATGTCGTTGAAAGAAGCGATACCACCCATGGTGCATCTGGCTTTTGCGCAGTTCCTCCTTCTCTCTGCTCATGGTTGCAAACAGTAACCCTTTCTGTGATACCAATCCCTACCACTTTGTCGTTTCAAGGGGATTCCCCCCCTTCCCAGAAAAAAAAGGCCGAGCCTGAAAAATATAAGTCCATGGTTCCCCCCTTGTCTCCCAGAAAAAAGAAAAAAACGGCCGAGCCTCAAAACATGTGTTTTTTTTCTCTCCAGTCCGTGTCAACCTGCCGCAAGCGCGGGCGCAACCATCGTGGGAGGAGCTTCTCCTTGATCTGATGGGACTTGGCCACACTCCCGGCCGCATCGTCCAGCGAGGCGGGCACTGGGAGCTCCAAGACCTCAAGCGGACCCAGCCTTTAGCCAAGAAGCTCAGCTCGCAGCGGGAAGAAAAAAACACACACACACACGTCCGGAAAAGCGACAGGTCCGGCGCCTTCCCAGACTCATGTAAAACCAAACCAAATCCGGAAACAACCAAAGGGTCCGGAGCATTCCAGGGCTTCATGAATGAAAAAAACAAATACCTGAAGTGGCATGGGCCATGTTGGCCACTGACGGCTGGAAGGTCCTGGAAAAACGCGTCACTTTTTAAAGCTGCGTTCAATTCGATTTGTCCTTCTTTGAAGGACAACAGAAGCCTGGGCTGCGCCATAAACGCTGCCAAGTTGAAGTGAGGCTCTCCTTCAAATGGGAGGCCGGGCACTCCTTGGGTTTTTGGGTGGCTTGACCAGCATTTAAATCGGGCTTCATCGTTGGCAACAGGTGCAAAGTCATGGACTTGGTCCATGGATTGAAATGGCCCCCGGCAGTTGATCCTTGGAAGTCGGTTGGAACCCGTAGGCCGACTTGGCAACTGGTTCCCTCCATAGGCGACTGTCTCTGTAAAAACGGGGGGTGTCCCTTGGTTGTGTTGGGCGAGCTGGAAGCGATTTGGTCGAAATGAGTAACGCCCGCGCCAACTTTGGCTGTGTGTGTTCAACGCTGGCTTTGGGAAGTGGACTAAGAACCCACTGTCGTCCCCAATTAACTGCATTGCTATACATGGCCGGGAAGTGAACGGAAGAACTCAATGCGGCTCCACTTTTCTAAGATGAGACTTGATTTCCCAGTTGCCCAGTAGCCTTTTAAAAGGAAACCCTTGTTGGGGTTGACCTTCCATGGGAAAGCCACTGGATTGTACTATCCTGTCGGTCTCTTTGATTGCTTTCCGTTTTTTTCTTAAATATCCCCTGAAGAATCGACCCAAAACCCTGGCCCGGGTTATTTGGGTGACTTGATTTTTGGCGTCAAAAGGAGCTGCGCTGCTTTCGGGGAACACTAGTTAAGGCAGGGGGTGGTTGTCCCGCAACCTTCAAAGACAGGACAGGTCAGGACAGACACACAGACGAACGGCCGGACGCACCGATAAATGGACGGACGGACGGACAAACAAACAAACCAACCAACCAACCGACCGACCGACCAACCAACCCACCAACCAATCAACTACCAACCAACCAGCCAGCCAAACAAGCAAGAGAGCAAACCTCACTAAACTAGCAAGCGAGCAAACAAACAAACAAACAAACAGGCAAGCAAGCAAGCAAGCCAGCAAGCCAGCAAACGAATGAGGCAACGCGCAAGCGAGCAAGCAAACAATGAAACAAGCAATCAAACCAAGCCAACCAAGCCAACAAAACAACAACAAAAGACACGCCACCAAACAAGCATACCAAACAGAACACAACCAAGCACAAACATGCAACGACACACAACACAACATAAAGAAACACAAAAGGCCTGGAAAACCAACAGAACAAAGAAAGCTGTAGAAGCAACCGTCGCCTGTGACGACATGCGCGTGCGCTAAAGCCAAGGCACACCCTCCACAGGGGACATGTGTTTACTCTCCACCTCCTCAAAGCCCATGCGCAAGTAGAACTTCAGCAACTCCTGGCCAGGATTGGGCTGTTCCTTTCGAGCACGAGAGATGGCGCAGCAGGTTCAGCAGATCATGTTTCACTAGAGACATGAAAGTGGGACCCAGGGTTGAGCGATTCAACGTCTTGTTTGAACATGAGCAGTCAAAACTGCGAATGCTCCGCCAAAGCGACAAAGGAATTTTAGGGTGCGCCTCCGGGCTGTGGGAAATTTAGCGAGTCCCTTCATGTCCCTCCCCAACAACACATAGACTACTGGCTAATTTTGTCCGAACCTAGACACGCCAAGGGTGTTGAAGGGTCCCTACAAGCCCAGCAACTCAAGGAGTTAGTCTACAGTGTCAAGCAGCAAAGTCATCATGATGTACCAAAACAAAATCTTTAAGCATGGGATATGGTTGGTTCACACCAATTGCGTCATATTGCCCACACATGAGTCCAACTATCTGGCTACTAAAGCCCCCCTAATCAGATGGTAGGACCATCTGATTATGTCTGCGGGTCCCTGTCCTGTTTTGCTGCCCGGCCCAGCTCCAAGAAGCCCCGGCGGACGGGAAGCAAAGAACAACTCCCCAAAAAAAGCCAGAGAAGGAAAACCGGACGGACCCGACTGGTGCTGGGTCCTCCAGAGAGGATAGAATAAGGGTGTCCGATGTGTTTTTCTGTCTATTTTGGTAGGGGAACCCTCCCCCAAGAAACGGTAAAAGGGCAGCTCTCCGTCCTGCTGCTGCTGCAGCAAGTCCACGGTGTTGATGGAAGTAGGTCGTTTCCGGCCTTCAGCGCAGGGAATGCAAACAAGATGGCCTCTACCACCCCCTCCCCAAAAACACCACCAGCAGCCCTTGAATACAAACAAAATGGCCACACCAGATTCATAAACCCCTGTTTCTTAATATGGGCCCCGGTGTCCCCGGTTTTAGTGGGGATTCATCACTTTTGGAGAGGAACACCCCCATATTGATATAAACAGTGGACTTTTCATCCGGGGTCAACATTACAAACAAGATGGCCTGCATTCCCCCCCAAATCACAACGTGGGAGTTGAGGAGATACCGCCAAAGTGCAGCACGTTTCCGCCTGGATTGCTTTGCTTGTGGAAACCTTCTTAGACGGAACACCCGCTGTTGAACGAAAAGCGCCGAAGATTCTCCCACAACACAGGGTTTTGGTGGGATGCACCCATCATCTCCCCGTACCAGTAAGCGGAAATCTGGATAATCTGCTATCCTACCCAAATTACCGTGTGGGGAATGACACCTTTACCTGACGGTGCCACAACTTTTTATCTGGGTTTGTTCAACATGGGGCCCTCCGTAGTCGTAATCCCCAATCGGCAGTGGGATACAACAAGGGAAGCTACTAAAATCAGGTGTAGGATACATGTCTCCCAAACATCAAGCACCATTTAATTTAAGTTGCAAACACCGGACAGTCATATTGTGAGCTGCTGCATCTGTGTCCCTTCCAAAAAGAGACCCACGTTCGTCCTCGGGCGGACTTCGGCGGGAAGGCGGCTTATTGAACAACCGCGGGGGCAGGTGAGGTGAGGGGGGCGGTTGGAATCCTGGAGTGCTAGTTCATTAGCTATGCGTAGGGAATCCACCGTATCGTGGTTGGGCACACTCAAGAACGCCAGCACAAGCAGTATGAATTGCTTGGATTTGCCGCACATTCCCAGCTGATCTTGCAGGCTGCTGTCTCCGCCTGACTCTGGATCACCCCATGTCAGTGCAGCACGTGAATTCGCTGGACTTCTTTTCTGCGTGCTGACACGCACTTCATGTTGTGCCAAAAAGCTGCAGAACTTCGCGTTGGGAACATCGGCGCAGCGCCAAGCCGCCCGACGTGACTTGAAGGAACTGATGATGGTCAGACTCGCCAGCGACTTGCAATGCGCAGTCATAGGTGTCCTTTTAGGGGAAATAGATGTCCCTGGTAGATGATTAAACAACCACATAAACCAGGGCCATCTAGCACAACCAAAAAGGACACCTATGTCCGCAGGCCGTAGTGTATTGTGAACGCGGCACTCATGGAGGATGCCGAAACATTGTAAGCTCTAAGCACTCCGCATATGCGCTAATTACTGATAGAGCTGACTTGGCTCGCCTTTCAGCACTGTCTCCCTCTCGTATTTATACCATGCTTGTACATGCGACACTGCACGGTCAACCTCAAAGTGGATTCCAGACGACCCATTCTTTGCATAAGTGGTTTTGCCAAGCCCCTCGGGAGCTTTCTGATGCATGTGTCCTGCATTCGTTTGATGTCCCACAACTTCCCTGACTGCTTGTGTCAGCTGGCTTCTTTGTTCTCTCCAATCCAACTGGCAGTGGTGGCATTGCATCGCCGAAGGGCTGTTCCCAAATGCCATCTCAAACATCACAACTCCCATCACAGTGATCCTAATTGTCGCTACCTGCGCCAAACTCTCTATCACCCCAGGTCACAACAGCCCCAAGCAAAGGCGAAACGATTCGCTTGGGTTTGCTGGACCTTCCTCAGCCGCTCTTGCACATGTTTGCTGTCCCTGCAGACACTGGATCACCCCATGTCGCAACAGCTCCAGACTCAATACTGGCAGCAAAAGCACAGTGAGTCGCTTGAATTGGCTGGACGTTCCTCAACTGCTCTTGTACCTGGCTGCCGTCTCGGCTCAACTTCGTCTCTCTGGGCATGCAGCACAAACTCCTTACTAGTGGAGGACAGCTTGGTGACTGTGGCCGTCAAGCTGCCGTTCGTTCGCAGCGAGCTTCCGACTGCGCTGAAGCCTTGAGCTCGCTGATGGGCATCTCCGGTGTGACTGATCTTCCGGGCGTCCGCAGCCGGCCTTCCAGCAGGCCGTCAGCCAGAGGCTGCCACTGCAAAGCTCCCGGCGCGCCGTTGCGTCGAGGCAGATACAAACTCTGACTCGGACGTCTGGGCCGGGACAGTGGTCGTGTGCTTGCCGAGCAGCCGAGCTCCCTGTTTCTCGGGTGGCAAACCGTGCTTTTTGGATGGGATCAAATAGTTTTGGAACAGAGCCAGTGAAGGTTCTAACTTACATAAGGAACTTAAAACCATGGCCTCTGTTGGCAGCCAAGGACATCTGCTAGAGTTTCTCAAGGCTCCCAGCCGAAGTCGTGGGGAATCAGCGAGAAGTACTCAGAGGAAAGGTCGTCCAGGGCAGACTTGCCTCGCGGCTCAAGGGAAACTTGTTTCACCCAAAAAGTCCTGGCCTAGGAGCTGTGGATAGGAAATGCGGCCTTTCACCACCAAACACCTCCAAGAAAGAGGTCTTGACCTGAAAGAATGTGACCTTGGACCCTTCAGACTGCCTGTTCTACCAAAAACAACTTGGGCCTCTGAACTGAAGACAACCAGCCTTTGCCCCCGTCTGGAAAGTATAGTTGTCGATATCAATGAATACCTGACAACGTTGCCCTCAAACATCGAAAGGACATCGCCCAAAAAATATGAGTTGTACTTATCAGTGACTCAGATCTTCGACCCCCCCTCCCCGAACCTTGCCCCAAGGTGCTCTGGTTGCAAGCCTACATAGAGCCGCGGAATCCTTTTAGCTCAGTCCCTTGGTCAGATTCCGTCGAGCTCACCCGGTCCATATGGGCGAACCGCTCGCACCGGGAGATGGAAGCTGCTTCGGCTTCCACCCCAAAAACTTTGCCGTGGGCCTAGGGGAAATAGATGGATTTCCCCTGATGAAACCCACCAGGCAAGCCAGGGATCGCCATCTATTTCCGAGCAAAACCACCAAGAAGGACACCAAAAAGGCCTCTAGGAGTTGCTTGCTCGAAGGGCGAGGAAAGGAACCCAGCCGGGTTTCAACCGCCGCGAGAAACACCGCGTTTTTTTCTGGGTGAGTTGCAATATTTCACCAACCTGAAAATCAGGTGCTTGGGAGGCTACTCCCCACATAAACCACCATTTGGGGTGAACTCGGTCGTGTGAGGTCGTTGTAATTCACGCCGCTGAAATTTGGAGTTCGGCCGCTTTGCTGCGCGGCTTGGGAGGATGGCAGGAACAAGCCCTAGGTCCTCCAGTTTTGAGAGGTTAGAATAAGTTGGTACTAACTTGTTTCTGTAGTCTGTAGTCTATTTTACAGGAACCCTCCCGCCAAAAAAGGGGACCTAGCCTACCAGGTCGATGAACAATTCCATCCACCCAAAGTAGCAGGGTGCGTTGGCCATGAAACACATGTCAGGAAGCAACTGCAGAGTGAGTACTGCTTCGGTTGGGGATCTTAACTTGAAAACAAAAAGAACTGTTTGGGGAGACCATCTTTGTTTGAAAAAGAAAAGTACGTGTTACATTCGAGCCCACTTTGACAGGCCTCAAGCCTCGAGCGAGCCCCGCCTTTTTTCTTCAAGGCCGCCTCGATCTTGTCCAAGACACCCTGGCCCTTGACGATCTGCTTCTGGCCAAATGTCCAAGCTCTCTGTCCCATGCAGATCTGTGATCTGACGAAAGGCATTCCAAGGAGCCCCTAAAGCCAGACGCCAAGAAAAACAAATCCTTTTCTCAGTTGGCCAAAGGGCCCAAAGATTAAAAAACAAAAAAAAAGGTTAACCTTTTGCGGACATGACAACAAATAGTCCAGAAAGGGGAAACTAAAAGGTCAAAAGGTCGGCTTTGGACAAGTGAGTCTTGGTTGCCTTCCAGCACCAAGTGACTTCTGAATGGTTGAACACCTTTAACCTTTGCCGCACTGCATGCACCATGCAGGTGGAAAACTTAGCCTCGGCACCAAAAAAAAGATCAGCCATGACCTCACGTCCTGACAAAGAAAAAGCTGCTGACGACCGGTGTTCGTGACATTCGAGTTGCCCCCGGCAAGATGAGGAGACATCACTCCTTGCACTCTGTTCAGCAGGCATGGCATTCGCAGAACACATCCCGTCGAATCCACTAGCCTTGAATACTAGGTGAAGAACCGCCAGCCTTGGTCGACGTTGGAGGGGGAGCAAGATTATATGTTTTCAGTTCAGTGGGGATTTCCCACTAAGCCACAATAAGCAAAAATGTAACATGTTTCCCAACAACAACCATGCAGCAGTCCAAGTTGAAGCTGACTTCCCTCAAACGCAAGGCCGCAACAGCAATGCTGAAAGCACTAAGCAAAAGAATCAGCCACTTGCCAAACCTGACGTCCTTAGTTTTGCTCAGCCCAAAGCCCTTGCCGAATCTCATTTATCCCTCGCGCAAAGTCTGTCGCACTCTGGCAAAAGTGACCGATCCCACAACGCAAACCTGAAATTGCCACCATGGTCCTGCAAATTTGAATCCTAAATGACATGGAGAGGAATTGGCCAAACGGCCTCGATTTCTTGCATGTGGCCATGGTAGCAACTTTCGCCCTGGATGCTTCTAAAATGTTTGTCATCATGGTCCACAGTGAGCGTGACATGTGAAAACAACTTTGACAATCCCAGAAAAAGCCAAAGCAGGAACTCGGGAACTCCCGAAACATTGACGGAACATGCCAATGTAGGAACTTCAAGGGCCCACATCATTGTTCCTGTGCTGTCTGTCAACTCAAAAAACCCAGTCGACCTGGTCTTCTGAAATGATCTCATACTGAATCCTGGCTCAACATAACACACCCAGCCAACCAACAAACAAGCAAACCAACACACAAACCACCAGAACAAACCAACAGAACAAACAAACCAACAAACAAACAAATTTAACAAACATGCAAGCAAGAAAGAAAGAAAGCAAGCAAGCAAGCAAGCAACAAGCAAGCAAACCAAGCAAGCAAGCAAGCAAGCAACGAACCACCCAACCAACATTCCGCCTCTGTAAGCTTGCCCATGGGAGCGTCGCCGCCGCCGCCGCCCTCCTCGGTCTCCACGATGATGTACTTGCCCTTCCTCAGCTTGGCCAACCAGCAAAAGTGGCCCGGCGCGCCTGCGAGCCAGCGAGCAAGCAAGCAGGCAGCAATATCGATCCTTGCTCTTACAGGAAGCACCAATTGGCAGTCTTTTGGTATGTTAGACTTTGAACGTCGTTCATTCAAGGTCGAAACACAAATTGTTCAGGTCTTCAAACTCTTGGTTCTGGACACCATCACAAATTGCGCCACTTGAAGGGCTGCGTGGGTTTGTTTAACCTCACCACCGAACACAACGCCCTTTGAGGTAGTTCTTGTTGTCTTAGCCTCTGAACCCCAACTTCCCCGGGGTGCCGCGATTTCGGCCTTTCGGCCAGGCGTCTTGGGCTTGAAGTCGTCGATGTATTCCCAGGCGTTGGCGGACTTCTCCCGGAACTTGCTCTTGAAGTCCTGGCGATCCGTGCTTGGTTGACGTTGGAAGGAGAGCCATTAACAAGGCTGTTAAGTGGGGATTTCCCACGAATTACCAAAAACAAAAATCTAAAATGTTTCCAACAACATCCATGCGTTGGATGTGGAGTTGGAAAGTGCGTCTTGTTTGGAGGGTAACAAACAGTTTCTCACTTATCCAGTGGATGGCCCAAAAAACGTCCAAACTTTCTGTGTTACCAATAAAATGGTCCTCCCGAAAAGTTTGAAGTCCATGAGCTCAGGAAGTGACTATCTTTAAGGGAAGCCAAAAGGAAAATCGGCCACTCTACTTCGACACATGCCCAGGTCGCCATGGTATCAGCAAGCCTACGGCAGATGCCTAACCAGCTTGCTACCAGGTAAGAACCCATTTCTCAAAGTCGAACTAGAGGCACAAAGGTCAGTAACACAAAATGTTGAATTCCCGTCCTTGGTTGTAGCCGCAAGTTCAAAATTCTGTCCAAACAACATGTGCTTGTAAGGGGAGCCGTGCCCAGCCAAGAGTTGGCCCGAAACCTGGTGTGTTCCCTGAGCAGACAGCAGCCTGTTTTTAGGGTTTGGGAGCGCCATCGGGTGTTGGGATTCCAAAGCAAACCTTGCAGTCTCCACTTTTGTAGGGTACGCCTGGCTCCTAACCGTTGCTGGGGTCCTGAAAACGGATTGTGTTTTGGGCGGGGTTTTCCTTATGACCCTTGGGGTACGCCACCGGACCTGCTGGATACGGCTTTGGTGAATGCACCCCAAGGAGGGTCCGGTACCCCTCTTTGGTTGTAGAGGAAAACCAAAAGGAAAACCACGATATTGGGGCCATCAATACCTAAATTCAACAAGTGGCCAATGTTTCTCATTGCTTTCTTTGAATACCACCCAATCTTCAAAAACCTGAATCGACCTGAATCTTGCTGGTACTCAGCAAGGAATGAAGGAATGAACCTGAAAATTCCCTCAAACGAAACCGAACCATAGGGAATGGCCTATAGGTTGGGGCCTCATCTGAGCACGTGCGCCTGCGAGCCGAAAATCAAGTGCGCTCGCGAGGCCGTGGGGTCATTCCGTTTCTCATTCCCTGCATCTCTCGCACCAGAAAGAAATCCAAGAAAGAAACAAGAAGAATGCCACAAATTCGCCCACCCCCCCAAATGTAAAGCAACAAGCCCTGGCATCCGCGAACTGGACCACAAATCGATTGCCGCGCCTTGATGGCCGCCTCCGGAGTCCCAAACCTGAGTCAGATGTCAGATGTCCACCCTGGATGTCCCACCGACTTTAGTAGGTTGAAAATATGGCTATGAATTTTAGTAAGGAATGTTTGGTGGACATCATGCCAGTGGGGATTTATGTCCACCAACCACATTTTGAGGAGGTTCTCCATTCAAATTCATAGCGCTGTGGTTAGGGAACTCACCCCTCCAATAAAGAAATACTGGCAAATAGCCATGGCACAGATGCCCACCTCTCTTGAAACAGTGTAACACTAGCTTGCCTTATAGCCCTTCCCGGGGTTGGCGCCAGGAAAAAACAGCTTTCTTGTGGTCAGCTCAAAATATGGTCCACTCAACTTCCGTGTGAACAAATCAACCAACATGTGTTAAGTCTAGAAAACCCGGCAGAACAACGCGTTGTCGCAGTGTACGGATTCTGCGTCCTTCGGCGCCAGATGAAGCAAAAGTGACTGCTTTGCTCCCACATCCACTGGAAAAAAGAAAGTTCAACAGGGAAATCAGTCAAGGAATCAACCCCCAGAATTGTTCAACCCACTTAGGTTACTATAGGGTTGGTGGGTTCTCAAACCTAACCCATTGGGGAACCTACAAAGTCTGTTTTGGGAACCAACTAAACACCTCCTTGATGTTGGAAACCATGGTTTTCATTTCATAGGTGGAACCTATGTTTTGGATGCCCCTAACCTTTCGGATGTCACCGAACCTTTACTTGGTTGACGCTGGAAGGGAGCAACAATTCTCAAATTTTAGCAGTTAAGTGGATTCGGATTTCAACCACTAAACCACAATAAGCGAAGCCATCAGCGCATCAGCCCGCAACCGCTCCATCTCGAGGTCTCGGGGCTCCCGGCGTCTTGAGCTTGGTGGCGCCCGACTCGCCCACACGGCCCCAGCGGTTCCAGGCGTGGTACTGGCCTAAGAAACGACCCAGGATCTAAGTAGAACCCGTCCCATTAGGGGGGTTGAAAACCCCTCCAAAAGTGGTCTGACTCCAACCACTAAAAGGAATGGGACACCCCCCAATCAAAATCAACCAGGGGTTCTACTTAGATCCGGGGTTAACATTAAGAACCCTCCGACTTCTTCCCCCCACGGCCCCAGCCCAGTGGATTTCCAAAAAAAAATCCCGGCAAGAGACCCCCTATTTGTATTGGGTTTAACTTGAAAAAAGCTGGCCCGGAAGCATAGAAAAACAAATAAACCCTGACACCTCTCTATTTCATGAGAAACACAAGCATAGCTTCTGCGAGTTCTGATGAGCAAGCTTAGCATCATACTTCACAATCTCCCCTCTCAACTTCTCGCGCGCGCGATGCTGTGGCTTGATGCTGCGCGCGAAGCTGTGCATGATGTTGCGCGTGATGTTGCGCACGATGCAGCGCATGATGCGCAGCTGCGCATGATGCTCTGCAACCTGTCTTGCCAAATCTTTCATGTCCTCTCTTGAAAAACTCTATATGGCCATAGGTCAAAACCCCGTACCCCTAGTGAACATCCCAATCCCCACTAAAATAGGTTCTAAAATGGGTGGTGCACCTATCCCGAAATGGTACCATTGGTTTTGAACCATGGCCATATGTGCGCAGCTTTGCTGCGCAGGGTGGCAGTTTTAGCTGCGGAAGTGTGCTTCGCAAAAAAAAATACTTGTGCGCTTCCAAGTTGTGATTCTCGTGCTTCAAATACGGATGTGTAATTCGCCTGCTGCTTTTCCATTTTAAAGTTGCGACTTTTTCGGGCTGGAGATGAGAGAACTTTCCGAACAATACTTTCGCGATTTCCGAGCTGAAGCTGTGGGGCGTTTCGCGCGCCACCTTTGCACGTGGGAATGCACTTTGCGTACAACTTTGGGCTTAAATGTTGCGAGTCTCGTGCCATGGGAAAGCACTTGCACTCCTTTGACACTTAAAAGTTGCAATTTTGTAGCCGGAGCTCGGGAGCGCACTTCGCGTGCGACTTTTGTACTCAAGACTTGCCAAGTCTGAGCTGGAGCTGCGGGAGCTCACTTCGTGCACTTTGGCGCTGAAAAGTTGCAATTTTCGAATTTCAAGCTGAAGTTGCGGGAGTGCGGTTCCTGTACTACTTGTGTACTTCGCGATTTGGCAGCCGCAGCTCTGGAGTGCTCTTTGCGTACTACTTGCGTACTTAAAACTTGCGAGCTTTCAGCCCGGGCACTTGTTTGGTGGCTCATTTAAGCAAAGCGAAGAAAGGAAGCACTACCGGAGTATCTTTGTATAGGTCGTTACATCTAGTGACCGTAGCAAAAGCTTAGACTAGTTTCAAGGGGCCTAACCAAGAACCTCCTCAAAGCTTGCTTGTTCCTTATGTAATGTGGAAATCAGTACATCCCTCAAACAATCATGTCGGAAAGAGAGTACCAGCTGGTACCATCTGGTGCGGTACTGGCTTGTATCCCACGATTGGAGGGAGGCCCTGTTAGAACATGTTATCTCTTCAATGCGCTACGGCATGTCCGTCATCTGCGCTAAACATCAGAATCTGAGATCCCCTACCGCGCTCTGCAATCCCAAGATTGCATGACGGCGCCGGCATTCATAGTGTTGCAACTGCAGTTGAACGATGTATGTTCTGTGACTTGACGAACAGTAAGTGCATTGTGTCACGCAATGATGTGAATGACGTGCGGCTTCAGGGATACTGATGCTATTAAAGGGTTGCTCTTGAGAATTGTTTGGAGCAATCATGCTGGCCACTATCAGAGATGATGATACTAGTTTAGACAGATTTAGAAAGGCAAGCCGTGATTAAGCCTGAAGGGTGCAAATCCGAAGACAATTTTGCCAACAGGGGTCCCTTTCCCTGTTCCTTTTCCCTCCCGTATCAAACTATTGTTTTCCACTTCATACAACCAACAGAACCAATCAACAGCTGAGCCAGACCTACCTCAGCCCAACGGGTCTCTCTGGGCGATCGAACCACCGCCCACAAGGACTTGGATCACGTAGTACTTGTTGTTGTTGCCTCACACGCCGATGCCATCGATCCAACTGGATCTGGTTGTATGCTCTCTTTGTTGGGGTGGGGGGGTTCTCAGATCTTTCGGGAGGGTCGTTCTCAGATCAAGTGCTTGTTTGTGCGTGTTTGTGTTCGATTTGTGTTTTTTTGGGGGAGATCTCAGATTTTCTTAGGTTGTTGCAGTTTCGGAGAGGGGGGGGGGAGGGGGGGGTCTCCAACTTTCTGTTAGGGGGTGACTTCCCTTAAAGGGTAAAACAAAGACCCAGCCACACACCAAACGCTTGGGCTAACCGCCATGGCAAGAGTACCATCCACTCACAAACCCTGTCAAAATCCCCACCCCTCTCGCTCTCTCTATTTCTCGCGCGCGCTCTCTCTATCCTCTCTCCGTCTCCCAAGTCAGCACCATTTGGGTAAGAATTCCAACTGTTTGCTTGAGCCGTGCGGAAGTGGTGGGAATCAGGACCCCGGGATTTGCATCAAAAAGAGGTGCAAAGGATATGTGTCTGGTTGCACGCATTTCACATTTCACCAATCTGAAGGCAAAGACCTGCAACCGATTTGAACGGGTGCTCCTCCCGCGAACACCCACCCTTTCCCAAACTGGACATCTGCCCACTCAAAAGCCCTTTCCCGTGGCTTAATGTTGACCCCATATTACTCAACCTTTTTTTTATAGGGGGTGCCCCCCGCCAAAGGTGATGGTTCCCCACTAAACCCAGACATGGACAGCCCCTTATTCACAAATTGGGGTCAACTTTAGCTGGCCTTCCCCCCCCAGGTGGATCAAGCCCCAGGTTTTCAGTAAAGAGGTTAGAATAAGGGTGCCAACTTTTGTTGTCGTCTATTTTAGTAGGGGAAGCCTCCCAACCAAAAAAGAAACGGTAAAAGTTGCCACTACTGGGGGACCTGGAGACTTAAGCCAAGGTCAACTTTGTCCAAAGGCAGCTTGCTATCTCGAGACGCTCAAATGCGGAACCCTGACATTCCCACCCCAGACGAATCAGCCACACTTCACAACTGAAATAAGAGCAAAATACCCTCTCTCAAATTCTCCCCTCGGACCGATTTGTCCGTACTTGTCGTGTCTAAAACGCAAGCACCAATAAATTGTTGGATGATACACCGACTATTACAATGACCAACGCTGATCACACTTGCACAAACTTTATTCACAGGAAACAAACACATACACAACCAATTGGAGTGTTGTGAAAATATCACTATTTGCGTGTCACGACCAGTCGTTCAAACACATTATTGAGTGAAGCCTGTGAAAGACGTAGATGATGGTTACAAAGAAAGCCGGGCCTGCGATGTTCGTCTGGTTCAGCTTGACCGAGTAGTCCTGCGGTTTTCACCATGTCACAGTCAATTCTTGACATGTTGCAAGATGTTCAGATAGACGGGCACCAAGTAGAAGCAATGAATGGGACGTTCATGTCGCCGCACGCACTTTTGCGGGTTCACCGTTTTGAATGCAAGAACCAGCCATTGAATACAATGGATACGGTGGCAACCCCACGTGCCACACACCCCCCTTCCTCCGGTTTCAATTCTTCCCAACCCTCCATTTGCTTCAGTGTCCTGGAAAAACAATATTTCCAGTAGTGAAATCGATTCCCTAAACCAACAGGGGAACTAAAACATATTCTTCACCAATTGGAGCAACCGTTCAAGCACTGCGGGCCCTTAACCTCAAAACGTGCCAGCCGGTGGTCAACCTGCTAGCACACCGAATCACGCGCAAAGCTGACCCTGAGCTCAGAAACCTGACGAAGTCTTCCTACAACAGTGCCGAACACCCATGTGTGGCTCTTTCTCCACAAAACTGAAAGCCTTCTTAAGAAATCTTTCTGGTGGAGATACCTTCTCAAACCTGGTTTATTCTCCTGCGGATTCACATGGAAGCCGAAAAACACACACATTTGCAGAGGAATCTCCTCTTGAGACATGGGCTCCTTGTTTTGCTTGGAACTTCGCCCTAGACCCCAAGACCTGGTAGCTTGGGGGTCCCCCACTACGGGGGTCTTGCGCTGCCAGGGTTTCTGGAAGTTCTGCCGCCAAGACGTCTTCCAACTACCTACGTGGAGCGGGCGGGATTCTGAATACATCACATCTTCGTACAGGGAACAGGAATAGCAAAGGTATGGGGGAATTCACCCAGTTGACTTTTTATTGTGGGAACCAAGCTGCAACAAGTTGGACAACCTAGGGACGGATGATTTCCGGTCCGCCTGCCAACATTTTAGGTCCACTAGGTCCTCCAGTAGAGAGGTTAGAATAAGGGCACCAACTCTTTTCTGTAGTCTATTTTAGTAGGGGAACCCTCCCCCCAAGAAAGTTGGTAAAAGCGCACTACTGGGGCACCTAGGAGGTTCATGGCATCGTCCCATTTTGGGTGTATGACCCCAGGGTCGTGACGGCTCGAGGTATGCCTCGGATGGATGCCCTCCGGTGTTGGCGGGTTTTGCGCTCGAAGCCGAAGCCGGCGCCTCGTAGACCTTGAAGCCTCCGGCGCCCGGCACGTGCTTATCCACCTCCTTGCCTGCGCCCCGCGAAGCCCCTCGAGGAGCCCCGGTTCCTCGAGCGCTGAGAAAGCGGTTTTGAATTCAGAGCGGAAGCGCCCGTTTTCGAGGCCATGGCCCCGGTTTTTTTTGTGGGCTCAAAGGGAAACGAGAAGGAAAACGGTAGTTTGGACGTCGCCGAACCAAAAACGAAAATATGTGTAAAGTCGGTTACATTCTATGCGCCTTGCCAATTCCTATAACAGGAACTGAAGGACCAAAAGGTGCCTTTCAGGAAGTCCCATTCACCCAAAGCAACCGGAACCGACACAGCAAGGACCATCATCTGGCCTGGTTTGCAGCATGGACCGTGACTGTGCGTGTGGGGATGCGTCACCATATGAGTTTGTGATGCAGAGATGCTTTCGATATTGCCTTCACTGTGGCTCGACACTGACAGAGCTGGTCATATGAGTCACAATCCAAACCCGGTATTAGAACGGTTGAACCAGAACCATGTAAAGAATTAAGAAGGCGGCAACTATTCATGGTTGGGATTGTCCCTTTCTAACCTTCATCTACCCAGGTTTTGATTGTTGGCTCATATGGTCCTTTTGCCCTGATGCTCAAAGACCCGATGGTCTCAGAGATGTCCCACTTCAGTGCGAGTCCTCTTGGTCGATGATCCCCTCCGCACAGGCCGTTGGGGCACTCCGCCCGAGCTTCGCGTGCGGTGGGTTTCCTCCCAATGAAACCAGCTAATTCACCAGCTACATCTGGATGCATCGAGAGCTTCCCCTGGCGCATGTGAGTCATTGACCATATTACCAGCGCATCGGTTTTGTGCGGGCCCTGTCAAAGTTTGGCGGTAAGCAAGGCGGGCGTTCATGTCAGGAACAGAAGGTCTTGATGGTTGACCCGTCAATCAGATCAAGGGGCCTGGGCCCCTGAAAGCTGGTTTGCTAGTTTGGTCGGTCTCTACTGAAAACAAATTGACGCTGAGGTCGAGACCAAAACAGGGACGCGGAAGCAGCAGACTTTGACGCCAACATGTTAACATGTTGTCGTTCAAATTTTCAATAAAAACCCACAGCGAGAAAGACGATCTTCGGAGGGGCCCAGGTGTGGGAGCTTCTTTCATGCCAATCCACGCGCATGATGAATCCATGATGCGAGGAGAATAGTCCGTGAGATGCAAAGCTATCAAGTGGGTTTGGCCGCCAGTGCTAGTCCCGGCCATCGATCTTCGAGATGGTCAGGAAAACTGTCTGGCCATTTTTTTCTGTGGCATGCCTTTCCGTGGAGTTCAGTGACTTCCGAACCCAAGGCAAAAGTTGGCCAATTGAAGTGCCCGCCGGGCGCGCAGGCTGACTCCTTCGGCGTCGCAATCATTGCAAGCGTATGCATGCCCATTCGGCGCCGCAATGGCAAGCAGTTGCGTGGCAGGACAGCAACCCAGTCTCTATGAGACTCAGATGAGACTCAGATGGCATTTCACAGCACTTTGGTCTCGCTTGGCTTCTCTTGTCCTTCTGAAACGATTCAAAGGACCCGTATTTTTGGAAAATCCCATACCAAGTGAGCGCTCCGGACCTTCAATCTTCCTGCGCAGCGTCGCAGGAGTCCCCATAAACATGTTGTTCAAGGTTGGTGGAGGAGAGAGGAGGACTCCTTTCATTGTTGGAAAGAGGCTAGGTCCTCCAGTAGAGGTTAGCATAAGGGTACCCTTTGTTCCGTGGTCTATTTTAGTAGGGGAACCCTCCCCCAAAAAAGAAACGGTAAAAGGGCACTGGGGGAGGAGGGTAAGAATGCTAACTCAAGCCGCCAGCTGCTTTCCAGCTGTCGCCCTCGCCCTCGCCCAGGCCTCCTTTGCCGCGCGCCTGCCGGAAATTGTACGTGTGGTACGCGTCACAGGAGGAACCCACGGAAGATCAAGGCGGATTTCAACTAGATACATGCCGCGGATTCACCCATGCTTGGAATTGGCAACCATTGATCCTGATTCACTATCTAAATCTCACTTGCCCAAAGGACCTGGAACCAAAAGGTCGTCAAAAGGTGGGCTTGGAACAACTGCGAAGTACTATGAAACCTGAAGGAGGTCTGTAGTTTCTGTAGGGTACGCATCAAATGCTCCAAAAGCCGGCCCTGTGGCTGGAGAGCTGCACATCAGAAACAGTTGCTGGATGGGCCTGGATGAAGTGCTTTGCTGGCCTGCATTCGCCTCATTTGGGAATAGGGCATGAGGCATTGAAAAATCAAGAGGCAAATCATGGCAGATACATGTATAATATATATAATCGTAATATGTGCTGCACGTACAAATAAGCCTGCGTTAACCAATTAGGGTTTTGAGGGCCAATTTCAGGGTTCGCAATTTGCACTGCCATGCGCAGCCCGTCTTGATACAGCAGCACTTTCGGCCCGGCCCAGTTGATTAGAACCGGGAGAGGGGGGCTTGTATCAAGCCGAGAATGGATCAACCTACACACTCCACCTAGGTCCTCCAGTAGAGAGGTTAGAATAAGGGTACCTTTTTTCTGTGGTCTATTTTAGTGGGGGCACCCTCCACCAAAAAAGGGTAACAGGGCACTAATTACCGGGGGACCTAGCCACAAAAGGCAACCACACACTCACAGCCAGTCAAGCCTTTGAAACCAACAGGAGCACACAGATCCACATTACAAACGCAGATACCAAACGCGAGCTGCCTCAGGTGATTTCCCTACACGCGAAGCCTGGAAGAGCTCAGGGAGAAACCGCCTTTTTCAATTGGGCAGCTGGGTGTGTGCTTCAGAGCTTCTTTTCGCTTTCACCATCCGAAACTGAGTTGGTCTTTGCCGTGGACGAACCAAATTTTGCACCATTGGGCTGGATCAAACCTGGACGGGATAAGCCGACCTGCAGGATGTTGTCAAGTCACTGGTGGTGAAACGGCCATTCTCCAAAGCGTTTAATGGCCAGTGGAAGCAAAGAGCAAAAAGAGGCGGCGCGTTTGCAGATTCTCTTTCTCGCGATGCTCAACCCGACCTTAAGCGCCTGAAGCGCCTTGAGGGGGTGGGGAATGTTGGCAGGCGGTTCATGGGGAGAGAAACAGCGGTGGCAAATGAGTCACAATCCAAATCCGGCCATGTAACGAATTAAGAAGGCGGATTCCCGCAACTACTTCTGGCTGCTGCCCCTTACTAACCTTCATCTACCCGGGTTTTGCGCTAGTGCCTCAAAATCCTCCAGAACAACTCCGGCTATCGGACCCCTGCCAGAACTCGCGCGCCTTGGGCGAGGAGCCGCGGGCCGGCTTCCCTGGCAGATCCATCCCAGGCTTGACCCTTTTTGTCTGGGCTGTCCGTTTTCAGATCCGCTAAGAGTGACCAGCTTCTCGTGGGTGAAATTCGTTGAGAAATCCAACCACTCAACACGAAAAGGCTCTCAAAAGCTAAGGAACCGTATGGCCACGGGAACCACCAAGACCTAACATGGAAGTGCAGAGACCCCGGTAGAAAAGACGGCTTTCCCTTGCACCATGTTTGGTGGGAGGGTACTTGTTCAAAAAAAAAACCTCCAGCAAATTCAGAAAGCAGCCAACCTTAGGGGGTGAACAAATAGTTCTGTGCTATGCTGGCTCGAGAGACAGTACTTGGTTGACGTTGAAAGGGGAGCAAAGATTTGAAAACTTTATCAGCCAAGTGGATTTGGATTTCAACCACTAAACCACAAAAAGCAAAAAATGTAAAAAGATGTTCCAAAATGGTCAGCAAAGGTTAAAATGGTTGAAATAAACGGTTTGTTTTTCATTTTAAAACACAATAAGCATGTTTCAACCAACAACAACCGAGAGTTGGGCCGGTCAGAAACTCAGGCGCCAGCCAGGCACGACTGCGTGTTTGGGTCAGGTGGGTATAATTTGTGAGCGACGCAGCTGCTGCACATTTTTTTTGCGCAGGGTACCCTGTCCACCTTGGTTTAAAGGGAAACCGCAAGGAAAACCAACCATTTTCGACCCCGCCTATTTTGACGCATACCCACATCTGTTTCCGCAAAATGGCCCTTTCGACTCATTATCTGGCATGCGCTGCCTTGGCGTACGCTGATGGTATACCTCGCTAGACAGGGAAAGGCAACATGGCAGCAAGAGCCTAGGGCTCTTGGGGCAATGTATTTCGGACAGCACTTGGTTGCACTTTGAACATTAAAAAGCACTGGTATTGCATGATGCTGGAAAGTAGGTGCACAAGTGAGGAGTTGCAACATCATTAAACCCAGGTCCTCCAGTAGAGAGGTTAGAATACGGGTACCCTTTTTCTGTAGTCTATTAGGGGAACCCTCCCCCCAAAAAAGGGCAACAAAACACTACTGGGGGACCTAGAAACAGTATACAAGCGTTGAAGTTGGTCCAAGCTTGTGGATGTCCGGTTCTGTGGCATCAAACTGGGGCCGTGCCTGCTGTAAGACTCAAAATATATGGTTTTGAAACCCCGGATGCAACGCCCAACACCAGATTTCCCTCAAAAAGTGCCACAGAGGCTGTCTAGCAAAGAGTCTCCAACTAAACATCAAACAAGGGGCCCGGTACTTCTTAAGTGGTCAGTAGCCATGGTTATAACCCACAGCTAGGGATATGAACCACTTGCAAAGTACTACAAGCTGCGAAGTACTTATGCCTCTTTGTTCCCACAGGGAAATGAGGCAATTTGGTCAAAAGTACCCCACAAAACCCCCCACTCATAGCCCTTTGCATTGCCACACTCCTCAGGTATCCAAATGCACCGGTGAGTCACGATCACAAGCGATCGGTATTAAAATGGTCGACCCAGAACCATGTTGGGAATAAACAAAGGCGGCTGTATCCATTTGGCTGTGGGTCAAAACCCTGTACCCCTGGTGAGCATCAAAATAGGTGTCAAATGGATGTTCATCCACTCCAAAAAGGAGCCATAGGTTCTGCCCCATGGCCATTTCTGGTTGGGATTCCCCCCTAAGATATGCCCGATTTTTTGGTTTTCTCCCCGCCTATGGAGGCATCGCTGGCCTTCCGCTTTGCCCCCCTGGGAGACTCGGCCCTGGCGGAGGGGACGCACTGCAACAAATGCTCTGTGTCGGTCACATGTTGTTGTCGATTTGTTTGGGGTACCCAGAAGACGTTGAAAGGGGAGCAACAAAAGCATGTGTATATATATATATACATATTTGTTTAGCAGTTCAGTGGATTTGGATTTCAACCACTAAACCACAATAGGCAAAAATGTGAAATGTTGTCCAACAACAAGCATGATAAGCTGATGATAACACCCACTGAAAACGGGAAGTTGTGGGACCGTCTCAACGCACTTGTTGAAGAAAATGAAAGGGGTTTGGCATAAGCGGTGGCCATTGCAATCCCTTCCCACTTTGGCGATTCACAGGGAAAAGGTCCCTCCCTCCTACGCATGCATTGCGGGAAGTACCCCAAAAGGTGACTTGCTTTCTGGTGGGAGAAACCATGCAGAGCTTGAAGGTCCGACCAAATAGCACAAAGTGGGCGTAGGCGTTTTGAGGAGTTTTAGTTGGGGAGTGGGCATGAGTAATCCTGTATTCAACGGTAAAAATGCGTCATGGTTTTGGTTTTCGTCTTGAGCTTGCTAACCGTCCGCCCTCAAACCCAAGAACAGCTTGTTTGGATCTGCTGGGAGTCTATCTGATCCAATTGCAATCAACTGCACAAGAACTAGACCCTGAAGAACTTTTGTTCCCAGGTCGGTTCCAATGTGACAAGCGGAGACTTCGAAGTGGCCCAAATCTCGGTTGACGTTGGAAGGGGAGCAAAAAAAGTAAATTCTAGCAGTTCAGTGGATTTGGATTTCAACCACTCAACTGCAATAAGCAAAAATCAAAAAATGCTTCCCAACAACAACCGTGAAAAGGCGATGTCCAGAAGCACCCCAAGGGGGAAGCATCGATTAGTTCCGATGCTCTGTGGGTAGGTCCTCCAGTAGAGAGGTTAGAATAAGGGTACTCGATTTTTTTTTCTGTAGTCTATTCTAGTAGGGGAACCCTCCCCAAAAAAAGGGGAGAGAAGGGCACTACAGTACCGTGCCACTTGCCACAAACATAAAATCTACAGCTGAGTCACAATCAAAACCCGGTACTAAAAATGGTCTACCCAGAACCATGTAAGGAATTAAGCAGGCGGATTCCCGCAGCTATGTATGGCAAGGGGATCCTTTGCTAAGCTTCATCTACCCGGGTTTTGAGCTGGCTCAGCTGGTTTCCGGATGGGACCCCTCGTTTTTTCCTCAATCCGCCTGGCCGCAGACTTGGCCGCCGCCCTGACCGGCTGACGCCGACGAGACGCCGAAGAACACGTAGCTGTGGCGTGTTTCGGCCAAGAAGACTCGGTCGCTTTCTGCTTCCCTGCTAAAAGTTTAACTTTTAGTGGTTTAGTTGGAAAGCCCATTAGTTGGCAAAAAGTTAAAGTCCTAACACCCAAGCAACATGCACCAAAGAAGACACTCATGCGGGAAATGTCTTTTGTAGGACAAAAAATGGTGGTTCTCCTGTTGGTTTCACCGGAAAAAAAAAGGGTTTCCCCACAAAGATCAAGCCAGCTTCACCCAAAAGAGACAAACCACATGTTCCCGGAGTGTGTGCGTGACGCAGCTTTCGTGTGGCTTGCTTGTCTGCAAATGATCGACATGACAACAACTACTCGGACCTTCTTGGCATGGACATGATCTATCTTGCCAAACAGTGCAGAGCGGCAGAATGATAGCGACAAGATCGATGGCCATCGAACGAGCTGCTTGACTTGAACAACCGTTTGTTTGTTTGCTCCTTGGTCAACACAGTTGCTGATTTGCGGAGTCTGAAAGCCCTGCTAGACATTACTTTTGAACCTGTCCGGAAACCTCCTGGAACCTGCGCCTCCTTGGAACGAATCGGAAAATGGCTGTGCGGTGCACAGTTGCTCCAAAACAAAAAGCCTGCAAGAAAGAAAGAAAGAAAGAAAGAAAGAAAGGAAGGAAGAAATAAATAAATGCAAGCAAAGCAAAGCAAAGCAAAGCAAAGCAAAGCAAAGCAAGCAAAGCAAAGCAAAGCAAGCAAAGCAAAGCAAGGAAGCAAATAAACGAACAAACCAACAAGCAAGCAAGCAAGCAAGCAAGCAAGCAAGCAAGCAAAGCAAGCAAGCAAGCAAGCAAGCACACAAACATCTTGCAGACCTTGTCCCCCACGGGTTTCGCGCTTTTTAAATACCAAGTTCATCGACGTTCGGTGCCGGCCTGCCAGTCCTGGCCGCGGCTTTCGCCGCTGCAGCCTTGGCCTTGGCCTTTGCTTTCGCCTCCAGATCGAACGTGTCAAGCTCCGAAGCCGGAAAACCATACTCCGAGGTCCTTCGTTGAGTGGAGGATTCATTCTTCAAAAGCGTGTTTGACGTTGGAAGGGGAGCATTAAAACAAACAGGGGCAAATAAATATTTGAGTGGTGGGCCCTTGTTTGACGTTGGAAGGGGAGCAAAGATTGAAAGATTGTAGCGATTTCAACCACTAAAACACAATAAACAAACATAGTTTATTTTTATTTTATGTTATTTAAACAAATAAAAATAAAATTAAAAAAATGTTTACCAACAACAACCATGAAAGGGGGATGCCTCTGATTGGTAGAGTCCTCGAGAATCCGAAGTCGACATCATTCTAGGGGTACCTTCCCCATTCTTTCCAGGGATCCTTCTTTTCAGGAAACCATCCAAAATACCCAGGGGAAACAGATCCGGCTTTGGAAAAGAACGACGGTTGAAAATAATGGAAAAGGAATCAACCCCTAGAAAAATGGCAGTCTCAGACCTGGCCGGACCCGTTCCACAGCTCCACAGCTTGTCAGCTCAAGTGACAGTATCTCAGCATGTAGAAATAAGGCAACTCGGCCCTGCGCAGCCCAAAAGGGCTCTCAAAATGGGCGTTTCCGAATGGTGGAGGGCATTCGGACGCAACTGGGTTCCCATTCTATTTATGTACTCGCCCAGAAGAATCTGGAAACAAAAGCTTAACCTTTTGGGGCTACCAAGAATAGACCAAGTCAAGAAAGGACCTGCGAGGTCAACAGGTCAAATTCCTTTTTGGGCAAGTGAGTCACCTGAGGATGTTCAAGCCCCGGCTGGATTGAATCGGTGGGAAATCGGGAAGCCCCGCCATCTGGGTGTTTCTCAAACTGAGTGTGTCGCCTTTTGGAGGCTACCCCCTTCTCGTGGGCTTGAATAGGAAGCCAAAAGGAAACCAACCAATTTTTTTGGGTTCCTCGCCACCACAAAAGCGCTTGATGAAAGACCGCTGTTGCAGGTCCCCCTGCGGGACAAAGCAGTCAAGATACTCAGCAACCGCGCAAAGTGCCACATTTTCTTTAGCAGTGACAAAGATCTCGACATCGGCCATGTAGACTGCCGCAGCCAGTATAAGGGAAATGGCACGCGTCTTGCCAGCGCCAAAAACCCCATTGATGCCAATATCGGTGCGTCCGGTGCCGGTCCCCGCAACCAAAGCCAGTAGCAGGGACATTCCATGACCGTCTGCGTTCCCGAGTTCCTGCCGCCAGGCCTTGACAAGGCATCCCCGGAGCGAGTGGCTGGGGCAAGACCAGCTTGATTTTTATTTACCACCAAAATGGTCCAAGCCCAAAAAGTCACCAAAGTTCCTGAACTCATAAAGTGGCTGTGGCTCAAAAAATGGTGCCCAAAGCGGCAAAAACGGCCTCTGGTAAATAGAAACAAAGACCAACACCATCCAACACCAGCAATACCAGCAGTTTGCCCCAGCTGCTTAATTTTGAGCCACACCCATATCAGTCTCCACATCATTAATGGACGCTTGTCACTACCCAACGAACAAAATGAGTGAGAATAGGAACCATTTACCACCGAAATGGTCCAAACCCAAAAAGTCCCCAAAGTCAAAGTGGCTGTGGCTCAAACAACTTATGGCTGGGCTGCGGGGCCTTGACTTATGATTCTTGTAGAGTCCGCTGGTCTCCTTTCATTTTGAGCCACACCCCAGCGAGAAAATTGGAACCAAACAACTCCATTTGCTTAAGTCCCCTGGACAAAAAATATGTCGAGTAGTGAAATCGATTCCCTTTAAAACCAACAGGGGGGGAAAAACATATTCTTAACCAAATGGAAGACAAAACGCCACTCGCGCTCGGCACTCGACCCGCGCGGAGAAAAATTCTCCCGCGCCTTGGGCGAGCCGCCGCGGGCGTCCGCCTTGGCGCGGGCGCCGGCGCGGGCCTTCTCCTTGACCCAGGCGGGCACCCTGAGCCGAGGCGTGACAGGGCTCCCTATATTTCTCTTAGAACATCACCCCCGCCAAGGGACACTCACCAATCAATTGGGCCAGACAGGCGATGTTTAAAACCACCAAAAAGGGAAATCTCACGCGCTGCGTGAGCCGCATGGCGCGTGAGCCGCTCGGCGGGCGGGCCCCGGGGCCCCAAACAAAGCTCTCTCAAAGCCATGGGTTCCGTCGGTTGGGTTCCATTTCTGGCTGGGCTGGGTTGGGTTCCGTTTCGAACCTTTGGGGGGTGGGAGGTTGGCTAGGTCCTCCAGATTTGAGAGGTGAGAATAAGTTGGTACCCGATCTGTTTTTATGTAGTCTATTTGAGTAGGGGAACCCTCCCCCAGAAAAGAAACGGTAAAAGGGCACTACTGGGGGACCTGGTTGGGTTCCATTTCTAGCCTTTGGGATTTGGGACTGTAACTTTGAGCAACGGCTGGTTGGGTCCGTTGTTTTATAACCAATAGGGATTGGGACTACAAATTAATTAGTCGAAGCAATGGCCAGCACCCAGGTCCCAACAACTGCTTTGCCCATCTGGCAACTGTTGGGTTGATGTGACCACCAGCTTTTCAGCTTGGGGAACAAGGACTTGGCTCCCAAAAAGGCACACCATTGTTGACCGCGGAGTTGCATCATCAAGATTGGGTCTTTCAATTATTTGAAGGGCACCCTAGCGATCTTCGGATGCGAGCTTTGGACCAGCCCACATGAGGTTCCCTGCTTCCCTCCTTGGGGTCCCGATAGTTCCAAGACACGAACTGCGCGAATCTTGCTGCTTACTTCATCCAGACAGGAATTCCCCGACACCTTGGGCGAGCTGGTGTCCAGATCGGTGAGATTGAAAACTGGTGCAACATGGGACCTGACACAGGGGCCCCTAGCAATCGTATCTTGCGGGGTTCCGTTGTCTCAAGTCGCGCGGGAATCCCCCAGACACCTTCATGCGCGCGGTTTACGCCCTGCGAAACGCTTGAAGACCTTTCTGTGGTTCTTGTTTACGCAGGGTGCGCAACCTGAAGCAGAATTATATATTCACTATTCCATGAAGCCAACCCCTGCTCTTGCGGCAGAGTCATCGGAATGGCAACCTTCCACTATTTGCTGCTGGTGCAAGAATTTGCTCATCCACGAAGCACATCGTAATCATCAGCACGTCCTACAATACTTCCAACGCCTGAAACAGCAAAGGACCTGCAGCATGAGCTCGTTTGCCCAGGTGAGCGCGCGAGAGAAGAATGTAAGAAGAAAGCTCCAGACATCTTTCTGAACACGAGGCCGTCCTGCGTTCGTTTCTAAAAACAAAGCTAACTGAGCGGGATTTCCCGCCCGAACGAGAAACAGCTCACCATTTACAGGTCCAATATACTGAGTTGCTCTTCCGCCCTGCGCGTAAAGGTCCAACCTGATGTAGGTCTACATTTGCTTCCAAAGAGAAAGGGCGATTTGGTCGCACCAAATGTCAGCCATTGAAATCATGAACTGTTCCAACAAAACCCAAGCAATTGCCTTCGGGCGCCCCTCCTGTTTAATTTTGAGCCACACCTCAAATCTCCACCTCCCCACCCAACCTGCGAATGCTCCAAAAAGATGGGGCCACAGCCATTTGAGGTGTGGATGGGGACTCGGGGACTCGGGTGGAGTAGTGGGGGGCTTGCAACGACCTGGGAGCCCCGACTTCGGCGGCATGATCAGCGAGCAGAGCTTTGCGCTGTAAACAGCTGCGAAGGAATCCCATGCGACTCGCCAGTGGCAGCTTGGGCAACTTCTGAACCAAAGGGGGTGACGCCCACCTACTTAATGGACACCAACTGTTTGATTCAATTCCCTTGTTCAAATGATATCAGACTCCAAATTCGAACACATCGACCCGCGTTTCAGGCTTAAGTAATATCTGAATGCATCCTTCGCTTTTGTGTGGAATCCAACAGTCTTGACCAATATGGATATCCATGAGAGAGTCATTCCGCACATCTGTCAAACAAAGTCCTGACTTCTTGTTCGCCACGAAAACGATCCCCTCAGGAAGTAAGTGGGGTGAATCATAAGAATCAACTTCTGCACCTCCCCACTAAGCCTGTCCAGAGCTATGCACTAAGGCGTAACCCATTTTGGGTTTCATTGGCCACTAAAACTGTAAAGGACAAATTGAGTCGCAATGGTGCTAAAATGGTCTACCCAGAACCATGTACAGGATTAACAAGGCGGCCGCAGCTATTTATGGCTGGGATCGTCCCTTACTAACCTTCATCTACCCGGGTTTTGATTGTGGCTCAAATGCAATTTCCCTCCACCGATCGCTTTTTCAACCACGTCCCAAACTCCGTCTGTGATGTCCGGAAAGCAGGTTTTGAGGGTGCAAGTTGGCATCAAATTGCCCTTCTGGAAACAGCCCTGGCCACTTGCCCCAAATTGCACGGACGAAGATCTTTGGAAGAAGCCGGGCCCGAGTGGATGGGCCAGAACACGTCCAAACAGCGTAAATTTGCCACTAAGATGGTCTTCTCACAGGTGGCAAAGAGACCCCCCCTGTTCATAGCCCTTTGAAGACGACTGCCCAGGCTATAACCCACGCTATTACCCATGCTATTACCTATGCTATTCATAACCCATGCTATTACCCATATTGTATTTTGTTTACCCACCCCAAAGGGGAAATCACCTCTTGACCCCTCCCGAAGCGAGCGTCCAACTCCCCGCGCGTCTCGGCGCCTCCTCGCGCCACTGGGCCTCCGTGGCCGTCAGCTGATCCTGCAGCTTCTGCCTCGATCTACCGCCATCGAAGAGGGCAGCTGAAATGCCCCTGGAATGAGGGAAGGTTCTTCCCCCCCAAAAAAAACACGTATATTCTCTGAGGGTTGGTTTTTGGGGGACGAGTTATATTCCACACGAGGAATGAGGGTTGGTTTTCTTGAAGGGTTTCTTTTAAGGGGACATGGAAGGAGACATGGAGTCTGACCTCGAGCTTTAAAAAACAACAACATCCAACTGCTTGGTTTCCAGCTCAAGGTTTCTCATTCCCTGCATCTCTCGCAGCAGCAAGACAACCACAAGGGAAAAGCTGCGCTCCGTCAGACTAACTTGGAAGCTTTCAGGTTTGGCCTCCAATGGAACCAAGTCTTCCACAACTTCCATTTGGTTGAGACCGGTGGAAAAAAAAAGTCCAGTAGTGATAAATTCCCTTTAGAACCAACAAGGGAAAATACAAATATTCTTAAGCAAATCGAAGAAACAAGTCCTGGGAGCTTCCACGTTAGCCTTGCGAAGGGTAAGGGTTTAGGAATACCGGGCTCCCAACTTGTCTCCCCATTCAAGATCACACCTGGAGGGAACGCATCTAAGCTCAACATTGTGATGTTTCAACGGGCTGAAAAGAGAAATATGGCTGTGGCTAAAATAAATGTACCAAAATGACACCTTGGTAAATGGAACCTAGCTCTTTAATTTTGAGCCACACCCATATAGGACTGGTAGGAAGGGTTTAGCAAGACCCTCACCTGTAAGGGTGTAGAGAAGTCGATGACCAAAATCTAGGTTAAACCCTGAAGGGTAGCAAGGTCGCAAAGTCGGTTCATGGACAAAATCACCTTGGTATCCCAACATTTGCAAGACTTGTTCAATTACAGGTGGTGCAAGATGTTCTCCATCAAGACTAGGTCCTGCAGTAGAGAGGTTAGAATAAGGGTACCAACTTTTTCCTGTCGTCTATTTTAGCGGAACCCTCCCCCAAAAAAGAAACGGTAAAAGTTGGCACCTAGCTGCGGGACCTAGAGGAGCAGTGGTTTGGGCGTCGCTTCGGGGACCCCCAACAGACGCGGCCAAGTTGGGCTCCCGAGCTGCCACTCGCGGATGTGCTCGGCGTGCTGCCTCCTCTCCTCCTCTAGCGCCTGGGCGTCAGTCCGAAGTTCTAGGGATTCCCCATTATTTTCAACCATCCTTCTTTTCAAAAACCAGCAACCCAAAATAAGCATTAAAAGTTGGAGACCTGATTTCTAGGGGTCGATTCCTTTTCCTGTCTTTTCAACCATCATTCTTTTCAAAAACCGGATCCCTGGAAAGAATGGGGACGGTACCCCTAGAGAAGTCGACGTTTGTTTGGGGTGGTTCTCAAATTGCCCGACAGCAGCGCCAAAAAAAACTGGGCTGCCCTCAGATCCCCTGCTAAAAGTTTAACCTTTAGTGGGTTAAATGAAAACGACCACTAAACCCTCAAAGCCTAAAAGCTAAGGGGACGGCTGCGGGCCACCAAGACAATACAGGCCTACCCAAAAAACTCATACCCATCAACCTGCAAAACAGATACAGGACAACAACACTTGATACTGAAGGGTGTGTCTGGCCTGCCTTTGGGTGTCCGAGTACCAAAAAAAATACTTCCCACAAAGACATGGCTGAGTGCCCTCTGTTGTTCACTCTAAACCCGCCCCAAAGTTCGCTTCAAACAGTACCATCGACATGATCATGCTACCTGTCTGGGTACAGCTATGGCACTGACCATTCAAAAACATGACATGCCCACTCTGGCCATGGCTTCAAGCTCAAGCCAGGTAGGAAACTCTGCCTTGGGTCTTCCAAATCCCTGGCCATTGCCTTTTCTAAGGCCTCATCGAGAAACAATGGAAGGAGCGGGGGGTCGAAAAAGGGGACACCACAAACAGCGTGTCTGAGGATTTGTGGGGCCTATGTGGACGCATACCCAGTTTTTGGGGGACAGCTGGGTGCCAGCGATCATACATTTCCGCTACAGCTTAGTCATCCCCTTTGGCTCACCCACAGATCGGCTTTCCAACTTTCACCCTCTACCCATTTCAGGTTCCGACCTTTTCCCAAAAAGAACAACACCAAAAACTGTCCATGTCCCAAAAAACACGAAGAACCTCGCCTTTTGCTTCGGCCACTGCGGAGGGTGGAGAAAAAACCTGGCGGCCCGAGACGCCTGCTCCAGCTCGACGGAGGCCTCGCGGCACCGCGCCAACTCATCGGCCTGGGCTCTGAACATCACGCTCATCGACATATCGATCAATGCGAAGCATGTTGCTGTGCATATGCGGTATACATCTGCAGTATGTTTTTCACATGCACACATTGGTGTTTGTATCTCTATATATATATATATTAGACACATAGAGAGAGAGAGATACACCTGAATAGAAACCTATGTATGTTGTCTCTGTGTACATAGCGCTAGTTTGATTCTAGTTCGACATAGCTCGACAATGTTGTATCCGTCGTTTTGGAATGAACTGGTGGGGAGTTCAAAATCAATCTCTCGCCTCTCACTGATTCTGGCTCCATTCGCACACACACACACACAGCTTGGGTTCCTGTGAAGACCCTGGCACGTGGGTAAATACTTGGTCCAAAGGAACACAGCCAAACAGTGTTTCACATTCGCGGATCTTGCAGAATTGCTCACAAAAATCAGCAAGAAAACGGCTTGAAAACAGCTTGTCCCCTCCCGCAAGCAAACAACAACGAAACAAACATGCAAGCAAACAAATGAACGGACGCACAACGAAATCAATCAACACCAAGCCAAACCAACCAACACACCAGAACAAACAAACCAGACCAAGCCAAACCAAGATAACAGTCACAACAAGAAAACCAACCTACCAACACACCAAAACATAAAAATACCAGAACAAACAACCCAGACCAAACCAAACCAAGAAAACAGTCACAACACAACAAAACAAACCAACCAACCAGAACAAACAAACCAGATCAGACCAAACCGAGAAAACAGTCACAACACAACAAAACAAGCCAACAAACAAACCCAGACCAAACCAAACCAAGAGAACAGTCACAACACAACAAAAAAACAAAACAAACCAGAACAAACAAAGAACAAACAAGCCAGAACAAACAAACCAGAACAAACAAACCAGAACAAACAGCCCAGACCAAACCACACCGAGAAAACAGTCACAACACAACAATACAAACCAACAAACAAACCAGAACAAACAAACCAGACCAAACCAAACCACAAAAACTGTTATAAAAAAAAATAAACAAACCAGAACAAACAAACCAGAACAAACAAACCAGACCAAACCAAACCAAGAAAACAGTCACAACACAACAAAACAAACCAGCAAACCAACCAACCAACAAACCGACCAGACCTTTCGGTAGCCAACGTTCACTGCTGGGTGCCCCGCCCACAGGCGCCGGTGGTAGTCCAAAGCCTGCGATGTTTTTGAGCCGAAAAAAAACCTCATCGAAGGGCCGTTAGTCTTCATACTGTGGATGGTTGCGAAATCCGTTCGCACCACGAAATGAAACCATGGTTGAAACCAACACGTTTGTTGGTATTTACAAAGGGATCATCATTTCATGATGCTGTTTTAAGTTGTGCAGGATTTCGTCCATTCACAGTAGGAATCCTTGTTGCCAAAACTCAAAGAACCCAGAAATAGCATGTTCACCTTTTGGGGCCACCAGAAAAATAGCTACCAAAACGGGAAAACCGAAAAAGGTTAAGAGGTTGCCTTTGGGCAAGTGAGTAAACACCTAGTGAAGGCTGCCTACCTTTTGGAATCCTCATTGTGACTGGTACCCGCTGAGATTCCCAGAAAGGCTTCCCCAACCAATAGAGATTCAGGAAATGGACCCGTGGTTGTTCGGTGGCTTTTTTGGTTTCCCTCCAAAATCAATCGAAAGGGGGTTTCTGGAGGAAAGAGAAGATTATTTTCTTTGAGGGGTTTATGTTTTTTTTTTTTTTTTTTAACGGGGACATGTCATATCTGTTTGGCTCGGCTAATGCAAGGAATGCTGTACCGTGAAAGGCTGGGTTGTGCCATGATTTCAACCTTGGCAAAAACAAAGCTATGAACATGAAATGGGATATCCATCGTACACATATGTGTATATATATATATATATATATGTGTATATGTCCTCCATTTCCCGTATTGAAGCCTCCAAAGTGCCAGTTTCAGAGGGGAAATCCAGTGACCCCCCCTGGAATAGGCATTGCAGCAACCCACATGAAACCACCCTGCGCACATGGCGTCGCTGGCGAAACAATGGCACAACATGGCGCGAGTCTGCATTGCATAGAGCGAGGGTGATGGACCGGAAAAAAGAAGAAGAAAAAAAACACACACATGCTGTGGGTGTCCCCAATGAGATGTGCCCAGCTTCTCATGATCAAATATGGTGAGCGTGCCCAATGCCAAGCTCTTTATCATTGGAGTGTGTCGGTCTGCGAGAGGACTCGGTTTAATGTCCCACGAGAATTGCACATACACTGCAGCGTACCGATGCTGGCGATGCATGCTTTCAAATGATAACATAGTTCTTCCAACCGTCGTGGGTCTCGTGGGTCAACTTACGCAGATGTAGACAATAATTGAGACTTCGTGAAATTGCCGAGATCCGGCTGGTACCAAACGCTGCAGATGGTTTTCGGACCCAACGTTTGTTTGTAGTGAATTTAGAAAATGGAACGGCTTTTAAACCAAGGAGGCACAAATGGGCGCCGCTGGAGACTAGATGGAATGGGAAGGGTGCAGCTCGTGCCCGGTTGCCCCAAAATGGCATACCAGTGATTTTCAACTGCACATGGACCATCCCCACCCTGTGCTGGGTCCTTTCCGATCAAGTTGTTTTGCATCATGGTGCTTATGGACAAGGCTTTTCACAGTTGCCCGGCAACATCATGAATGTGGATGCTTGCGCAGGCAAGTGCGCGATCTCCCATTTCACGGTCGGAGGATTCAGCACTTGCAGCCTCGCTCTGTGCGTGCGACAAGATGATCGGTCCCGACTGTTTTGGGGTCCTCTTGAGACAAGGTCACCCCTCTAACACACCAAAGGGCAAGACATGAGACCCAAACACTTTGCGGGGTACTGGGCACAAAGTGATCCTCCAAACCCTCTATATAAATGGTGAGAGAAACAAACCACACCCGAAAACCAAATGTGGGGAAACCCAGATGTTCACCTTCAGGGGAAAAACAAGTTAAACAAATCAAAAGCCCCCTTGGCTCGCCCTGACCCCCCAGGCCACAAAACCCGACCTCCTTTAGGCCGTGCTGAATCTGCTTCTGCTGCTCCTCGCCGAGACCAACGCTGGGGGGGGGGGGTTCTTGCAAGTGATCTCCTAAGATGGTTGGCTTCCCGTTAACTTCCCTTTAGATATCAAACCAAAAAGGGGCCTACCATTTTGAGAAGCAGCCACACGGACCCCATTCCCCCCCTGAGACAAGGGCATCGGTGGCGCGGACGCTATTCGCAATCATTCCAACAACGCAATCAGCAAACATCTCGCCCAAACTTCAAAGACGCAAAAGGATGAGTGGCTTGAACAACAGCTGGATGCATGGCTTCAGGTTGTTCAATCACCAGCATAAGTTTCCGTTTCGGGGACAATCACCCGCTTGGCTTCCGCTTCCGTCTGCCTTGGGGGAAAAATGGAAGCCGCAAGAAAAAGAGAGCAAGAAGCGGAGGCAAGCGGACAAGATGCACTTTGATTGTTGCCCCGTGTGAGTTATGGTATTTCAACAAAGCGCTTTGCTCATCTTAGTTTTAGTTGCTCACACCTTGATTTGTCTGAACTGTCGTAGGGACTCCTTTATGGCGTGAAGGGTGATTATATAGGTTGCCGGCCTGCGACATCTTTCCATTCCGTTCTTTACATTGCGGTTTCACCCCTCAAGCTCAGCTCCACCCCCCTCAAAAAAGCACGTTTGATTCTGGTCCCCTTCACATGCAAACGAATATCAAGCGAGATTCAGAATCTGAATCTAGCGTAGATTCGAAAGTTTGACTCACTTCACAAGGGCAAACTGCTGGCTTTGCAAACGGAGTCTCCATGCCCCTCAAGTGGTGGTCTAGGTGGAGAGTCCCAACAAAGTGGCGGCCTTCCAATTCGTGTGACTTGAGGGTTCGCCCCAAGCCTTGGAAAGGGCTGACACAAGCTGAAGTCTGGAGAGGTGCCTTCGTTTTCCCCAAACCGAACGCCATCCAAAGGTCTTGGATTCCCACTTGTGTGTGACATTTATTTTCTTCCGTCGCTGCATTTCCAGCCCAGGTGCCTCTTGCAGCCAGTCTTGCGAAGAAGAACACACGCACAACGCGCACAGGTGGCATTTTAAGGATCCTCCCATTTCAGAGGCCCCTTGGAGCTCCCCTTGGAGCTCGAACAAGGTCAACCAGAAGGCCCAGAAGTGAAGCCCGATGGGTCTAGCTTGCAATGTGGGGTGGCTTTAAGGGGAAACCAACAATAGCACCACCATGTTTAGGGTCGCTGGCAAAATGGCAGAGACAAGCCACCGGTGTCCCAGTTTAGCTCTGACTTTGTTGAGTCAGACCCATATTTCACGAAAGTTGAATCCCCGAGACACCGAGTCGCAACCCAAGAGTCGATGTCCATCGCTTCCCCCCTGTGCAGACTTCCCTCTGCAGGCTTTCAAAAAAGGACATGAGCCGCACCCAACTGGCTCGCGAAAAAGTCATGGGGAATCCGACAAGACATAGCCACACATCTCACCCGATTCATGTAACGGGTCCTGTTTGAGGTCCAAAACCTTCCAATGAACCTCAAACCATCTCGGACTTCATGAGTGCTGTTTACCACTAAAATGGTCCAAACCAAAAAGCCTAAAGTCCATGAACTCAGGAAGTGAAGTCCATGAACATGAACTCAGGAAGTGAGATAAGACTGCCACGAACTCCATCCCTTTTGAGCCGCACACATCTCCCAATCGGATCCACCCGGCCTCCAACTCCTCGAGCTGTTGCTTCAGCTGCACAGACTGCAGCTCTTGGGAGGCCTGACAGCCCCCAGCACCCCACCTGTGTCTCACATCCCAACCCCTCAACCCATGGAATTGGACGCCTGACCAAACAGCCCACCGGAAGGTGTGTTAAAAAATTCCCCCCTAGCATCGCGGGTGGCTTGGGTCCTTTGGTGGTCTCAAATCGGGAAATGTGGAGGCGTCCTTTGGTTGCAGTTTCCCCTGCAAAGAAAAAAGCCGACGACCAAAAGTAGGCTCCATCCAGAAAAAAAGAAAACAACAACAAGATGACATGTTGGCAAGGGCTCTTGCCCCCCAAAGGTCTCAAATCACGTCAAATCCTCAAAGTTGCCAAAGCCTAAAGGTAGTTTGCAGGCCGCAGCTGCTGTGTTTCGGGGGTAGCAGTGTTATGCAGGTCATGGCTATCCAGACCAAAACAACAGGAATGTCAACATCCATTTGGTCGAGCATTGAATTCCAAGAAGTTTTTTAACAAAACTGGAACCATCGTTCGGGCCACTTGTGATCAACCAAACTGATCTGAACTAATCGCTTCCCCCAAATGCACCCCCTAGAATTCGAAGCTTCCCCAACCCCGAATCTCGGACGAATGAACTAGAATTTGCCAAAACCAAATCTAAACCAGTACATTTCCTGCCGACCCCAGCTCCAGTCGTGTTCGGGAACACTTCAGAACCAATACTAAATTAGTGACAAAGCTAATTTTACACCTATCCAAAACTAGCCAAAAACTGCCACATGACATACGTTACGCAGATCTATGCTGTTAACGATCCTTACTTGTTGCCATTTTGTAGGCCAGGCAAGGCGGCGACCTCATTTGGGCGAGGAGCGTGGCAAAACTCTTCTGATGCCCTCATGCACTATTGTTCCACCCCCATGAAACCGCAGGAACGGGGGGGTCGCATGAAAAAACTAGGGGGAAGAGATTGGTCGTACCCGCCAAAAGGCCACCCAACTCTGATTTAGAGCTATGCCAACGGAATCCACTGCAGCCTCATCATGACTACTCCCCGAGGACAAGAGTTTGCCCTCTTGCATCGCCGCAACAAATGTGGAATTCACACCCTTCCCCCCTCCCCGCCACCCTTCAAGTGAAAGAGCACACTGGAGCGGTGTCAGGTTTCACTCTAGACTCTAGCACGCTTATAATAAATATGATATTTCAATTTCCACACCTGTCACACAACATACACCCACAAATCTGACCAAATTGATCTGCTAGCGTGTTTTGTTACCCAGTTCTAAGAGGGCACAACTTTCGCCCTCCTGATGTATAAGTAACTATGAAGAACCATGAACGGCTATGCCTTTCCACCAGCTGAATGGTTCTTGGAGTTCGAAATTCATGCAGAGGTCAGGTTGTGTGCCCAAATGCAACTCTCGCAACATGTTTGAGGTTCCTTTGCCCAATCCTGCCCCAGATATCCAGCCAAAGGGGATCAAAAAGGGCGGTGTTTCAACGTTTTGTTGGCCGCATCCATTCTCCCAAAAAGCGAAAAGCGGGGCACCACCGGAGGTCTAAAACGATTCGAAATCTGCACCTTCTCCTCTGTCCATGGCGACCTGCCGCGCTCCACACTGGCGTCGAATGCCCTAAGAATTGCTTAAGGTCTGATCCTCTGCCGGGCAAAACGTGGCTCTCCCCGTTAAAATGGGGGGCCATGGGAGTGAGCCATAATGACGACTTTCGGAAAGTCACTTTCGTGGGGGAAGGGGCTCTTTTTTGGTACGGAAAGCGGCTGGACCTCAAGCTCAAGTTCCCACATGGATGCTTTTTAAGGCTCCTTTGAACATGGGGGTGGCCCCAGTTGGTGGGATGCCGGGTCACTGTTGTGGGTGTTGTTTCCCAGGATGGGTGGAATCCGGGTCTCACTTTATCTTCAGGTCCCAAGTGCCTTACAAAAGGGGTGCACCTCCGAGATGCCCAAAGGGCGAAGCTGTTCTTTCGCAGATTCCCTAGCACCTCGCTATTGCAATGGTTCCACCGTTCTACCGCTCTGTCTCAACCGTTTCAAGAGACCCACGGATTCGAGTGGGACAACTGCAACCCGGAAGCTGGTTCCTGTGGGTCGGACCGGGTCTCGGAGACCGAGTCTCGGGGTCTCGCACCCCTCAGTTTGTACCCCCTCCATCCGGTCCATCCGACATCCGTGCCCCATAAACTGGGAGGCTCACTATAACCATGGCTAAAACCCCGCTAAGAGCCAAGGTACAACTTCAGCAGGTCATTCTTGGTCATTAGGCGCTAGAACCAGGGCAAAAAAACATCTTAAAACCATGAGAGCTATCAGTTGAGCATCCAAGAATCATGAATGAACCCTGAGCGAGAACCTTGATCTTTGGTGTCCAGAGCCTTTGGCTTTCTGACCCTTGGCCTTTGGCTCGGCTCCACGGCTTGGGACATGCTGCCAATGCGCCAGACTCATTTGCTGACTCGTTGAGGGCAAGGCACTTGATCGGAATTGAGGGGTAGCTTCCATGTCCATTTTTTCCAGATCAAAATGGCAAGCTTGCCTCCTGCGCTCTGCCTGAAAAACTTCCCCCCATGGCCAAGTTCAACGTTCAACCTTGGTCGCACAAGATCATCTTTGGCCACCCCGGAAGGCGTCCCGCTCGCCCCGCTCGCCTCGCGCCGGGAGAACTGAGGGTCTTGGAATCCTCTCCTGCGCGGACTGTTCAGAGGGGAGGCCAACCAGTGGAGAGGTTAGAAGAAGGGTACCCACTTATTTCTGCAGTCTATTTTAGTAGGGGAAGCCTCCCTCCAAAAGAGTTGGTAAAAGGGCACTACTGGGGGACCTAGATTGTGAATGGAACCAAACACCTGATGGAAACCCAGTTGATGAATAGACCCCGTGCTTTGATTCGGGGGTGTCCTAGTTTAGAGCGGGGTTCGGGCCCCCCGCCCACCCCACCCCACCCCACCCCACCCCACCCCACCCCACCCCACCCCACCCCACCCCACCCCACCCCACCCCACCCCACCCCACCCCACCCCACCCCACCCCACCCCACCACACCACACCACACCACACCACACCACACCACACCACACCACACCACACCACACCACACCACACCACACCACACCACACCACACCACACCACACCACACCCACCCACCCACCCACCCACCCACCAACCTCAAGAACTTCGACGGAGGGCCCATGACTCAGTCCATTCATCAGTACAGTAACAAATTGTCTAGGGGTTAGATATGGGTTAGATTCAAATACACGAATTTCCGTTGGGGACCCTCTGGTGGACATCATCATGTCCATTGTGCTTTTGTTTGTCCACCGACCGCTTTCGACCCGAAATGCGCAGTGAGTGCACCGTTTGGTCTCCAGGTCAGCTCATCCTTGTGAGGGTCAACCTGGGCTCCTTTAAACCCACCCGCCACATGTCGCCCGGCCACCTGAAGGCCTCGATTTTGGACGCCCATTGCCACGTTCTTACCCCCCCAGTGGGCCTGAAAGGAAAGACAGCAGCTGCCAGAGATCCAACAAGCGTCCAGGCAAGCTTCAGTGGCTGGCATCGCTGTTGACCCCATATTCATCAACCCCCAGTTTATTAGTGGGGTGTCCCACTGGGTTTAAATCCCTTTTGGAATTGCCAAAACCCCGTATCAATAAGCTGGGTTTGGTCCAACCGCCCATGCCAAGGTTTTTGGTGCGGGCTCGCAGGGCTCTTTGCGTCGCTCAGGCGAAGCCATCGCGGCAAAGCTCACCCGTGCCATTCGGCGCCGCTGCTCTGCCATGGATGGAGCCCAAGCTTGTTTCCGAGACTTGTAGCGCTGATGCGGAGAAAAGTGCGCCTGTCTTTGGTCATGGAGTTTGAAGAATTTTACCTCCCTCAAGTTAAAAAAAAAAAGAAACAAATGGCCATGGGTCAAAACCCCCTTAGCCCCCAGTGAACATCCCAATCCAGCCTAAAGTGGGTGGTGAATTCACCTACCCCAAAATGGGAGAAGCCCATCAAATCCAGAAACTGGCCAATTTCCCATCAAGAAACCTTGTCTTCCGAAGCTCGTGATCCCGTTTAACGGGTCTAACGACCACCACAGCCGCATGGCGCTGTCGCGTCCTTGCGGCGTGCGAGTGCTCGCCGAGCTGATCGAGTCGTCCAGCCGCGCCTCCCAGAAACCCAGGCGAAACCGAAAGGTGTATGGTACATATCATAAATATAGCCATATGGCTGTGGCTCAAAAAACCGGGATCCCAAAATAGAACCTTGGTAGGTGGAAACATGGGGACCAAAACCTGCGGGTTGCCCCTCCTGTCTAATTTTGAGCCACACCCATATTACAATATGGTACAACAAAAAAATAATACAATATGGTACAATACAACATAGCACACTGATTGTATCTGACATTAACAAATAGAAGTCCCCACTCATTTTCTTATTCTGCTTACACATCTTAGTAGATGGGTTTCGGGTGCCCGACATGGGGAATTCGACCAAATGGGACCCTTTCTGTAGACACTTAGGGCTTGTTTTGCCTCCATTTGCTTAAGTCCCCTGAAAAAGAAGAAGAAGAACTATTTCCAGCAGTGATAGATTCCCTTTAAAACCAACAGGGGAAAGTAAAACGTAGTCTGAACCAAATGGAAGTTCGGGTGGATTTGGCGCGGAGGAGGGGGGGGAAGGAGAGGATGATGTTGGGTCTCGAGTCCAAAAATCCCAAAACCAGTGTCGTGACGCGGCTGCTTGGGGTGCTTTTTGAGAGGGGAACCCATCAAGCAAGAGGTGATTGAACAGGGATCCTTACTTGGTTGCTGTTGACCCCCTGCAAAAAGTTTAACTTTTTGGGGGTTTAGTGGAAAATACCATTATTTTCCAAAAAGTTAAAGTCTAAAGATCCAACCCAATAGCGGTAGAGCTTATACACCTGAACATTGCAACTTGTATTTTTCTTGGTTTCCCTTTCTTTGAATTTTGGTGTTGAAAAAGCAACGTGTTTCAATTGGTGACGCAAAATGGAGATCTTTCAAGGAGCCCTGTTGAAAGGACGGAATCCACTGAGCAGCTGGGGAAATAACCAATGTCCAAAGCAGGCTGCAGGTGACCTTTGGTTTGCCTTGCATGTTTCGTCCGGCACCCACCAAACCACAAAAAAATGGTAAAATCCGCTGAACAACTGGGTTCCGAAATGGGTTCCGAAATGGGTCGTGCACCGAGGTCGACCATTGGACTTTGGCAAAGGGAAGTAGAGAAACAAGGAGGGCCCTGCCATGTTGGGGAGTTCATGTGTGCATTATGATGTTCTTTCTGTCTTTTTCTGTTTTTCTCTCTCTCTCCTTTTTTTGGGGGGAAAGGGGGGAGTTCAGTTGTGGTCCTTTTGGCAGAAAGGAAACTCTGTCAAGGACCCCTCTGATCCAAGGAGGGTGTGAGTTGGGGACAAACACCGGGTCTCCCTTGTGTTGGCACATCCCAACATGGTGTCCTGAGCTCTGAGCAAAGGAAACGACCGTGCATGATCCGCCAGTCGGCCGAGTCCAAATGATGAATCCATCCTGGCACAAGCTATACTTTCATGGTCACGCCGCGTCCAGCTCATCATACAGCACAACACATTTGCTGTGGTGTTTCTGCCGCAGCGATCACCCATCGAGAACAGAATGGAAGAATGATATAAAGCTGTCGTCATTCATGCTGGGATTGTGCCAGCTCCTTTTCTTAACCATGAATCAATCTATGGACGGGGAAAGCGCGCCTAGAACTTCCTTGGCCATGGGAAAACAGGGCAACCTGTTCTGCGCGACGGCCGAAAACCCGACAAAGGAAACTGAGAGGACGCCTGGAGGAGTGGGGTCGGGATCAAGACGATCCCCTTCGCTCAGTTACGCTCTGATCCGATGTGCGGGTGTTTCTTTCAAAGGGACCCAAACAGTCGTGGTTTTGCCTATGGCTTCGCATGCCCCAAACCGGGTACCCACGCAGAAAACACGCCCTGCCGTCTTGCTTGAGGCTGCCCCTGAGAACTGCACCCGCCTGCCGTGGGGGTTCTAGTGGCTTCACCTGAGAACAGGCAACCCCAGAGGTCTCGGGGAGACCATGCTGGGAATTTTAGGAGTTTTGGGGATCCAGATGGGTGTGTCCGTTTTTTGGGGTACTCTTCTCTGGCTTAAGGTGAAAGCAAAGTTCAGTGACCAAAAATGATGGACCAAAGGGTCCCGGCCACCACACGAATTCTGGGCAGCTTTGATGGATGCACCAGTTTGATTCAGGCTTCCGCATGTCTGATTCCGTTTGTAAGTGAGGTTACCCTCCCATCCACAAATCTGAAGTAAAGGTGTGTGTGTGTGTGCCGTTGACAATCTGGTTTCTTTCCGGAAGTATCGGGAAATACCAGGCCACCAACACCAGTCCGAGTCCGCACTGTTTACGATAGTCCAATCCCATTGAAGGATTTCATAGGGGGCCTTCAGGCCTGCTCCGAAGACATCTGGGTAGAAACTTGACCCCAATCGAAGGAGACCAAACTCTTCTCTCCAAAGGGTCGCATCAACTCGAGGTGTCGTTGGTTGGCTTTGAGACGATTCTCACCCAAGAACAAAAGGAGGGTGGAACCCAAGGAAACAGAGTCTCCCGCCCTAGGCTATGGATGCTTCGCGGCCAACTGGGACTACGTTCAACCTTTAAAGGGGGCAACACGCGTCGTTTCTGGGGTCACTGAATCATCGAGTCTTCGAACCACTGCGGCGTCTGCACATCTCAATTTGGGGGCTCTCCGGTGGAGCGGATTTCTGTCCAGCAACCATTTGGGAGGGTCCTCCTCATTAAACAGTCATAGCCATTTATTCCTGCCCACTGCTCATCCTGCCCCTCCCCTCCAAACATATCGACCACCGCCTCGCACGTCTCCAAACTCTCTTCGTCGTGCTCCGGAAACCTTAGCAATCATAAACTTGCCTGGGTTGTTTCCCGTTGAGCCTCATCTAACAGGGGGACCCCAATTGTGAGATGCGTGTCCTAGCTTTTGCGAATCCTCACATATACAGAACCCAGGATCAAGAACCTATCATTGTACACCTCTGGCAAGTTGCGCAGGCCCTCAGGCGGGTGACTTAAACACTAACAAACACTAACATACTTTATCGTTCCTGCCAAGTCTCACGTGGCTGCAACACATCCGGCTCGTTCAGGATCACATTGCCGATGTTTCGAGTGGTGCCCCCCCCTCAAAAAGTGTCGTTGTTCCAGCCTCCCATCATTCACCTCTGAAAGTTCCGGAGAAAAAAAAAGCAACGCCACCCAAGGAAGCTTCATGTGAGCTTGTTGTGCTTTGCCCAGAAGTGATAAATTGCCATCCTGCCATGGAAAGCACACCTCAAGTACAAGGCACGGTAAAAGCCGCCTCGCAGAGCTCGTCAGCCTTTTGTTGTGTTTTGTTCATCGATGGAAGTCGCCAATTTTTCGTGCTCCCGTATTTGGCGAATCCCCCATTGCTTGGTTTCAACGGGAACCTAGTCAACACTCCGTGTGTCTATGGTCAAAGCTTTGTGGGAGCCCTCGCAATGGTTGTCCATAATCCCCAAACGCTCCATGACCATCCCTACCAACCCCAAGTACAGTCGGGTGAAACTGAGTGGCACAAATCCGCCATTTTGGTTTCGTCATCCCCTTTATGTGCGCACAAAACAATTGCTCCATCTACTTTCACCGTGGTGTAAAAAATATATTTTGACCATGGATTTGGGCGCGTATATTCTTTAAAGCACTTGTTGTTGTTCTTTTTGGGGGGGAGGATTTATAGGGAAACCAAAAGGAAACCAGCAATGTTGGAATCCCCCTGCCCTGTTTTGACACACGTACCCATTTGGACACAAACCCAAAGGAACTCTGCGAGACCCCCGCCCCGACCGAACTCAGGTTGCGGCGTGACCCTCTTCAGCGGCTCGGAATGAAACCGCCGCATTGGCAGTTCCTGGAGGAATAGGTATGAATTGGTATATTCAAGTGGCAGTGGCTCAAAAAATGTACCCATGGCCCCTGAGTCCGGGTGTTTGATTTGGCGTCATTTGCGTGTGGCTCAAAAACATATACGCAAGTCTTCCAAAGGAGTTCTGGGAGCTTCCATGTTAGTCTGGGAGAGTGTACCCAAAATGGCCCCTTGGTAAATGGAAACAAAGACCAAACCCTGCGCAACCCAAGCTCTTTTAAATTCTGAGCCACACCCAAGTGGCCGGACCCGTTTTTGGACAACTTACTTGGCGTTGCTCTTCCGCGGGCAACAAGTGGTTGGTGGAAGAGCTTTTTTTTTCATCTCCGGAGTGCACGACATTTTGTCCTTGCAAGATACATGGCTGGGTCCACACGATGCCTCATTGGAAGCCAGGAACGCGGGGCGTTCCTTCGGTGCGTGAGACATCTAGGTCCTCCAGATTAGAGAGGTGAGAATAAGGGTACCAACTTTTTTTCTGTAGTCGAATTTAGTAGGGGAAGCCTCCCCTCAAAAAAGTTGGTAAAAGTGCAATACTGGGGGACCTGGGCACTTATAGAAGAAACATATCAATGTCTTTAAAAGCCCGGGCAATATTGCTGGTTTTTACCCAAGAGGACATGCGAACATGGGGACACGTGTCGCAGCAACTCGCGTACGAAGAACCTCGGCATCCCTCCAACTGCTTGGAGTCCTGTCGGGGAACTCTTAGAAGAGGTGCCAGGTGGCTGTGGGTCAAAAATCGGTTCCCCAAATGGAACCCTGGCAAGTGGAAACATGGAACAGAACCTGCGCTTTCCTCGTGGTTTAACTTTGACCCCTACCCAGGTCGCAAAGCATCTCGCCCAAAACATCGGCATCACTGGGGCGTTGGCCCCATGCCTGTGAGTCACTTCCTTCAGCTCGTGTGCGTGGCCTGGCTCGGCAAAAAGCAGCCTTCCGGAAGACGCAGGTGGCCAGCAAGCGGGTCAGCCGCCGCCAGCGTTTTGAGGCACCTGAAAATGGGCGATGCCCTGGATGTGAGCTCGAGCTCCTTTGACAGGCGCGAGCCCTTTGGATCTCTTCTGGACAGAGGACCCGCTCCATGCTGGCGATGCGGGCTGATGGGGTCACCAGGGATCTAAATCCCCAACCCACGGAAAAACTGTCACCGTAAGAAGGGGAGCAACAACTCCAATCTAAAAAGATGTACAAGAAACCAACAGTCCCATGTATAGCTCATTGATGCAGGAATGTCCCAATGGTCCCCCCAAACGCCCCGCCTACCACCAACCCCCGCCTCCTCCTTTTCAGCGGCCCAGCTTGCCGGAGGCAGATCGGCATGCTCCTGAAGGAAGCATGTAGAGGGAATCGGACCCCACAAAAGCTTGCTCTTCTTTTATTGGGTGGGGGAATCTCCTTCCACTCTCGGCTGCCATAGTGCTTCGGTTTGACAGTACCCTCGGGGTTGTGTCGAAGGGAAGCTCTAACAGGAAACCTATCATCTTGGGGCCCGGACGCAACAAACAATTGAGACACCTCGATGGCTTTTGGGCGTTTTTCTGTTGCTACCTTCCATTTCCATTCTGAACCCAGGGATCCGGATCTCACCCAGGGAACCGGCCGGTTTTTGAAAAGAACGATTGAACAGAATGGAAAAGGAACCAACCCTTAGAGTTTTGCTTTGGCTTACACCATCCCAAGGTCATGGCCACTTGGGCCATGGGAACAAAACAGCACCTGCTGGTGGTTGATTCCATGGGAAACCCTTCCCCCCAACAGGGTGGGGTGTATCTTCTTGGAGGGTAATGGCGTGGTGGTGTTAAAGATGGAAACCGAAAGGAAAAACAGAATCCTCGGGGTCCCTGAAAAAATGACATACCAAACATTATATAAAGGTCACCATTGGGTGTCTGGGCAACACCCACGGCCCACATCTTGGCGCAGGGGTTGAAAGTTGGCTTCAATGGTAGCCGAACTTCACAAAGTTGTCAAATGCAACCAAAAACAAGCACCAGCTCTCAAGGATTCACCTCGGGAATTTCGGATTGACATGTTTCAGGCAATTACAATCATAACTCTCCCTATGATAATGAACTAGGTTAGTTTTATAGTTAATCTTATAGTTAATCTTATACTTGGTTGCTCTTCACTGCCTGCAAAAAAATCAACTTTTGGGGGTTTAGTGGAACCCCCCTTGATTTCAACCAAAAAGTTAAAGTCTAAAGATCCGTTGCCCAATAGCAGCTAAGTATTAAGTACTTAGAGAATCCCCCCCTTGCCTCCTTCTCTGGGAACCAAAGCTCAAGCTCGACCAGCTTGGATTCGCCTTTGTCCAACCAGAAGTACGGCGTTGTATTCTGAGTCAGCGAACCTTGGAATGCAACATGTGTTCAAAGGAAACCCCAGCGAAAGGAAAGCGTTTCAAAAAATCTGAGCAAAGGCAAAACAAAGTTGTAACCACATGTTTGTCGCTTGGTTCTAAGAAGATGTTTGTAACATTGTAGCGCTTTCTATGCCCTGTTCTCTAAACCTCCGTACTACAATGTCCTTTAGAGGGGTTTTGATCTGCAAGGCACACATGGTCAAGACTCCTCTCACTTCTTGCGTAAATGGGCCAAAAACAGTCAACTTTCTAGTTATGGCGTGGTCATAGTTCCCATGGGAACTTTCACATTGCTCTAAACCCCTGAAATGTTGATGCCCACCTATACCCAGTGATTCCATGTCCCTAGAACCAAGGGAACCCCCCTGTAAACTCCAAACGGGATTGGTGGCTTGGTAGTATGGTGGCACGGGGCTCCGAGACTCCCTCTTAAAGCAAACTAAAAAAGTGGCCGAAAAGGAGATGGCTCAGCAGGCTGCAAAGGGTTAGCGCGGCTGCTAGGAGCCGCCAGAATCCCAAAGGAGGAAAAGCTCCCCGATTCAAGAATTCAAGAGGCTGCACGGACATAACCAAGTGGGGCAAACGGAACAACTCGGTTGACCATGCCTCGTGCTTGGGAAGCTCCTCCGGCTCCTGGCCAAAAAAAACAAAAACGAGCACCGAGCACCTGTAATAGGAGCGGATCTTCAAAGTATCGGGCGTGTCTCGTTGAAGGGTCCCCTGTTTGTGGCTTCCTTCGGGCCAAAAGGAAAACCATGTTCTGAGGCGCCCCATGGCGGCCCTAACATATCACGTTGTCTCTGAATATGAAACCTCAAAGTGGAAGGATACCCTCCAACTGTCAGCCTAAAAACCCTACAGTACATCCCAAAAAATGCTCCCAATGGGATGGCTTCTGGAGCCCGTGGATCTGCAACAGTTGCACAACCTGATCTTGGCGTCCTTTCCTTTTTCCTTCAGTTCCCCCCCCCCAACAAAAATATTCCAGCGTAGACCAAACAGATTGTAAGAACACAATGATGCACTACGCGGCCTGTTCTTTTTAGAAGAGTAAGAACTCCAACAGTAAACTGTTTGGGGAAAACAACAACAAAAAACAAGAACATAAACTCTGCATTCACTTGCTTTCCCAATCTTTCCCACATCCCAATATTTTCTAAACAGGTACCTCAAGCCCTTTCCTCAAAGGGTGTTTGGACCCGAGCCGTGGGGGGAGCTGCAAAGAACACCCAGTTGTTGTCGGACGTTCCACGTGGGCGTTGACATGGTTTTGAATCCCGCTAGACATGTCGAGTTGAGGGATAGAACGTCCGCATGCTCAAGGGAATAGCGACATCACATAGACACATGCCAAAAGAAGGGGGGATGGGACAACGACATGGAAAACACCAAAGAACAACACATTCCAACATCAAATCTAGGTCCTCCAGTAGAGAGGGCAGAAAAAGGTACCCTTTTTTGTACCTGGATCTCCTGGAAGTTAAGAATTCCTACTCCAAAATTGAAAAAGTACTTTTTGGCCTGAGGACACGGGTATTTCCACTTTCGAACGGGTATTTCTACTCTTGAACGGATATTTTCACTACCATCGAAGTGTTCATAAATCAGCACTGCACATAAATGATCAAAGGCTTATTGCGTAATGTTGGCGTATTTTTTACGTACCTCCGAACGAGTCCGAACGGGTCCGAACGGGTCCGAACGGGTTCGAACGGGTTCGAACGGGTTTCGAACGGGTTTCGAACGGGTTCCGAACGGGTCCGAACGGATGCCTGAGCAGTCGGAACTACCCGAACGGGCATTTTAACACGGAGTGAAAATTATCACTCCAGCATGGAAGAAAGTACTTTTTTCTTTTTGGAGTGGGAATTATTAACTTTCAAGAGATGCAGGTAGTCTATTTTTAGTAGGGGAACCCTCCCCCAAACAAAGGGTAAAAGGGACTACTGGGGGACCTAGAAATGAAAGGAAATACCCTTTGAACAGCAGCAGAAGAGTTCCTGTCGGGTGATCGGCATGTCGTTCGCCAAGGTGCAGCACCCTCAAGAACAATGGGCGCTAATAATATCTATTCATCAACTAGGGATCTATTAATCTCGGTCAACATCGCCAACTGCAGCATAGTTGGTTCTAGCAGAAGGGTTCATCTTTTTTCGGATGCTGCGCGAATACAGTGCCTTGGTGCAAGCGATCGGATCCCGTTTTTTAGGGGACCCTGTCCAGCCCAACAACCTGTCGGCCTGTTTGTGACTCCCTACCTTCCTCTTACCTTTGTTACCTCTTGCTTTGACGGAAGCGTTTAAGTTTTCCCCAGGTTCGGCACAGCCCTTTCTTCTCTAGGTTCGGCGGCGCGGTCCCGACGCAGAAAAACCGCACAGGGTTCGCCTGTTCGGTGAAGCTTGTTTCCAAGTTCGCAGAGGATTCACTTTTTCGATGCAGCTTGGCGGCAAAAAACTACATACTCAGCAGGAGGTTCACTTTTCGAAGAAGTGCGCTTAAACGCAGAGCTCGCAGAGGGTTCACTTTTTTTAGAAGAAGCTTGGTCGCAAAAAGCTACAAACTCCGCAATTGCTTCACCTTTTCGAGAAGCCTGCTTCCAAATCCAAAGTGCAGCAAGCCTCCGGGGGTTTACTCTTTTCGATGAAGCCATGATTTAAGGTGGGTTTGGGCTTTGGGGTGGGTGTTTGGTTTAGGTTGGCTAGGTTTAGGGTTGGTTTGGTGCTGGTTTAGGTGGGCTTAGGGTCGGATTTAGGCAGGCTTGTGGTTGGTTTGGGGTTGGTTTCGGGTAGGATAGCTTTAGGGCTTAAGATGTAGTGCTGGTGTGGTATAGGCTTAGGGTAGGATTGAACTTTGCTGACTTAGAGATTGTTTAGTCCTCGTTTCTGGTGGGTTTCGGGCTGGTTTAGGTTGGGTTTAGGGCTGGTTTAGGGTTGGAGAGCTAGTTTGGGGTTGGGTTTAGTGTTGGCTTCGGGATGGTTAAATCAGGTTCGGGGGTGGTTTAGCATAGGTTAAGGGTTGGATTCGTCGCAGCCCCCAGCCAACCGTTTATCTAAGGGTTGAACAAGGTTTGCGCAGGGCTTTGTTTACGGTTGATTTTGAGGTGGCTTGCAGCAGGTTAAGCTGGGTTTCAAATTAGTATAGGGTTGCTTTAGGGTCTGGGTTAGTTTATAGGGTTGGCTTAGGGTTGCGGAATCGGCTGTGGCGTTTGACTTGGCCAGAGGCTCCCCCCATTACTGGGAAGCCCGAAGAAGATTGCAGCAAGAGTGGTTTCAACATGCTTACACAAGGGGTCACACCCTGTTAGTCTTACCAATAGTTTCCCCGACTAACTGTTCACCGCGTCATATACAACCGTGAAGCTAGTTGATGGATTCATTCCCTTGTTCCCTGCGCAGACCCCTTCTCCTCCAGGGCCCTTTGTTTTCTCCCGTACAACAGATAAGCCCTAAAAGAGCCTCGCCGCGAACGAAATGCCTCTCTTTGAAGTGCCAACCAAAACTGAAGGAAAAAGGGCATTGGATGTGCCCCCTTTTCCCAGTAACATGCAGGCCACTGCAAGCGCGGGTTTGTCAACCGGCATCCACGGCCCAAGCAGCTCGCGGACCACCCGTAAGGCCAGCCCCGTCAAAGGAAAGCAAGCAGAGGTGGAGTGAACTGCCCCAGCAATGAGAAGGGCCTGAAGCCTCACATGATGGCCGTCCACGGCCACCCCAAGCGTTTCGCGCATTCAAAATGATGTTTTTCGCACGCAGGTCCAATTTTCAACAGGCACATGTCATTGTGCGGCATCCACAACCCACCACCTCAAGGCTTAGGCTGGCTTAGAGATGCTTAAGTGCTGGTTTAATGTGGGTTTAGGGTTGGTTTGGGCTTGGTGTTGGGTGGGTTTAGGGTTGGTCGGAATTTGTTTTGGGCTTGCTTCGGGGTGGTTTTTGGCGGTTAGGGAGCGTTTAGCGACGGTTTAGGGTGGCTTGCAAACACTATCCTGGCAGCGATGCCAGCTGAAGATGTGGAAAAACAAAGCTGCGAACGCCACAAACGACCGACCGACTGGGGACCCTTCCACGACCCGCAGAAAAACACATGAGTGCCTCTCTTTGTTGATGGTATCCTCCGTTGTTCATGGTTTCAAAAGAAACCCATAATTGTCTAGGTCCTCCAGTAGAGAGGTTAGAACAAGGGTACCCTTTTTCTCTGCAGTCTATTTTTGTAGGGGAACCCTCCCCCAAAAAAGATGGTAAAAGGGCACTACTGGGGGACCTGTCTGCCATTCGCTTAAGCCCCCTGGAAAAAAATAAACATATTTCCGGTGGTGATCGGTTCCCTTTAAAACCAACATGGGAAACTGAAAAAATATTGTTAATCAAATGGAAGGAAGCCTCTCACGTTGGGGCCCGGACTCTTACTTTTGAGACACCCCAATAGCTTTTGGGCGTTTGGCTTTTGCTTCCAACACCATCCTAAGGTCATGCCCCAGTGCACCTGTTTCTGGTGGTTGATTCCATCGGAAACCCTTCCCCCCAGCAGGGTGTGGTGTGTCTTCTTTGATGGTAATGGCTTGGTGGTGTTAAAGCGAAAGGAAAACCAGAATCTTCGGGGTCCCTGCAAAAATGACATACCAAACATTATATAAAGGTCACCCAAATGCTGTCTCCCCAACTGAGTCCCTATCTCTCGCTCCACCTCTCCACCTCCCGGCGTTTCTTTTTGTTTCGTCCTGCTCCGATTCAGACTCGCTCTCGGCCGGGGCGGGCAACAGGGCCAAGTCCTGGCGCGGACTTGGCCTGTTTTAGTTTTGTTTTTGTTTCTTATCTTTCTCGGATGGCTTGTTTGTCTTGCTTTTATGTGTTTTTGTTTTTTCCTTTTTGAAAGCAATACTTGTTTGGTTTAAACGAAAACCACAAGAATAACTATAGAGTTGTTTTTTGTTGTTGTTTTCACTACCTGTTTTTGTTATTTTTGCTTTTGCTCTTTTTTGAAGAGGGGGGTAACACCCACTCTCCCGCTAATGTGGCAGCTGACAAGGGGAACTGATCTTCCAGGTACCCTCCCACAGGTGCCATGTTAGTGGGAAGGGTACTTGTTTGGTGGTTTTAAAGGAACAAGCACAAGAACTATTGCCTTGTTTGTTCCTCTTCTTTTCTTTTTTGGTTTCTTCTTCTCTTTTTGGGGGGTCTCCCAACGAAAGACACACCCATTTGGTGGATTGCACCGTACCTTCGCCATTTTGGTCAAGGAACGCGTGAAAATGTACCTGATAAGGGTTTGGAAAGCCCAAGCATCCATGTGGATGCTTTCTCAACATGGACCCCGGTTTTGTGCCGGGTGAAGGGAACCACCTTGAGAACCCCCTCCTACAAAACCCAATGGATTTCGATGGGAAAGAAATGGCACTCCTTGGTGGATTTTGCATGGGCCCACCCCTCCAAAAGAAGGAGCAATGGAGAAACAAAAACTGGCCCAACACTTGCTGTTTGAGGCCTTTCCAAAATCCCCGCCTTGGGTTCCTGCCTGTCAACGTTGACTTCGCTACTCCCTAAACCCAGGTCGCGCAATGTGCTTCAACCCCAAGCCTGAGTTTGAGCTCCACTTATTGTTGGGGGCGGTCAAACAAACAGGCTGTTGGGCCTAGCCAAAGGACCCTCCTGAAATGCCTGATTACTATAGTGGTCCGGATGAATCCGAATTTTGCGTTACAGGTTGAACTGTAACTGTACCGATCGGACGTCTCTGGCAGGAACTCCGAGAAGTTGTGTCTGACAACAGACAACAAAACCGTTCACCAACCCCCACCCGTCCTTTTTTTTGAACATATTTCCAGTAGTGATAGATTCCCTTTAAAACCAACAGGGGGAAAACATATTCTTAACCGAATGGAAGCCAACTGTCCACCCTACAGGTTTGCTCAACCATGATTCGCTTCTCAAGCGGATTGGCACAAAAAGGGTTCAGACTGTTTACCACTAAAAACGGCTTGCCCGTATAACCCATGTCTTCCTCAGCCACAGCGAATATTCCTTGTGCAACCCAAACAAACCTGAAACTAGTCTAAACCCAATCCAATCCAAACCACTCTGACAAATCCAAACCACCAACGGTGGAAGGGAAACCAAGAAAGCTCTAAACTGCCAAAAAACTGAGCTCACTTCCTGAGTGAAATTGGGCCAAAACGTGTCCAAACTGGTGGTTTACCGCCAAAATGGTAACCCAAAAAGTGACTAAAGTCCATGAACTCAGGGAGTGAGACCCGGTCTGAAGCACCACATGGTGAAAAACCATGAGCTTGGCTCCAAGGTTGGTCAAACAAGGCTTGCTTGCGTGGTTGAAGCTCTAAACCGCCAAGCACCAGAAAAAAATCACCAAGCCCAAAGAGGCATCAAACCAATCCAAAACTGAATCCAGTCCCAACCAATGGATTACTTGATAGTAAAACAAAACAAACTGAGCCCTAAACAAAAACACCACGAGCCCATGTTGATCATCTGCTTTTAAAAAAAACACCGCCCGAACCGGTCGACTCAAACCGGTCGACCGAAGCCGCCGCCTCCGCCTCGGCGGCAACGGCCGCCTCGGCGGCCTGGGCGGCGCCCAGCGGCTCCAAGTCCTGCGGCCCGCAGCCGACGCTCGTTGCTGCGGTGGTTGGAAACGCGCGCTGCGCCTTCGGGCCGGGGAGGGGAGGCGGGGTGTCTGAATTTTCCCCGGAACAACAAACAAAATTAAGAAATGTTTGTTTTCTTACCCCAACAGCTGGCCTCTGGTTGGTCTCCCTCAAGTTTGTTTGATCTTTTTTGGGGGGTGTCCGAGTTTGAGGGCCTGCATCTTTGGGGTCCTGGCACTCCTCAAGCTCTGCTTTCAGGGAGGGTGGAGGGTTTCAGTGCTGATCCCCCTGGGCTGCCATCGTAACCTGGGCTAAACGTAACCTGGGCTGCCATCAGATCCCCCGCTAAAAGTGAATAACTTTGGTGGGTTAAATGGAAACTACCACCAAACACTGAAAGGCTAAAATGCTAAGAGGATGGCTGGGAGCCACCACGTAACAACACTGATTTCTACGCCAAGCATCGCTTATGTTAACCTGTGGACATCTTCAAGGGAAGGTTACAAGGTCATGGAACATTGGGGGGCATAGGCTTGGGGGCTCATGTCTAGGTCCTCCAGTAGAGAAGTTAGAATAAGGGTACCCGTTTCTTGCTGTTTTTTTTTTTTTTTTCTGTAGTCTATTTTAGTAAGGGAACCCTCCCCCAGGGCACTATTGGGGGACCTAGCAAACTGTGGACGGGATGTGTGAAGCGCTACTGGGATACACCCCTCCCACTGGTGCGAAGTCCATCCACAGTTCTCTCTTGGCCAAAGCTAGAAACGCCTCCGCCATCCTTCTTTGAGATCCCTGGCTGCGCCCCAGTGTTGGCGAATGCTTTTTGAAAGTGAAGCACGCGCTCGTTCAAGGCCCGCCCCAACACTTCTGAGCATAGGGGCCCTTTTTGGAAAATAGATGGCCCTGGTAGATGATTTTTCACCACCAGGTAAACCAGGGCCGTCTAGTTGTTGGAGCAAACCAACCAAAAAGGACGCCTATGCTTCTGACACGTCGTGTTCATCTTACTGGTGCTCAGGAACCTTGGGACCCCGAGACTCAAGAACCACAAGTTGAACGGGAGGATGTTTGGGGTCATTCCCCTGATCACCAGCCAAGTCCTCCTTTTCCCTCGGCGCAAAAACTAGGTCCTCCAGAATTTGAGAGGCTAGAATAACTTGGTACCCGATCTTTTTCTCTGTCGTCTATTTTCGTAGGGGAACCCTCCCAACCAAAAAAGGGGTTAAGAAGGGCACCAAGCTGGGGGACCTAGAAAACGCTGCCCCCCGTTGTTGACTGTTTTTCTCTTTTTCTTTTGTTCCTTCATTTTTTTTGGGCGGGGTCCTTGAACATCTCCAGCTCCGGCTCCTGCGCTCAGGCGGGCGACAAGAGGAAAAAGGCCAAGTCAGGCCGGGGCCCTTCATTTCTAGAGGTAGGGGTACCTTCCAGTTCCATTTCGAGGGATCCGAATCTTGTCAGGAAACCATGAAAAACCCAGGTCGGAAACAGATCCGGTCTTTGAAAAGAACGAGGGTCGAAAAGAATGGAAAAGGAATCAACCCGTCAAGAGGTGCACCTACTAGTGGCTTGACTGGAACTTACTGGAATGACCATGCCCGTGTTTTTGTTGCTTGGAACCATGGCAAAAGTAGGAATGAGAAGAAGTACGGCAAACACATCTGACAGAGTCATGTTCCTTTGAAAGCAAAGGGGAAAATGCATGTCGGCAAACGGTAGACAAGTGGTTGGTTCTAAAGGCCGAGAAAGATCAGCGGGCCCTTTCGCCGCCACCAAGCCAAACCCAGTTGCTGTTAGCTATGTTCCTTTTGGTTTTGAAAGGGTGGCTCCCTTGGTTGCCTACTATACAGGTGAATGGATCCACTGGGAAAGGATATAAGCAGCCAAAATGGCCAGTTGTACATCCCCCCACCCCCCACCCACCCCCACAACCCCCCAACCCCCCCCCCCAACCCCGTCCTGCCAGCAGTTTTTTTGGGTAGTGGAAACAAGCTCGAACCAACCGGAGCTTCGGACCCGCAATGCGCGGGCTCCTTTTTTGAGGCAACGAGGTCCTCCAGATTTGAGAGTATTTTAGTAGGGGAATTCTCCCCAAAAAAGGGGTTAAGAAGGGCACTTAGCCCAGTTTGGGGCTTCCGAATTTCTCCAAGGAGCCTATTCCGAAAAGAAACCTAGGTCCTCCAGTAGAGAGGTTAGAATAAGGCTACCCTTTTTTCTGTCGTCTATTTTAGTAGGGAAACCCTGGCCCAAAAAATGATGAAATGGCACTACTGGGGGACTTAGCCAAAGGAACCAACTTTTCCGGAAACAAAGGTGTTCGACAAAAGTTTGAAACAAAAGTTTCGGGTGGGAGCGCCGGGACCACGCAGTTCTTGGAATAGCGGCACTTCTAGGAAGTTATTCTATGATTGTTTATTTATCTATTTGTTTACGAGCTTCACGGCAGCTTTAGCTGAAGGCCACAGGCCCTACCGAATGTTCGGGATTCATCCGTTTCAGAGTTAGCCAAGCGAGACCGTCTCACCTTGGTAAACACAGTTCCAGAGGCAAAGGATCCGATCACAACAGGGAAATCATACACAAGATTGCGCAATGTGCGAAGGAACATTTGCCTGCAGCGTTTGAGCGAGCAACAAGACAGAAAAAAGGAAGGAAGACAAGGCAACGAACGAGAAGGAGCAAAGAAAGCGGGCAAAGAGAAGAACGGCCATGAAAGCGTGGGAGAAGCAGAGCAGGAAGAAGAACGAAGAAGAGAAGAGGCGGGGGAGCAAGGCGCAGAAGACAAGAGACGGACAAGAGCACCCCCTTCCATTCATGATTGTTTTACTGCGTTTACACAGTTCTACCCCGTTGTACACTCCACTACAGCCGCAAAGCGACAATAACCTTCTCCAGCAAAGTGACATCCTCAAAACTCCGAGCCCTAAAAGTATCTTGAGAACCCCTCAAAGTCTTGGTTGACGTTGCAAGTGGAGCAACGTCAATTTAAACAAACATATAAAAACTGTTTCCCAACAACAAACATGAAGTGGGCAGGTCTCAAACCAAGGACCCCCCCAAGAAAATGATGGTGGTGGCTCTTTTGGTTTCCCAAGCCTTAGAAAGGTCAAGACCTTAAGCAAAAACAATCGCAAACATTGCAATCTCCCAGGCTTCACTCCTGGGCCTTCTGGGCCTTCTAGTATTCGATCCGTGAATTAGCCTCAAAAGAGGGGCGCTTTTGAAACTGCCACTTTGGGAGGCCCCCAAGAAAGGACTTGGAGGAAACCCTATCAAATACAAACCCTATCAAAAACCACAAAAAGGAAAATGAACCCTATCAAAAACCATCAAAAATGAAATGAAGGAAACCCTATCAACAACCACAAAAAGGAAAATGAAGGAAACCCTATCAACAACCACCAAAGATGAAATGGAGGAAACTCTATCAACAACAACGCGCGCTTTTTTGGGGGCCCCAGAAGGCTCTTTACTGGAGCCAAAAACATCCATCGCGGCTCGCGATACGTTCGGCTCCTGCCGGGCCGGCGCCAGCGCCTGGCGCCAAACAGCTCGGATCCCCTTCACCAGTCGAAGCCGAAACCTGGGTCAACCTGAAATCAACATCGAAATTGGGGGGCCCAACGGTTTCCTGGGTTTCCGAAGTAGGAAAAAATCAAAACCTGGAAAGGGTCCAGGTAACAATAAACCTGGTACGAAACCTGGTACAAAACCTGATACAATAATGGTTCAAGAACCACGCTTCAAGAATTGAGCAGCTATTTATGGTGGGGAGCGTCCCTTACTAACCTTCATCTACCCAGGTTTTGAGCAAGTGACTCACCTGAAATCAATACCTGGAAACCCCGGAAATGTAACCCTTCAGAGCCATGACCGACCATGAAAAACGAGGTCTTGGGCCTAGGGACAAAAAGGAAGAACACATCATGCAGCCAGTCGATGTGCTCATCCGCTACCAGTCACCAACCAGTCGGCACACTTCGCAGCCCCTTGGAGATTTGGGCGAAAAATGATGCGGCTGCGCTGAGGATTACGTCGCAAGGCTCCAACCGCCCACGTTAAACGGAAAGCAACACGAACCCACAAAAGGAATGCTTCAAGGTACACGAAAAGGAATACCACGGGCAGTCCGCGGTCCACACCGCACTCAGCCTGATCATTTGCTCGAAAAGAAGTGCCCCCTCGGATTCCCAACTACCCTTCAGAAGTTTCCACCTCAACGGGTTAGCAGCTAGCAAGCGGGTGGCAAAACTAAGTTTAACGACGCGGATGAATAAGAATGCAACTAATAGTTGCGCTTCTTGGTCTGGCACTCTCGGGGTCCATTTGCGGAGAAAGTTTGGCAATTTGTCCCGTGCACTAAGCCCAAAACACTTGAACATATAAGTTCATCTTGTTCGTTGCCATTGATGTTGTACTCCCCAAAAGTTGAACAGGGTTCAGCAGTTCAATGTTCTGTCCAAGGGAACATGTTGGGCTGTCTTGAAGGGAAATCGAACAAAAAGCTCTGATTTGCAGGGTACCCATCTTTGACACCTACCCAACCTTGTTCCTTTTCGAGGGTACCAATTGATTGATGCCTTTAAACTGAAACCAAAAGGAACACCCCCATTTTGGGCGGTCAAAGCCAAAACAAAACATACAAACCTCTCTTCTTCTTTTTTTTTTGGGGGGGGGTCAAACCTAAAAACAGTCTTTCTCCCCCATTTTGGGGGGTTAAACCTAAATAAAACGACATACCTAGTTGTCTTTCTCGGCCCAGGGCGTGGGTTTCTGGTCCCAAGCTCTCCGACCCACTCTGCCTGTCGAGGTGGAGCACGCCGCGGGGAATCCTGGCGGTTTCTTGGGCTTCTCTTTGGAGAAGCCAACCTGGAAAGGGTCCCAGGTAACAAGAACACACCTCGGTTGCGAAATCTGCTCCTCTGCTAACTGTGAATAACTTTTAGTGGTTTAATACGGAAAACCCATTAGTTGGCAAAAAGGTAAAGTCCCAACATCCAAGCACAATGCACCAAAGACAGCCACATTTGATCCGCTGGCTTTTAGCAACCCTGCATTAGATCGGAGGTTGTTGTGTGATGAAGCTTTTGAGGGTCAGTCTCAACATCGCATTCTTTCTTTGCTCAAGAAAACTAACCACCTTGGTGGTTCCTTAGGCAAGCTCAAGCTGCCAAACGTGAACACCAACATGTCAAGAGGAATCCAATTCTCAGTCAATGCTGAAATGTACCATGTGAGCCTTGGACAAAAAGTACTGGTTCCCCCAGGAGGGCAAGGGAAGATTGGGCGGGCCTTGGGTTTTGTGCGGAAAGTTGGGGTGGGGCCTCCTTCTCATCCCCTCCAAACCGACAAAGGACTACCTATGTTTAGCCGGTCGGCTCCAAAATGGACCCGGCAACTGTTCTCCCGGTTCTGCGACGCGTCTGAATTGTCCCAAGCCCATCTAGCGGCAACCAATAAGGCATTGAAAAATGGACGATCGGCCCCGAAGAAAGAAGGTTTTGCGGACTGCCCAGAAGCCCAGTGAGCATGGAAAAAAAAACAAGCAGCAAAGCACCGCCTGCTTGAGGGCATGGCTTGTGGAGTACTTGAAAACCTCATTTAGACATGATTATGACATAGGAGTACGCTAATTGAATAGGATTTTCGCAGGGAACCCCCATCAGCGGTTGGAGAGAGGTTAGAATAAGGGTACCAACTTTTTTCTGTACTCTATTTTAGAAGGGGAACACTCCCCCAAAAAACGGATATAAAGGGGCACTGGGGGACCTAGAAATGGTGTCCACCAAAGGGCCGCCCGCAGCGCCCGAGCCACTCCGCGCCTCGGCCTTCTGGGGGGAGTTCACCGCAAGCGGCTCCAAGAGCAAGGGAGAGTCCTGTCCGTGGTTCTTTGAATGCATCCACTGTTTTTGAATATCGCATTGCTGATGGCGAACTCATATAATTGTTCCCATGCTTGAATGCTCCACGCGCAAGCCGCAAGTGGCAGGTAAGTCATTGTCACTTCTGAACCATAAATATGTCCTATGCATAATGGTGTATACTTGTGCATGTAGTTGTATATGTGCGTATGCCTTGATGCTCTATTGTCTCAAGCCAAGCAAAACAATCATCGCCAGCGTGTTGGACAAACATGGGTGCGTCGAACCCCTTTGCTTGGTATGACAAAACAAAAACATAAGGATGCCAACTATCATTCCCCCCCCCGACTTTGGGACAAGCCCAGATGCCCTTTACAAGGCCAAGCGCGGGATCCCCCGAAACGGGCGGTCTGTCTCGGTTTTCGTTAAAAACAACCCGAACAAAGGAGTTGCCTCGAAAGAAATAATTCATCGGGCGGAAGCTCCGACTGACCAATCGCGGTCGCTTACGCGGGCATTCCTTATGTTGGATTGGCTCTTGGTCGCAAAGGGGTAAGTGCCTCCACTGAGAACCTCCCTCTCCCTAACTTGTCTATCCAAAAAGCCAGGACCGTTCTCTTTCCAAGCCACACCTTTTTTCTCAATCAGAAACTGCAAATCCCAAACCTAGTCATGACCATTCAAGCGCCAAGGAACTAAGCTTCCGCGAAAATCCACGTATCCCCCAGCCTTTCTTTTCCCGGTTCATGCCCCGCCTGGCTTGAAATCGGCAATGGCTCGAAAGGCCGCGGGTCCTTGCGAAATCGCTTGCGCAGGCCACACCTTTTGAGGCGACATGGATGGTTGCGAAATCCAGAAATCGCAGACCTAAGAAACCATAGCCCACATGGGGGTCCTCCAAAAGGAGTATCCTCTACAAATGCTTTGGCGATGAATGTACAGAGGAGCGATCCACCCATGTAGGTTGTCAAAGGAGTACTAAACAGATCAACAGGGAGAAAGGACAGGTGGAATCCACATCCAAACCGTTTCCGAGAGCAACAAACAAATATCTGCGCGAACTTGTTGTGGTGGGCACCTGTTCTTTTTCTGTGTCTATTTTTGGAGGGCCTCCCTTTTTGGGATTGGGTTAAAAGGCCGCCACGAGGAAAAAGACCCATCTGCAGGGCGGGAACCCCGCCGGATTCGGACGACTCGTCCTTGACTTCGGACCGCGGCTTCGCCTGGCGTTCCACCGAAAAAGGACTCGCACCCTCGAACCGGGCACATGGAAAATAGATTTGGTCCTTTTCGGGAAAAACCACTTCTTGACTTTTGTTCTTTTTTTGGGGGGGGCGGGGGGGGGGGCGGGGGCGGGAAGGGGACCTGCGAAATAGGCGGCAGTTGGTCCTTTTTCTTTTTTTCCCTTGGGGGGGGGACCTGCAAAATATACGACATTTGGAGAGTTTTTCGGGGGGACCTCCATTCTTTGGGCGGTGTTGCTTTGGGTTTTGCTTTGAAACCACAAAGAAGAGGGGTGCCCTCAAAAGAAGACACACCCAAATGGAAGGGGCTGAACAAATCAACAAATATATCATCCTCCCATGCTCTTTTGGTGGACTTTCGGGGGAACTAAAGCAACGTGCTGGATGGCTCTCTCTCTTTGGGCTGCCTGTGGGAAACATGGGAACTTCACGACTTATAGCTGAAAAGGTGGATCCCACATTCCCTGACTTGGCCCAACAGAAAGCATGTGCTCAGTTATGTTTCATGCAATCAATGTTAATAATATACATGGCGTTCGGAGGAACCCCCTGCAAAGAGTGAGGTCTTGATCTCTGACAGGAGCCAGTGTCCATGCCGAATGACCCCAAAACCAAGTCTATTTACAGTCGAAAGCCCTTACATTTAGGGTCTTGGGTTCAGGATACAAAAAACAGCCGAACATGTCCGACTGTCCCACCCCCCTGCCGAATATGATGAAGCAAGAGTGGGTTCATCCCGACCTTTCACCCTTCATTGCAGTGACAATCCTATGTTGGTGTGTGTTTGTGTTTGATTGATTGTTTGCTTGCTTGCTTGCTTGCTTGCTTGCTTGTGTGTTTGATTTGGTTGGTTGGTTGGTTGTTGGTTTGTTTGTCTGTTTGTCTTGTGTGTTATGAGGACAAAACAAGATATAATCCAACGCATATGGGTATGATTCGGGGTATGATTCGCTGAAAGCAGCAGCAGCAGCAGCAGCAGGAGGAGGAGGAGGAGGAGTAGTATAGTAGTAGTAGTAGTAGTAGTAGTAGTAGTAGTAGTAGCAGTAGTAGTAGTAGTAGTAGTAGTAGTAGTAGTATCTCCGTGGCAATATTCATTGTAAGGGAGACGTAGTAGTAGCGATAGTAATCGTAGTAGCAGAGGAGTAGTGGTGCTGGTAGTAGTACTGAGTAGGAGTGCAGGAGTAGTAGTAGTAGTTGTTGTTGTTGGGTAGTAGTAGTGAGTAGGAGTACAGGAGTAGTAGTAGTAGTAGTAGTAGTAGTAGTAGTAGTAGTAGCAGCAGTAGCAGTAGCAGTAGCAGTAGCAGTAGCAGCGGCAGTAGAAGCAGCACCTGTGTAGGGCGGAAGCTTTGAAAAGACTCGGCACGAGCCTTGGCAAGGGAAGCTCATTGTGCGGGTATGAACGGGTATGATTCGCGGGTATAATTCGCCTAGTTGAAACATGACACTGGTTACAAACTCAGAATGATGAATGTAGTAGTAGTGGTGGTAGTAGCAGTAGTAGCAGTAGTGATGGTAGCAGTCTTGGTAGTAGTAGTAGCAGTTGCAGTAGTAGTGGTAGCAGCTGTAGCAGAAGCAGCAGCGGCTGTAGTGGTGCGGAAGCTCTGTAAAAGACTTGGCACTACCATTCGCAAGGGAAGCTCATTGCATTGTCCGGGTATGATTCGGGTATGATTCGCGGGTATGATTCGGCCAGTTGCAAAACGGAACTAATTAAATACTTGAATATGGTAGTAGTGGTGGTAGTAATGGCGGTAGTAATGGCAGTAGTAGTAGTAGTAGTAGTCGTAGTAGTAGTAGAAGTAGTAGTAGTCGTAGTAGTAGTAGTAGTAGTAGTAGTAGTAGTAGTAGTAGTAGTAGTAGTAGTAGTAGTAGTAGTAAGGGTAGCAGCAGAAGCAGAAGTAGAAGCAGTAGCAGTAGCAGCGGCAGTAGCGGTGGTGTCGGCAGTGGTAGTAGTAGTCGTCGTAGCGGTAGTAGCAGTCGTAGTAGCGGTAGTAGTAGTATAGTAGTAGTAGTAGTAGTAGTAGTAGTAGTAGTGGTAGCAGTAGTAGTAGTAGTAGTAGTAGTAGTAGTAGTAGTAGGAGTAGTAGTATTAGTAGTAGATAGCGCAACAACACAAACGGTAGAAAAAAAGTAGCATCTTGCAGCGTACGTTTTAAGGGGTATGATTCGGGGTTATGATTCGGGGAGGTCCCGCCTTCTGCCTTTTGAAGCAACTCAACACAACAACAAAAAAAACAAACCCATATGTGCAACAGGGAAGAAGAGTCAGATTCCGTGAACTAGGCCAAAGGGAGCCGTATCCAACGGGTTTTGCTTCAGTGGGTATTTGCTACTGGTCGGACGACTTCGTTTGGCGGACATCACTTGCCTGGGTGCGTTTACATGAGCGCATTGATTTTGATTGGCCCACTTTCTCCGTTCCTAGGCTGTAGAACAATGAGTCCTACGGGAACAAACGGGAAAGCAAACAAACAAACGGGAAAGCAACAAACAAACAAACAAACAAACAAACAATCAACCAAACAAACAAACAAACAAACAAACAAGCAAACAAACAAACAAACCTACGGTTGGTCAACATTTACTAGCTCCACCCTTTGAGGATGTCGTTAAATCCTGGATGATCCTGGGCAAATTACAAGTCCTGAACTCAAAATGTCAAGAGTCTTCCTCGGTGCACTCGATTTCACGCGGTGAGCTCTGCACAACCTTTCGGCCCTTTGGCCCATTACCCATGTCAGGGTTCTAACCCAATGGGCTCCTTTCGGATGCTGCACACATTGTCCTTTTGCGCAAGCGATTGGAGCCCAAATATTGGACCCCGTGTTTCCGGACTCAGCTTGCCTAAGTCCGCCAGTAGAGAGCTTAGAATAAGGGTACCTGACTTTTTCTGTCGTCGGTTTTAGTAGGGGAACCCAACACCCCAAACAAGTTGGTAGAGAACGGCACCTAGCTGGGGGACCTAGCCAAATCTTGGACCCCGTGTCTTCCGGATTCACCCTGTACATTGTGTTTTCCACCTGCCAAGCCTCCATTTGCTTAAGCCCCCTGGAAAACATGAATATAATTTCCAGTAGTGATAGATTCCCTTTAAAACCAACAGGGGAATTAAACAAATATTCTTAACCAAATGGAAGCAAGGGGGAGGGGGGCTCACCGAGGCATCAGGCGACTCGTCGGCTCCCGCCTGGCTCACCAGCAGCTCGAAACGATCCGCGTCCTGAAATTCGACCAAAGCCACGGCTTTTCAAAGGCTGGGTCTGGGAGGGAGCATGTCTCTAGGGGTACCTTCTAGGATTCTAGGAACCAGAATTGAGTGGCCATAGATCGATCGGGGTACCTGCCATTTCCATTCTGAACCCAGGCATCCGGATCTTTCTACAAACCACCCAAAACCCTGGTTGGAAACAGCTGGTCTTTGAAAAGAGCGACGGTTGAAAAGAATGGACAAGGAATCAACCCGTAGAATCTCTGGCAAAGGTCGACTCCCAAACCGGAAATCAGGAACTCGCCCCCCTGGTAAAGGACTTCATCATGAGCTTGCGTTATTATTCGGTGGGCTTGTTGTAGTTTCCTGGCCACACCAAAGGAGACATGAGCCACAACCAAAACCCGGTACTAAAATGGTCTACCCAGAACCATGTAAAGAAGCTATTTATGGCAAGGGGATTCTCCCTTGCTAACCTTCATCTACCCGAATCGTTTTTGAGCAAGTGGCTCACACGGCCGCAAGGAAAGCAACTCGCACCCTGCCAACATCCTTCGCCTTTGGCGGCGAGCGTAGGGGCGAGTCCTGTCGCGCGACAGGGAGACTTCGGGTCAGGGAAACCCCTGGAGTTTTTGGTGCGCGGGTCTGAGGCTTGCTTTACACCCTGGGATTACACCCTTGGGAAATGACCCAGAATGCTTCAAAATAGCACGGTCTTATCCGGAAATGTGCCGACATGGAGACAATACCCAGTGGGTGTATTCCCAGGGTGTAATACAAAAACCCTTAGAATGGGGAAGTCAAACAAAGTACAAAGGCTGACTGAAGCCTATGCTCGCTTCTTGAAAAAGCACACCACGGTACAGATTGAACAAAGCCGCTCTGATCTCCCAAGCAGGCATGTGCAAAACGTGGTCTTTCTGACATTTGAGGACACGGGTTTGTTCCTTCAAAGGCTATGTAATTACCCTTTTCAAGCCATGGATACGGATGCTTCTCCCCACATATTGCAAGTAAACCGACCCTGAACCATGGCGAACTACAGGGTTTCCGACGTACCCTCCCTTCACATTTGGGGAATCAACCGTATCAGCCCCTTCCGACAAAAACAGCACAAAAGGTGCGGTCCTCACGCTCACTGTCAGAGAGGAAACCTCAGCAGCTGGGTAGCATACTTGGTCCAAGCATGTTGTAGCTACCTGTAGCTTGACAGCGGAAAGATGCCATAATAAAATCCTGGTATTAAAGAGGCCTACCCAAAATCTATGTGAAGAATTAAGAGGGTCGCACCAACCCCGTGGAGACTCCTAGTGAATGATGAGTTGCATATTAGTGTCTGTACCTGCTTTTGGGTTGTATTGAAGGGAAACCAAGAGAAACCGCACATTTTGTTATTCCCTCATTTGGAGACAAACCCAACTCCACGTGCTTCCAAGAAACCACAAACAGTGTCCCTGTACCTGCCGCCGCGTCGAGGTAAGGTTTCATGGCTCAATGGCATTGCACATGTCACCCGTTTCCCCAACACCAAATAACAAGGGACAAGGATCCCTATATTCGCATCTTAAACATCACCCCCAAAGCTCGCTTTGAGTGGGCCCAACAAGTGATGTCTGAAACCACCAAAAGAGAATTAAGTTGGGAGCCCAGAATGACACGGGCGTTCAAAGGCAACGGCCAAACTCTGCCAACTCGACCGGGTCTTTTGCTCTCAGGGCCCCGCTGTTGGCAGGCCTTAGTGACACTCACGAGCGAAGACTGGACGGTCTAAATTTGGTCAGACTCCAAACAAACAGTCTGACATTTACACAAACTCCAAAAGAACGCAACCACTTGTGCGGAGTACTCCCAGACCTGCCGATGGCCATGGCAAAAACAGGGCGACGCTTTTCGTGCAGTTAAACTTTGAAGGGACCCCCGCCCGCCCCCCCCCCCCCCCTCAATATCACTTGAACAATTGGTCCTTGAGCAATACTTCCTGGAATCAAACATCGGCAGGGCAAGTCAAAACGAAGGGTTGGCCAATCCGTGAAACTGCCAAGGAGGCCCCTTCCGTCAACTAAGGGACGGATCAGGGAGCTCTCATGCGCACTACTCTGGGGTAGTCCGGATTTAATCCAGAGTTAACATTCACATTGGCAACAGGGAACCATTGATCTGCTACTTTTCTCGGCGTCTACCTTTCAATAAACTAGGTCCTCCAGAAGAGAGGATAGACTAAGGGTACCCTTCTTTCTGTCGTCTAGTTTAGTAGGGGAACCCTCTCCGAAAAAAAGAAACAATAAAAGGGCACTACTGGGGGACCTAGTAAAGGTGTTCTCTTCATGCGTTTCTTAAGACACCAGCCCAACCTGGAACCCCCAAAGGCTGCTTTGTTTGTGTCAAAAGGCTTCGCTCGAGAAACAAAACAAGGCGGCATGGCCAAATGTGTTGTTCTTCACTGTTTTTCAATATGTTATAGACAAACTACTGGTTTTCTATGGCCAAATAAGGGCAAACAAGGCAAATGAAAAAAAAACAACCTCACACAAACAAAAGGCCTTTCGGGGCTCCAGTTCCCCTTGAAACAAAGCGGTCTCCTTGAAAGCAGCATCAGGTACACTCCGGATGAACATCTAGGTCCTCCAGATTTGAGAGGTTCGAATAAGTTGGTACCCCATCCTTTTTCGGTTTTGTCTATTTTAGTAGGGGCCCCGAATTTCCCCCCAAAAGTGGGTTAAAGGTCACTGGACCTAGTGGTTGAAACCGCAGTGCGCAGTTCAAAAGAGCCCCCTCAGATCCCCTCAGGGATCTAGCCAAGAAGATATGCAAAACGCACAAGAAAGAATCGGATGAACATCTAGGTCCTCCAGTAGAAAGGTTAGAATAAGGGTACCAACTTTTTCTGTCGTCTATTTTAGTAGGGGCTTCCCCTCCCAACCAAAAAAGGGGCTAAGAGAAGGGCACCAATTGCCGGACCTAGATACGAAGCCACTGGCGAGTCCCGAGTGGTTGCCCGCGCCTTTGGGCCCCGCTGGCCTCTCCGTTCCTGGCGCAGCAACCTTTTGCAACCATCTGCAGTTGAGACGCAATCCCGCCTGAGGAGCCCTCCTCGCGCAATCCTTGCCAAAGTTAAGGCTGACCACGGTAAGGGGGACTTACACCCTTGCTTGATGCCTGTCGTCTCAACCGACTGCAAGTCCCCTAACATTTTGTACGATGCGTCGCTGTGCAGCTGCAGTACTAGGTCTATGACTCTAGGCTCAGCTTGCAATTGCTGAAGGGCTGCCACTGCCCCGTGGAGCAATTCAAGGTAACCAGGGTAACCTTGGTTGACGGTGGAAGGGGATCAGTTTTTTTTGTTTAGCAGTTAAGTGGGGATGTTAAGTGGGTTTGGATTTCAACCACTCAATCCCACAACAAGCAAACATGTGAAATGTTTCCCAACAACAACCATGTAACCCCACCATGCCGCAAAACACCTAGACAAAGCCACTGGAAAAAGAAGCTGTATTTGTGCGCGGCACAGGCAACAGTTGCCATACCGGAAAGCAACAGATTGCCATCACATAACCACACTGACACACAAGGATCAAAAAGGCCTTAACTAAAAGTAGATAAAGCAACCGGGTAATCTGTGGCAAGGCAAAAGGCACTGGATGACCCCAAGGTCACAAGGTCGATTGCCGTTCGACAACTAAGGCAACTCACGTCACGGCGTTCCCCAAAATGGCACCTTGGGACATGGACACATTTTGCAACAAAGGCGAAGACCTGCAGTTTGCCCCAGCTGTTGAATTGAATATGATACTAATATACTAATCTACAAGTCCATATGATAAGTCCCGCGCAAATGGCCAGGTTCAGGGACCAAAAGAATGCCGACGGAGTGGGGACATGTTTTTTTGTCAGGGTAGCCGCATGACAACTAAGAAAGGCTTAAACTTTTTGTGGACGCCGCTAAATCAGGACAACCCAGAAAAGACACAAATCACATGAAAGCTAGTTCTGGAAACCATGAAACATAGCGTCAGGATCATTCCCCATAAGTCTGCTCGATGCGGTCAACTGGCCTCAAATAATACCAGATCTGTCATTCCCTTAACTGCTTTACTACTTTGAAGGGGAACACCTTCACAGACAGTGGCCATAACCCACAACCATGACGTCACCCAAGAGACCCACGAAAGGATTCAATCTTGCTACCAAGAATTGGATTTGCAAATGCCATCATTGGGCAAGCTTTTTTGGGGGGTTCTCAAAAAATAGGGGGGTGTCCATGTTTGGATAGTTTTAAAGGAAAGCAAAGGGGAAAACCACCTACCTGGAGGGATCGGTCCCCAATTTTCAGAAACACCCATGAACTTGGGCAAACTAGAACTTCCATTTGCTGAAGCCCACTGGAAAAAAAACAAAAACATAACACCCAGTCATACATTCCCTATGAAACCAACAGGGGAATCAAAAAGAAATCCTGAGCAAATCTAGGCCCTCCAGTAGAGTAGAGAGGTTAGAATAAGGCTCCCAACTTTCTTTCTGTCGTGTATTTTAGGGGCAACCCTCCCCCAAAAAGGGGTTAAGAAGGGCACCTAGCTGGGGAACCTAGGAAGGGTTTCGATAGGGAATCATCATTCCAGGGTTTCTTCGGTGGTGCAGGTTCGTCCAGCATAAAACCAACAGGATGGAAAATCCAAAACAATTCTTAAGGGCCCCCTTTTTGGATGGTTTCAAAGGAAACCAAAGAGGAAACCACCTACCTGGAGGATGTTCCCAAGCAAACGCAGCAGTGATAAATTCCCCCCACCAAAAACAATCAGGTGAAAATCGAAAAATACAAAAAATGTTCCCAAGCAAATCGAATGAGACAAAGCAAAAATCCACCGCCAGCCCTTCCTGGCCCCCGTCCAGGCCTGGACTGCAGCGGCAGCAGCGGCCTCAAGTCCTCGCGGCGTGGTTCCAATTGGAGGCGGCGCGTTCTGAGAAAACCGCCAGGGAAATCCAAAGGAAATGAGCCAAATACCCAGAGAAAACACGGGGGGTGGGGATTTCCTGGAGATGGTAGAGTGTTTTGTCTTTGACAAAAAGGGAAATCTTGGTTGACGTTAGAAGGGGAGCAACAATTTGAATTTTAGCAGTTAAGTGGGTTTGGGTTTCAACCACTCAACCGCAACAAGAAAAAAACATGTAAAATGCTTCCCAACAACAACCATGAAATGAGCCACATACCCAGAAGGAGAAAAAAAAACAAGAAAAAAACAAGGGGGTGGGGTGGGCTGACTTTCTGTAGGATTTCCTGCAAATGATAGAGTGTTGTGTTTTTGACAAAAATGAAACACTACCCAGCTTCTAAGAAACCAGGTGGAGGGGAGACCAGGTCATATGAAAGCCACTTCGGAGCAGCTGAAGGCTGCAGATCTGGAGGATTCCCTTAAATATCTTGTTCTAACACAGCCCAGGTCCTCCAGATTTGAGAGGTTAGAATAAGTCGGTACCCAATTTTTTTGCAGGTCATTTTAGTAGGGGAACCCTCCCCCAAAAAAGTTGGTAAAAGGCACTACTGGGAGACCTAGTAGTTAAAACTGCAGTGCGCAGTTCAAAACAGCCCCCTCAGGGATCTGGCCAAGAAGAGATGCAAAACGCACAAGAAATAAGCGACGATTTCCACGCTCGCACACCACACATCGAGAAATCGATTTAGAAAACAATCGGAGGGGGGGGGGGGACGCGCGTGGTGTAAAAGTTGACTCTGGGAATCTAGTTGCAACCCTTTTTATAGGAACCCAAGACCTGTTTTATTTCAGATCTTTGCTGGTCGAAAGCACTGTAGGGTCTTGGGTCCCTAGGGTTCCTTTTGAACCAATCCTCACAAAGTTGGAGCCCTGCTTCATGCAGGCACTTGTTCGGACCAACCGTCTGGCCTTCATCGTTGGAGACGGGTCCTTGCGCGGCCGGATAAATGAGGGGGGGGCTCTACTTCCAAACACTTGACACGACTTAAGTAGCCCACGGGAAAACAAACAAACTCAACTTGGGCCTTTGGCCTTGGTTTAAATGACAAAGAAATCTACCCACCACAAGTCGACTCAGATGGAACCCGTCCTAAACTGACCCCAAAGCTAAAGCGTAACACCCCAAAGAGCAGGACCCAACCCACTTGAAGCGGAAGCAACAGCTGACAAGTAGAGGGGATGCCGAAAACCCGGATCACTTAGCGGGAACTTCGCCCAAATATCAAAATATGTGAGGTCATTCCCATGATTCATACTAGCGCAAGCAAGTGCCCAGGTGGCAGTTGAATCTGTGTCCAGGCTGTGTGGCAAAGCCTTATCGCGTTGGCCGCGCCAGCCTAACTACGTCGTCTTGGGTGATTCGCAGGTTGGCGCTGTGTCCTGCAACCGTCTATCACGTGTTGGATTGGACCACTGTGGGTTCTCTTGGGTCAAGAGAATGTTGCTGGCCTAGGAGCGATCTCAGCGGGAACATCCGATTTGGGCAGTGCTATTATCCCAGAACGTCGCGAGGGCGGTTTCATGCTATGGTGGGTGCGCGTGGCGGGCAGCGAGCGCTGCGCTGCCCACGTCCAAACTTTCCCTCGTCAGCTTGCACTGGCAACTCCGAAGAAGGTCCAGAGCCATGTCCAAACTTTCCCTAACATACAAGGGCAGCGGCATGTTGAACTCCAACCGGAGTTGCCCCGATGAAGTTTGCGGACGGGCGACTGCGATGAACGGAAGCGATCGTGCTGCACCGGTTGCCCCATCCAGACTGTTCCCTCCTGCCTCAAAGCTATCCTTTGCCGATTCAGGGCAACTAATTGTTTAAGTGAGAGGTCCAACCAAACAGCCGCCAAGATCATTCACCAACCCCGTTTTTGGGGCTCCCCTAAGGGGATTCCTTCATGGGACGCAACCCAAGGCTCGTGAGGTAGGTTTCCCCGAAATCTGGCCCTCAACTGCAGCAGGGTGGGTCTTTTTGCCACCTTGGGGGTAAGTCAATACCTCCAACAGGAATCCAACATGTGTCTTGGCGGGAAACAGTTTCACAGGCAGGGTCCCAGTTGCCCAGGCTTCCGCACCGAGAAAAAGGACGGGGAGAAAGTCCTCTGAGCAACTGGGGTTCCTCTCTTTATATCTTTCGCAAAGGACACTCGTCCAACAAGGTAGTTTAACTGGGCCCATTCAAAGTGACATCCTCTCAAAATGACACCCTGATCATGTTGCGATTGTGTGTGTGTGTGGGAGGAATTCCCTTTTTCAAACAATAAACACATAAACCCCCCTCCCCCTCCCCTCCCCCCCCCTCACCAAAAAAGGAAGTGCGTTGTACACCGCCCACGCCGAAGCTGTGACTCGAAGCGCTGCTTCGCCTCGTCCGAGGAGAACATGGAGCTCATCTTCGGAGCCTCCGGCCGGGGGGGAAAGTCGGGTAGACACTCAGCTGCCTCCAAGTGAATCACCTAGGTCCTCCAGATTTGAATAAGGGCAGCGGCATGTTGAACTCCAACCGGAGTTGCCCCCATGAATCATGGGGGCTGGGAGGGGGAGGGAGCCGAAATAAGCCCTTATTACGGCCTTATTTGGGGGCTCATTCAAACTGCCTCCCCCTCCCTCTCCCCCTCATCCCCTGAGACTCGAATTGAATCACTGTTCCAGCAGCATTTATGGGGTCAGGATCCCCAATTGGAAACACCCGCCTTTTTGAGGACCCAAAAACCCTAGGGTCTGCCCGGGATGAGGGCAAAAATCACAAACCCGACTCCCAGTATGGTTGAGCACTTCGTTAGCTTTGGTGCGTTGGCAATCTCTGCGTAGAGCCTGTCAAAGGAAGTTGCGTAACCCGCACGTGTTGGAGCAGTCGGATCGTGAGCGAACAGCTGTTGGATGTGGCGTGGTAGCCGGGCCAAAGAGGTGACATGTGCGTCCAGTGCGGAGCTCGAAGATCCCTGGAGCATTGCCACCATCTTTCAAGTGCCGGGAGAACTTGGGTGCCATCACGGGCCAGAAGACCTTCGCTCGACAAAAGGACTTGGGTTTGCGTGTACCGATCGATCGCAGCTCGTGTACTGTTAGGTACTTTGAAGTTACCAAATCTCGGCACAAATATAGGAATACACTCCAACTAGGTCCTCCAGATTTGAGAGGTTAGAATAAGTTGGTACCTACTTCTTTTTCAGGACGTTGATTTTAGTAGGGGAACCCTCCCCCCAAAAAAGGGTTAAGAAGGGCACTACTGGGGGACCTAGCCAAGATGCCCAGTGGAAAAGCACATGGGAAAAAAAAAGAATCGGCATCCTTTTTGGTTGGTTGAGTTTCAAGACTATTAGAGAACTACTTCTCAGACCCTTATGTTACTTTGACCCTCGGTTCTGGCGTCACTACATCCTCAGACGATGCCAAAAAACCCTCAAAGTTCTGTCTCTCCCAACTCCTGTTTTGGACCAGCTCTCTTTAGGCTTCCTCTTTGGATGGATAAGAGGCCGCCAAAAAAGAACAAACATGTTCTTAGCCCTCATAGAGTGGCCGGCCAACAAACTGTGGACCAACAGAAGCTTGGTGAATGGATTTCCTTTGATTTTCCCACTACCTCCCGTTCAAATTGCCATGGAACCCATCTCTGGTGGGTCCATTATAAAGGAAGTCTCTCTTCCAGGACCCGTCAGTCAGGTTCCATAAGTGGACAGGAGGGGATGTTTCCGCTTTAAAGACGATATTTATACATATACATATATATATATATATGTGTATACAATATATATATATATTGACCCTGGCTCTCCCTGGTTCGACGACAATGAGCCACGGGAATTCGACCACTTGAGTGGTGGGAAACAGGACCGGCGAAATGGCCTATCTTAGGAGCAGAACATGTCCCAAAGTAGAAAGTTGCGTGCTTTATGCTCTATGACGTCTGGGCGTCAATCTGCGGGCCTAAACATGCGGTAAGCATATGTCTGATCCCAAGAAAGAGTCTGGGAACCTTACACAAACACCAAGCTCCTTGGGGTTTTGCTGTTAAACAAATTTGATGTATGGTCTACCTCGAGAATCCCAGCGTGGGGAACCAGGATTCAAAACCCGCTCTTCTATTGATGGTGTGTGTCCCCACTCAAAAGTAATTCTTCACTTTTGGGCGGAAAGCACTCTCGCCGTCCATCTGCAAGGTTCGTAAATGCGAGGTTTCCTTTACGTTGCATGGGAACCTTTGGGTTGGCCCAATAGAAATCTATGCTCCTAAAATGATTGAACACCAGCTTGTTGCTAGGTGCTCACATTGTGTCTCTGCACAGTGACGAAACGGGTGGAAACATGACAGCCCACGGCCCATTTCTATAATGCACCTTTCAAGCACAGACTACAACTGTTCAAGGTAGGCAGCATGGTGAACGCAACACCTGTATGTGATGCTAATGTGGTTGGTTCCCATCCCGAATGCCTTGTGGCAGCAGATTATTGAAGGGTATGGCAGAAAAAGTACTGAAGAACTGAAAACCATTTCCACGCAAACAACCTCTCTCTGCATTTCTGCTGAACCTTTTCAGACAAAATCGCTCTCCAAGTCGCGAACTCAAGAACTCATTTGGGTGGCTCTCTTCTGGTCCCCTTTTGGAGGGTTCCCTCAAAACCAAGGCCCATTTTGAGAGTTCCAATACGGGTGTGAATATTTTAGCTGAAGACCTTGGACATGACTGGACTACATGTCCACCAGATTGGACCAGCATTGGAATATTTGGAGGGCTGAGAAGGTTTTGGACCGTGTGGCTGAGGTCCCGAGATTCTTATGGTTGGGCTGAAAGGAGACCAAAGGAACACAAAAATATCTTTATCTTGGGAAGAAGAGGAAGAACACCGTCTCATATTTTGGGCCCTCTCCTATTTTCACAAATGAGGCAGGAAACAGATCACCTCTTGGGGCCAATCACTTATCCTACGCGCCACGCCTGGCGCCGTCCGTCCGGGCTCGACCTTGGATAGAAGATATGCCGAGCCCTGGCTCCACTTCCCTCTAACTTCCTTCAAAACAAAATTATCTGATTTCCAGTTCCCTGACTTCCCTCTGACTTCCCTCTGACTTCCACTGCCCTTGAGGGGAACTTGAAAAATGAGACTTTTCCAAGGGCCCGGGCCTGGTCGGGACAACAACACCAGGCCCGTCAGGCACCCAGGCGTCCCGGAAAAAATCGGCCAATGGCAGTGGTGGATCTAGAGAAGTACCTCATGAGGATGGCTTTTGGGGGGTAAAAAAGGGTCTGAGTACCTCCTCAGAAGGTACTTGGACCCTCTAGTGGAACCCGTTTTCAACTAAGCCGGCGTCACATGACGCCTGCAATCTGTGTCCGGACTTTCGTGAGCTGAACGGTAGGCTTTTTGCTGTCAAAGCAACATTATCATTGTAGTTCTGACCGTGCAGGGAGCAGGTGAGGCCGCTTGGCGGAAGTTAAAAAAATATCAGAACTATAGTTATCGTCCCCTTTCTCGTTTTGCTCCCTCTTTCCCTTTCTCTTGCTCTTCTTGCTCTTTATCTTCCTTCTCTTTCACTGTCTCTTCTTTCCTCTTTTCTTTCCGACTCTCTTTCCCTCTCTCTTCTTTACCTTCTCCTTTTTCGATCTGTCTCTCCTCTCCTCTCGTTCTTCTTCCAATGCGTGTCTGTCGATAAAATGCTGTGTGTAGATCACATACTTGTCCTTCTCTTTCTGTTTCTCCTTCTCTTGTCCGATTTATGTATCTATCTCTCTGTCTGTCTGTCTATCTACCTATCGAGATCCATCTGTCTATTTTGATCTCGAGATCGCTCCATCCATTCATCCATCCATCCGTCCGTCCATCTATCTAACTATCCACGTGTCTGTCTGTCGAGATCTCTTATCTAACCTGGCTAGCCTACCTGGCTGTTCGTCTTTCTGTCTGGCCATTTCGCAAGATCTATAAGTCTATAAGTTGATCTATCTATCTATCGAACAATCTCGCATCTTCGTCTCGATTCGTCTATCTAGCGATCTATCTATTTATCCATCTAGACCTAGCGGTCTGTGCATCTCTCACCGCATCTATCCATCAGCGATCCAAAAATCCCGAGCCCGACGCGCACCTTGCAAAAGTGCTGCGCCTGCCAAGCAAACTAGTCCGTGCCATTGAGCCCCTCTTCGGGACCGCTCCGTTCTCACGATGCCTCCGTCAGGCATCGTGAGCGAGGTAGTTTGCGCACATGCGGAAGAGCCGAACTCACGCACGGGCCTGCCTCCTCATTTGCTGGCTGTTTCCTAGCTTTTTCACGCGCGTGGCATTTATTCTTGAAGATCGTATGCGTGCTGCGTTTGCATGCATTCTTGGAGAGAGCTACCTCATTTAGTTGACTACTTCATACATCTTTGCTGTTCAACGGGAACTCAAGGACATTCAACATATCCTAAGAAGAAAATCCCGGGTGCAAGGCACAGGTTGGTCAAATGGGGTTCAAACAGGCAGCCTGCCTCCCTTCAACCGGCCGGTTACAGAAACTGTTGCTTCAACATTCGCTGTGTTCAAACTGGGCCAACTTTGGGGATCGAATGTTGCTCGTCGCCTGGCGGACACCAAAGGGCTCCCCCCCAAGGTGTAGAACCCTTTCTTTTGTTCTTTTTCGGGCGCCCTTGGCGTGTAGAAATAAGTCCTCCAAGGAGGGCCTGTTCAATCAACCCCGACGGCAGATGGGGCCAAGATGGCCCATTTGTTTAAAGATCTTCGGGGTGACCCCATGAAATCCCAGCGGGGCCCATTTTTTCCGGTCTTCGGGGTGAACAAAAACCCATGGCGTCCCAGCGAGGGAACCGAAAGGCAGAGGCTTTGGATCTCTCGCTGTCCGGCTCTCGCTGGGCTCCGAGCGCGAAGTTGGGAGTCTCCTTGGCGTGAGGGGATCGGATCAGGGGAGTCTCCGTGCCGGCCGTTTGGGGCCACCGGACCGCTCGTACTTGGAAAGGGGATGAACCTGGGTGCCCCTTTTCAGATCCACTACTTACCCCTTAAAACTCCAAGGATTGGGGAAGTTAACCTTTTACAGACATATAGCCCATGTTACCCCAAAAAGTTGAGAAAAGTTGCGTTTTTAAGAGGCAAGACCAAAAACGGCCAACTCTTCGTGGAACAATTTTTGGACACCCGGCCCAGGAAGAGACGGTCTGAGCTAAGGAACCGGAGGGATGCGGCACTAGCCATCTACTTCGCACAACTCTTAACTATTTCGGCTAAGACACCTGACAGATATGGCTACCACTTGCCAGAGCATGGCTTTATTTATATGGCAGGGGAATCCCCCAAACCGGGGACAGTATCCATCAGGGGGTCAAGTGAAGAATAGCGACCAGTGTGTTTGCTGACTCTGGACCCTGGTTTTATGTAGTAAGCCTTCAAACATAGCGACATTTCTACTCACTGCCTGAGTGGACTGGCAAGAAAGTCCCAACTATGTGTTTACCACCAAAATGGTCCGAAAAAAGTTGAAGTCCAGGAACTCAGGGAGGGAGTCTAAAGAAATTCCAGAAAACCTGCGCTGGTCGGACATGTCTAAAACAACTTCAAAAAACCTACACTGACTCACCTCCTGAGTGGATTGGCAAAAACAATATCCACACTTGCTATTTGCCACTGAAAGTGTCTTCCTAAAAATGTATACAGTCCAGGAACTCGGGGGGCGAGCTGATTGCCTCAGCCCCGGGCAGGTGTGAGCATCCCCGGGCTGTCCATATCCGCCTGGGCGACGCAACCGGGGGAGTTCATGCGCCACCGGGGGAGTTCATGCACCCTCCCGATGGAGACGGAGAGAGTTCCAATTTCTTCAGTGGAAGTGGTGTGAGAGCGGAAGAATCTCGGGGTAACTTTCTCCATTCTTTCCAGGGATCCTTCTTTCTGCAAAACCACCAAAACCCTGGGAAATGGCTGCTTTTTGACAAGAACGATGGCTGAAAAGAATGGGGAATCAACCCCTAGAAAGAAGGTAACAAGAAAGAGATAACTAGGAAATCAAGTATTTGTCATGTAGTTATTCAGCAATGATTCTGAATCATTAGTGAATCGAGATACTTCACAGACAAACGTGAAATAAGGCGGGCCCAAGCAAGGCACCTTCACACCCTTGTATTTGGTTGAGGTCGCTATATTTGCCCAGGCATGATTGAAGAAGGGACTCGACAATTGGTGCACAAACAAAAACTTTGGCTCCGCACCAAATTATCTTTCGAGTTTCGCTCATTCACGAGAAAGCCTACGGCAGTTCCCAAGTTCCAAGCGCCGACTGTCTGACAAACACACAGTCGCAAGGTCAGGACAAAAAATGGTTGAAGAAAGCAACTAGGTCCTCCAGAGAGGTCAGAATAAGGGTACCTGATTTTTTTCTGTAGTCTTTTTTAGTAGGGGAACCCTCCCCCAATAAAGGGTAGAAGCTCTAGAGCTCTCAAATCAAGCGGTTCTACCCCTTTCCGAGCTTTTGGTCGAAACCTGTAGTCCTGTTTCTTGAAGCTCCAAGGTCAACTCCGCAGAAAGGAGTGTCATTGCGGCCAGATACGAAGGGTTCTTTGGCACCGGGGCGGTGACATCCTCGAATGTCTTTGACTCAAAATACCTCGCTTCAGGCCCATACTGGTGGACGACATCCTGCACCTCTTTGAAACCATGGAAAAACAAGTGCTATTACTAGGTCCTCCAGTAGAGAGGTTAGAATAAGAGTACCCTTGTTTTTCTGCAGTCTATCTTAGTAGGGGGAACCCTCCCTAGATTATTTGCTGGTATTTACAAGGGAATCATCTTTCCAGGTCCAGGCGGTGCAGGACATTTTGTCCATTCACAGCAGCTCAGAACCAGTAGACACTTCCGTTCGATTGGCCGCTCGCCTGCGCGAAGAAATCCTCCTCCACGCGATGAGACCTCAGAACACCAACTGCTTGCCGGCGTCGTCTAACCCCAGACCACCAGTGGATTTCCATGTTGCTGGGAAATGGGAAACCGGCATTTTGTGTTGGGTGTCTTTTCTTTTGAAGGCACACCCCTCTTTTGGCGGTTTTCAAGAGAAACCAACAAGAGAACCGAATGCAAATTTTGGGGCTCGGGTCCTGGACCCACTGCCCCCTCCCTTCAGCGGCCCGGCATGGACTTCTTCCGCGCCGGCGCGTCTCGGAACTCCATGCCCTCGAAAGCAACGCGCTCAGAACTTCTGGGGAGCCCAGGAGCTGCCCATTTTTAGTTGTTTTTTCGGTCTAGAGTTTTTAGTTAAAACAAATGACATTTGAGGGGGGCTAGCTGAGTCGTAGAAAGATGCCCAGTGGTTTTCGAGGGGAAATAAAGACGAGGCTTTCCCAATTTTGAGGGTCCCTCCTTTTGCTAGGTCCTCCAGATTTGAGAGGATAGAATAAAAATACCAACTTTTGCCGTGTTTTAGTCCAGGAACCCTCCCAACCCAAAAAAGTTGGGAGAGAAGGGCACCTAGCTGGGGGACCTAGCTCCAAGATGCCCAGTGGATTTCCAGAAACAAAATTTTACTCAGCACCCTTGTTGCTTGAGTTTCAAGGAATCGGAATCCTTCCAGGGAAAAAAAAGGAGGAAAGGGCGGAATGCATCTACTGGGCAACTGGGCACTACTAGAGAACTACTTCTCAATTTGGAGGGTCCCTCTTGGCTGTGGGTCAAGAATAGGTACCCAAAATAGAACCACTGGTCAATGGAAACATGGACTACACACCTGTGGTCCCCTGGTTGGCTGGATGGGTTGGGGAAGGATCGGCACCCCTTCTTTTGGTTGAGTTTAACAGGGGAAGCCTTACCCAAAAAATCGACAAAAGGGAACCCCGGGCAACGAAGGCTTCTCCCAAGGATAGCACCTCTGGGAGACCTGGATGGCTTTCGGTTTCCGGCCATGTGTGAGTTGCCCTAGTGGCGAGCTTCACCACAGTCGGGTTCTGGCGAACTTCTGGAAGCTTCAACTATCAGTCGTCAGAACAGGATGAACTTTCCAGAAAGCAAGTCCGTGCGGCCATATGGAATTTCTCGCAGCCCAGATGCGGCCAGAATAACGATGGGATGAGCTACGTGCAAGGGACGTGCCCCAAACCTAAATCCCCTCTAAACTGAGGATTTAACCTATTGTGTCTGTCAGTTCCGATGGTGCTTTCATATCACTTTGAGAAGGTGCTGCAAGAAATGTGTGTGTTAGTCGCAAGGCGAAACGAAGACACCAGGGTAAGCTGAGTTTGGCCAGACTGACGGTATACCACTGCAAGCGAGCAAGCGAGCGAGCAAGCAAGCAAGCATGCAAGCAAGCAAAGAAGCAAACCGAACATAAATTCACTCAGACAAAGTAACAAACACGAATCAGACACACACACACATACAGAGACACAAACAAATAAACATAACAGCCAGCTGCATAGAAACGGTCAACATGCAACAACTCCTTTCAGTCCTCGGCTTTCAAACACGGCTTATTCCTCCCCAGGTTCTGACAAACCCTTGGCTAGGTCCTCCAGCGGAGAGGTTAGAATGGGTAATTACCCTTGTTTTCTGTCGTCTATTTTAGTAGGGGAACCCTCCTAGGAAAAAAGGGGTTGAGAAGGGCACCTAGCTGGAGGACCTAGCTGGTGACAGCCCGACCCGTACATCGCCCAAGCGTCAATGTCATCATCCATCCGAATAACGCTGCTGCGCCGCAGATCCTTCAGGCATGCGTTGGGACCGTCTGCAATAGGCCCAATACAGTCCTATCCAAAACCGATAGCCAACCTAAGCGATAAGGGCCTGCCCGACGCCGAGTAATACCTTCCGCTCATATAACTGGGCAAAAGCCCGCCCTCAAAAGAACCAAGAAACATCCTTCACAGAACGGCAAAAACAACGACCCTCCAACCACGTTTCACTAACCGGAAAGGCTTGCACAAGGACCTTCTGCCGCTCATAATCTGGATTTTGTTTAACGCCCCCCCCCTTTGGCCCAAAACCTTTTTAACAATGATGTCTTTGGGGGAAGTCCGCACGTTAAAAATCACACATTTTCTGACTCTGTTCTAAAAAAACTACCCCACAAAAACAAACCCTTTCGCCCAAAACGTCGAACCGTTTTGGAGATGTTATGGGGCCCATGGGGCCCCTAGGCTTCGATTTCGACCGGAGCTCGACCGGTTCCTGCGAGACCATCTCCACCGGGAGGCTCCGTGTCCCAGGCTGGGAGCTGACCTCAGGTCGGCTCAGACCGGGGCCTTTGGCTCGACTGCAGATGTGGAACTGATGCAGAAAAACGACAAAATAAGCTGCTGGTTTAGGGAAACAAGTCAGTGGCTGATCATTGGGATTCCTCGACAGAAAACAAATCAGCAACTTGTAGAGGTCCATTTCAGTGGCTGATCATGGGATTCCTCAGGGTGGCTATACCATAGAAAGACTGGGATAGTTTGCTGGGAAAATGGGGCGTCTCGCCAAGGAGTCCTTGCTTGTTAGCTTCATTTTTTTTTATATTTTTTTGGGGGGGCGGCTACCTTTTTTTTCGGGTTGGTAGTCTATGCTTTTTGTTTGGCTACCCTTTTTGAGCTGGTAGTACTTGCTCTTTTTTGGCTACTCCAAAAGGGAGTCTTTGCTTTTCCTTTTGGCTACTATTTTTGGGGTTGGTTGGGGAAACCAAAGGGAAAAGTACCGGGTCCGAGTCCTAATTGAAGAAACGCCCATATGTCCGTCCACTTTTCTACCAGTTTCCTTGGGGGTACATCCCCATCTACAAAGTTCCCTTGAAAGGTTGGTAGACTTGGTGGAGCAAGTGACCATCACCAAAATTGTGTCGTAATTGTGCCTACTTTCATCCAACTGGCCGAAAAGGGGGGGCATTTTCCAAATCCGCTGCAAATGATTAGAAGGCAACCGAATTAGGGTCCATTCCCAGAACGAGATTCCTCGGGAACTTGTTTTGAGGTTCCATACGAATTTGCAGGGGAGGCCGCGATTTCATTTGCCCAGGCTCAGTTTCAGCCAAACAGTTGTAGGTCAAAGGCTCCAAGCAATCAGCCGCCAAGACTTCGTCTTCTTGGACTTTTGCCCTAAGAATCTTGGGACCTCACACAAGCGGAGATCCCTGAGCCCCCCGATGGAGGGTCCAATCATGTTTATGTCAGCGTCTTGAGGACATGTCTACATTCTGATCCATATTCACCGGGCCTTCAATTGCAACAGGTCAAGAAAGGTCCCAACAACCCCCCCGCTACGTTTTAATTTTCCTACAGGGGCTTGATTGCACCCCTAGAAAAAACAATGTTTTTTCGAGTTCTTGAATCATTGCACCCCTAATTGAATAATAACTTTTCTGAACATCACAGGGGGGCAAACCCCCCCAAACCCCACCAAAAGCCTCAGCACCCTCAAAGAGCAAAACGGGCCGCAGCCGCAGCGTTTGTACCCCTTTCCTCGCATCGGAGGAGGGCTTGCCAGACGTTTTAGCTGCAAGACCCATGTCGAGCATGTGAGCCAGCTGCTTAGATTTATTCTAGGTCGTCTTTGCTTCTAGGCAGGTCCATGTTATATCATCTGCTCTGAAATGCTTGTTCGTTTTCGAGCCCACATTATTCTGACGGGGAGTAAGGCAGAATAACCTGAAAAGGAGGTTGCCACCTCACATCACATCATAGTAGAAATGAACTAGTCTAACAAACCAATATCAACTTTTACCAAAGCCGGATTTCCCTTGGGTTTAGCTTTATAATCAACCAACAATAATCAGGTTGATGTTTAACCCCCTGCAAAAGCTGGAACTGTTCGTTACGTGCAAACAATGCATGGTCCAAGAATCCAAGAAGTTCAAAGACCTCGGGGTAAATAATGGAACCCCCATACCGTCACAAAAGACGGAGAGCGATTTCTTGATCCCTTGCTCGAAGTCCAACTGTTGGTGTGATGTGTCATAGCTCCACTCTTGAATTGGACATGGTTGCAGTTCACCACTTACACATGGTTGTTCTAGGCCTCCCTTCCTGGGATATGTCATAATTCCACCTTTGATACAGATTATATCTTTGTTTCTTGAGGTAGTTGCTCTAGGATGTCGTCTAAAA